AATGTCTACTTTTGAATGCTTTGAAGTAAGGTGGTTAATGTACGGCAAAATCACATCTTTCGTGTACTCAACAAAAGTGGATGTTCCACGCGGTGGTCTCGAATTTACCATAGCCGCACCATCAACTACTACCATGTCTGACTGAGGTTCTTCTCTTGGCAAATCCACCTTAGCTTCCAGATCTTGAATAAGCTGTAATTTAACAACAATATTGATTTTGCCACTTTGAGACAATGAAGGAGGAAATTTTTGATTTTCGTGACTGAAAAACTCTTCCAAGTCGTATAGTCTGCTTTGACAGGACATGAATTATAAAAGCCTTGGAAATAGACTGCTATTTTCTCGTGCGAGGCCAAACTTGCTTTTTGTTTCACCGGAACTTTTCTTTGGTTGGCGACTGAACAACAGAAACTTGTTTTTCTTAATAGGTTCATAAATGTTTGCCTTCTTTTGCAATCGGGTTCTGAAGTCAGGGTACTGGTTGCATCCAGTTTGTTAAATTTGCAACAGTTTCCCTGAGTCTGATCGTACAATGTCTTTGTTGTCTTTCTAGTATATATCTCCAGAATCCTCAAGAAATGGATTTCCATAATCATTCATGACAGTCTTCAGTCTTTTCACTTTGTCAATGGAATCTCGTTGCATTGGCACAAAATTGTCATGATGTCTGTCATCTGCGTTCCTTCTTCCAGACGAACATTCGTCGAACTGGCTTATCAGTCTACTGATTTCTGGTCCGGCTACCATCCAACGTCTCAAAGCAGCTGGATCCTCGGTTAGCCCTACGGCACCCCTATCATCTTTAACAATAGCGTTATTCTTTTCATGACCCTGGTCTATCGCCATGTTAGAGAAAACGCGATTTGATTATTTTTCACAGTGAAGTGCCCTTTTATGAATTCTCTGTAAATATCGGGTTTTTTGTTTCCAATGAAACCATATTGCGAATAGGAAGCCATGTAGCACAGTTGATATGATCAAGTCCAAAAAAGTATGGGGTCAAGGAAGACAACGTTGGTTTGTAAAGCTCAAAATCTGCCTTTCGTAATGATCGAATGTACGAAAAAACCAACAGCTGAATTTCAAAAACCGAATACCAAAATTCAAAGTGAGGTCTACTTACTTTTCTTTCTTCACACCACCGCATAAAATTGTCAAATCTTACTGATTCATCGGGATTTTCGCTATGAAAAAAAAAACACATGCGGTTACTTGATGCGCTAGTCAAGTGTTAGGGGTATTAGAACTTGATCAGAACGATTCCTGCAGTCCAACCGCTATCCCGCAATAGATCACACAGAACCAGACCAACCACAAAAGATGCTTCAAATTAATAACTATCAAAGTACTATGATTTAAACATTGGCGTGTGGTAGTACGGTCAAATGTAAGATATTTATAAAACCGGAACTGAGTTATCGACCGATATTTGACCGGAAGTGATGTTGTATTACTTTAACAAGACAAATAAACCTTCACTCACTCAACCTAGTAACATTTTGTATAAAATACAAGCAATATGTATGCAAAAGGGAAAAACATTGGATGTCTTGTACAAGGATAGTCGCCATTTTGAAAATCAAAGATGGCCGCCATGATAAGATGGATTTCTTTTCGTAGCTACCCCCTTAATATGACTGAATACACCTAAAGGCATGTTAATTCTTACAAAGTGTCATGCTTGTATCCCCATTTGCATGATTTTGTGGTAAGCTGCTCAACTAGTACTTTTAGCAATACATTTATCGACATGTTGTAGGCGTTCCATTATGGAGATCATAATAAGACATAGACATAAGACATACACCTTTATTTAAAGTCGCTATATGCAATACAAGTACAAACATAAGCTCTGAAGAGCTTTTAAAACCGACAGAGCAACAATAAAACAAAACATACATATCAAGTCATGCACACATAAATTAAACATAGAAAGCAAGAGTTCATATTAATACATAAACATGCAACACAAACTAACGGTTCTTTAAAGCATCTTAAAAATTAAACATACACTGAAGCATGCACTTATGAGATAAAAACACAAAAGAAAAAGAAAATGGTTTGCACATAAAAAGCACATAGAGATTAGTTAAGTAACTTAAATTAGCACAAAGCAGCAGAAGCACTATAGTAAAGATAACAAAATAATTTTACCATGCTGAAAACAAAGCATTAAACTAAAAATAATGAACAGAAATAACTGGTTTTGCCGGCAAAACATTGGCATGAGCTGCCAGACCAAGAATTTATCAAGTTCATGAATTGATTTAAAGATGATTGCTTACGTAGCTCATCTGGCAGCTCATTCCCGCATACCTTAAAGATTGTAGGCCGTATGCAGTTGTTCTTACATGTGGTAGGTCGGCTGTATTCTGGTATCTAAAAGAGTAAGTGTTTTCCTTTAAGTGTATTAAATCATGGAGATAAACAGGACAATCTTCATTGATAATTTTGAAAACTTATATAGCCAATGATCGCATTCTTCTTATTTTTAAAGATGGTAATTTTGATTTGCAGAGTAGATCTTCATAACTTGCTGAATAGTCTTCATAGATAAATCTTAATATTCTCTCTTGAACTTTCTCTATCTTTTTTGTATTAACCTCCCCACAAAAGTGTCAAACTAGTGGTCAGTAATTTAAGTTGCACATTATGAAAGAATAATAAATTGTTAATTTTCCAAGTTTAGTCAGGTGTTTTCCAATTCTTTTTAATACATTTAGCTGTTTAGATGTTTTTTTTACATATTATAGAGACATGTTCATTGAAATTTAGCTTAAAATCTATTGTTACACCTAGAAGTTTAACGTTATCTTCACATTCTATTTCATTACCTTCTAATTTAAATTTTAAGTTTTTGTCTTTAGTTTTTTTACCTACAGCTATCGCTTGAAATTTTTCTGGATTAGCTTTCATTTTATTTATTGAGAACCAATTAATCAAAATTTTGCTTTCATCATCTAGAGTATTAATTATTTGATCTAAGTCTTTATCTGCATATGAAAGGGTGTTGTCATCTGCATAATTATAGAGTTCACTTTTATGAATAAAATAGAAAATGTCATTTAAAAAAATATTAAATAGTGTCGGCCCCAGTATAGACCCTTGTGGCACCCCTTTAAACATTGATTGCCAGTAGCTTGAACTAGTACCTACTTTAACACACTGTTTTCTATTAGTTAAATAACTTTCCAAAAGTTTAAGAGAAGCCGAGGGGGAGACACCATAGGATTTTAATCAGTTTTAGTAGGAGGGGGTCATGGGGTAGGCAACCAAAAGCCTTGGACAACTGAGTCCATTAATATAGCTGCTACATATTTATTCTGATCTAAAGCCTTTTTCCAATCTTCAATTATTTTTAATAAAGCGGTTTGGCATCCATATCCTTTTCGAAAAGCTGACAGAAAATGTGGAAAAAAGAATTAAAATATTCCACAAGTTGAGTTTCTATAGACCTCTCAAAATTTTTGAAATCATGGGCAATATACTTACAGGTCTATAGTTTCCTTTATCTAGAGTGTTTGATTTTTTATGCCGAGGTATTACTTGTGCTTCCTTTAATTTATCTGGGAAAACAGCTGATTCAAATGATTTATTTATTAATTTAGAAATTGGATTGGATAATTCAGATTCAGATAGTTTTAATACTTTTGAAGCGATTCCATCTTTTCCTGTTGCCTTTTTAATATTAATTTTATTGATTTGTTTTTTTTACAAACTCAGAAGTTACTGGGCTAAAACACAGTTCTTCTCTTTCTGGTTTGTTTTCTTTAATTACTCTAATGCTTGGATGCATGCATGGTGTTCATCAATAATTGTATCTTTTGAGCCGATATCTTTGGCAACATTTAGTTATTAAATATTTCGGCAACTTCATTTTAATTATTGATTATTTTATTGTCTTCACATAAGATTAGATCTTTAGAAAAATGTGACCCTTTATTAGTTAAAAAGGGCTTGATTGTTGGCCAAAAATCCTTGCTGCTTGGTCCTCCTACACATCTTTCCATGAAATAGTTTCTGATTCAACTGCGCCCCTTCAGACTTGTTCCTGTACTGTTATGAATCACAGTTTATGGTCAAACTCAGTAGATATCCGTTGAATTTCTATTTAATCTGGGACTAGCATACTAACATCGATATAATTATGTCCGACATTTAATTGATAAATTCAACAACACATACCTTGATGATATTTTTGCGTTAATTAAGTCGATAATTCTCTCTGCTGAAATTTACCCAAGGGAACTTATTTAAAATAAATCTTATATAACAGCAGAGACATGTATTATATGTCTCTGATAACAGCAATAAATGTCCTTTCCTAGATTTAGATATTTAAATATCACACGAAACTCTATACGAAAATTTACAAAACAATGGACGAGTTTTCGTTCCATGTTGTAAACTTTCCTTTTTGAACGGTGATGTTACATTGGCCCAATCTTACGATGTTTATATAATCCCAACTCGTTCGTTCTTGGTGTCCGTATCTGAAGTGACATGATAGATTTCATTGAACGTAATCTATGTTTCACTGGTAAATAATTACGTCAGGGATTTCGTTACCCGGCACAAATTCTGACTTTAATAAAAAAAAAATCTAAATTCTTTCATAGATACAAATATTCGGTTTACCGTTAGAAACCCTATTAACAATGGGATATCACATTCTAATGTTTACGGTAATGCTGTTTATAGAAAACGTAAATTAAGATACGCCAAAAAAGAAACACCTTTCTTTCCGAATAAAAGTAGTTTCCTATCCCACTTTTGTTTTGTATTTATTTTTTTGCGTAGCGATATTCTCCCAACTTCGTTTTGTAAATTATTATCTGCTTCATTTTGTCACTAATACATTTATTTTACTTAAAATAATAACATAACTTAAATTATGATTGTGCTTGATACTGTCTGTTTATGAATTTTAGTTCTTATTTCTAAACATTTTAGGGATTACTTTTTAGGGTAGGTAACCGGAAAAGAAGCTGTTAGGCACATTATCATTTGACATTTTTACAGAAAATCATCACATATCGAACCATTTGGTTAATTCTGTGTTATTGTACAAATGTAGACGAGTGCATTGTTTATTTGCTGTAAATTAATCACGTAAGCAGGTTTTGAAACATAGGATGACGTAACTTATTATCAATTAGAAGTATTTTATATCATAATCATATCCTTATGTTATCCAAAGCGGCAAAGGTATCTGAAATTTTTTTAATTAAACGTGAATAATCGGTCAAATATCATAGAACACAGAAACGAGCTTGGCTCACAAACACGCAACATAATTATTCTCAAAAATATGCATGGCAAAAAGAAAGACTCCGACGTTAAAGCAGCAGAGAATTATCTAGAAAACATTCTACCAAGCCTGTTATTTTTTAGCACAGTGCCACTCAAATGATGCATACAATGCAGACGAGACAGGGCTCTTCCCGACGGCACACTAACTCGCAAAGACAATGATATTGCAGGCAGCAAAAAGCTAAAAGACCAAAATCACTACAATGGTAGCATGCAACATGACTGTTACCGATAAGCGTAAACTACTTGCAATTGGCAAAAGTAAAGACAAACGATGCTTCAGGGGTAAAAAAAGTCTACCAGTAATTTACAAAAATAACAAGAACCCGTGGATAACCGCTGGGATATTCATTAATAGGTTGAGAGAACTGAACAAAGATACATGTATGTGCCATTTCGCTTTCATGTCGATCCGGCCCCACGTCGATCTGGCCCAAGTCGATCCGTCCCACGTCGATCCGGCCCAACGTCGATCCGGCCCATATTTAAAGTCGATCCGGCCCAATAAAAAAATATATTCATAAGGAATAAAAAAAAAGATATATATTAACTGTAATTCATAAATGTTTAACGGTACCATCACCACCTCCTTCTTCTTTCGTGCAGTCGGACACATGTACGACATTCCTGTGCCAGACCTAGAACCAGAAGAAGACACTGACAGCGAGTGATTTAATTGACATTGAGTGAACTGTATGACTTGTATTATGTTAGTGCATATGTGGCTACAATCTATATGTTTATATAACATTTATTTATTAAATGCTTAATGAGTATTCTTTATGTTTAGAATAATCTTGGTGAGCTAATCAAATTGAATAGTTATAGTGCTGTTAGTTGTTCTATATATTATATATGTACTGCGTATGATAGTTACTGTATATGTTATTGTAGTGCTGCAAGTGTGACCCCTATGTAAGTGACAGTGTAACTGTTAGTGTAAATGATTTAAGAGTTATATATATTTATGTGAGTGTCAGAGATAGTGTGTTTGTTAGTGTGTATGAATTTATTGTTATATTATAGTAATGCTGATATTATATTTTAGAAAGTGAAAATGTGCATTCAGTGTAATTATTTTGTTATTATCTTGCAATAAAGAATAATGGATACTCATATAACTTGTTTTTTATCTACACACAACTATTCAAAATATTGTCAACTTTAAAAAAATATATTGAATATATTCGATATTACAAAAAAAAAACATGTATTATAGAAGCCTCTGATGTTACCTGAAAAAAAAATACAATTAATTATTATAACACATAACACCATACAAAAGATCAAACTATAAAGACCTTGTTGATTACTTAACTTTAATCAATCAGGATTTGATTGAATTAAGTGATTACGAGTGGCATTACCTTAGTTTACATTCATTAGACAATTGACAATTATAGACTAATGATTTGATTAAACAAGTCATTATGATGAGTTAAATTTTATAGGTATTTATTTATAACTGTAAATATTTATTTAGCTATTCTGTGTGTGAATTAAATAAAATAAAAATCGCCATGACATTCAAAGTTATCATGGAAAATAACTTCATATTAAAATATGTTGAAGCTGCTATACAAACAGACACAATCACACTCATTTTCGTATCGATGTAAAATAATTCTTTGACTGGTACTCCAATACTTCACTTACCTGTTGTCATCCATAAACGATACTTTTTACAAATTCCATTTATACTGTTAAAATTTGTCACAAAATCCTCCAAAGTCAATATAGTTTATTCATATTTTATTATGGGGCCGGATCGACGTAGGGACGGATCGACGTGGGCCGGATCGACTTGGGAAGGATCGACTTTGGGCCGGATCGACTTGGGGCCGGATCGGTTTGGGGACGGAACGACCGGATACCGTGCCATCAAAACCGCAAAAGACTCATGCTGGTCGACAACTGTAGCTCTCACCCAAAAGATGCCGCTGACAGACTTGAACATGCAGATCTAGATATTCTGCCACCAAATACTACTGCCATAATTCAACCCTGTGACCAAGGGATAATCTGAAATCTCATAGGACATTATTGTAGTCAGTTAGTACAGAAAGCTATAACAGAGATAGACACAACAACTGCTAGTGCTACCGAAATAGCTGAAAAAGTCACGCTCCTTGACGCCATACATATGGTAATCAACGCATGGAAAAAAGTGAAAACAACCACCGTCGTATACTGCTTTAAAAAAGCTGGTTTCAAAGACACTCCTGAAGAACAAATTATCCCAGAGATAAATGACATTCAGTGTTCCAGCTAGGATTTCAAAAGGGCAGGGAGCCAATCATGAAAGGGGCATTGATTGATAATTCAAAAAGGGCACGTCAAACATTGTCTTTTAATTATGTAACAGCTAGGTTTCAGCTAGGAGTTTGAGGGCTTTAGTCCCTTTTACCCAAGATGAAAATCAACTATATTTTGGGTAACAGTATGGGACCAAGGACGTTTATTACTATCTATACATATGCCCAAGTCCTTCAAGGACCAGGATCTTTGAAGACTTAAGACATGCTACAAATGTAGGCAGTTACATGTTTTGCATGATTTGACTGATGTGATGCTTAAATATGAAGATTAGAACAAGGATCCGGAAATCTAGTTCACAATTTGAATTTCACTTTAGTTATTTTCAGGGGACATTCCTGATCAGCATGATCAGCAAAAGTTGGGTTCCTCTTTTTTAAAACCAGGAATCACAGCATAAGTGAAATTATAACGACTATTTCACAGCATAATCATTATCCCTGTATAAATGTTTGATTCAATATTTGGAATACATTTTTAGCTCACCTGGCCCAAAGGGCCAAGTGAGCTTTTCTCATTACTTGGCGTCCGTCGTCGTTGTCGTTAACTTTTTACATTTTGAACTTCTTCTAGAGAACCACTGAATGGAATGGAACCAAACATGGCATGAATGTTCCGTATGAGGTGCTGACCAAGTGTTGTTACTTTGTAGCCGATCCATCATCCAAGATGGCTGCATGCGGGGGACTTAGTTTAACATAGGACCCTATGGGAAATACATACAAATATCTTCTTTTAGAGAACCACTGAATGGAATGAAACAAAACATGGCATGAATGTTCCTTATGAGGTGCTGAACAAGTGTTGTTACTTTGCAGTCGGTCCATCATCCAAGATGGCCGCCAGCGGGGGACTTAGTTTAACATAGGACCCTATGTGGAATACATACAAATGTCTTCTTTTCGAGAACCACTGAATGGAATGAAACCAAACATGGCATGAATGTTCCTTGTGAGGTGCTGACCAAGTGTTGTTACTTTGCAGTCGGTCCATCATCCAAGATGGCAGACAGCGGGGGACTTAGATTAACATAGGACCCTATGGGAAATACATACAAATGTCTTCTTTTTGAGAACCACTGAATGGAATGAAACAAAACATGGCATGAATGTTCCTTATGAGGTGCTGACCAAGTGTTGTTACTTTGCAGTAGGTCCATCATCCAAGATGGCAGACAGCAGGGGGACTTAGTTTAACATAGGACCCTATGGGAAATACATACAAATGTCTTCTTTTAGAGAACCAGTGAATGGAATGAAACCAAACATGGCATGAATGTTCCTTATGAGGTGCTGACCAAATGTTGTTACTTTGCAGTTGGTCCATCATCCAAGATGGCCGCCAGTGGGGGACTTAGTTTAACATAGGACCCCATGGGAAATACATACAAATGTCTTCTTTTAGAGAACCACTAAATGGAACGGAACCAAACATGGCATGAATGTTCCTTATGAGGTGTTGACCAAGTGTTGCTACTTTGCAGTTGGTCCATCATCCAAGATGGCCGGCAGCGGGGGACTTAGTTTAACATAGGACCCTATGGGAAATACATACAAATGTCTTCTTTTAGAGAACCACTGAATGTAATGGAACCAAACATGGCATGAATGTTCCTTATGAGGTGTTGACCAAGTGTTGTTTCTTTGCAGCCGATCCATCATCCAAGATGGCCGGCAGCGGTGGACTTAGTTTAACATAGGACCCTATGGGAAATACATACAAATGTCTTCTTTTTGAGAACCACTGAATGTAATGGAACCAAACATGGCATGAATGTTCCTTATGAGGTGTTGACCAAGTGTTGTTTCTTTGCAGCCGATCCATCATCCAAGATGGCCGGCAGCGGGGGACTTAGTTTAACATAGGACCCTATGGGAAATACATACAAATGTCTTCTTTTAGAGTACTGCTGAATGGGATGAAATCAAACATGGCATGAATGTTCCTTATGAGGTGCTGACCAAGTGATGCTACTTTGTTTGCCGATTTACTGTTCAAGATGGCCACCAGGATATTTTATTAAATAAAGGGACCAATATTAAACCAAATTTGGCCTCAATCATTATTTGGGTATCTGTTTTGATTTTTATCTATCTTTACATGATTTTTAAAACCAAAGTAGAGTCAGGTGAGCGACACAGGCTCTTGAGAGCCTCTTGTTATAAATTTAGATCAATTAAAATGACTGTATATTTTAAAATTATCAAGAATAGATCATGTTTACTTTCAATTTTTAAACGAAATGAAAACATGAAGTGACAAAAGGATAAAAAATTTAGAATGCATTCGGATTCAAATACGGATTGGTTCATGTTTAACAAAAAGGCAGGAAATTGTAATATTTTAAATTAAGTTGCTCAGTACATGATAAAGAAAGCCCCTCTCTGACTCTTGAAAATATTTTTGAACGTTTTGAATAAAGTTTTATCTTGATAATCGAAAATTGTCGAAAGATTTTGATGAAAAGTTATATAAAATGTGACAAAAATAAGTCATATGACTAAACTACATCAAACGAGGTGCAAACACTGATCGTTTGAGAAATTTTGAAATTAAAATGCGAACTGTTTGGGGGAAAACAATTTTGTTCAATTGACGAAACTACAAAAATATCTATGGATAAACGAACTCCAAATTGTGGTCTTTTTAGAAATATTGAAATTGAAATGCTGACTAACTGTTTTTACTGGGAAAAAATAATTATAATGGTCAATTATGAGGTTTATTAATTAACGGATTAGTGACCCATCCGATGGCGATTATAAAACGGATTACAATGTACCTGTAATCACAACTTATAACACCTGCTGTAAATGTTAAGTAGCTGAGGGTCATAAACTTGTCAGAAACATGAAGACAGGTAGAATTATAGTATTTTCATTAAAATAATACGACAATAAAGGCATGGATTTGCGAAAAAGGGCAGGGCGTCTTAAAAAGGGCACAGGGCATAAAAAAATGGGCACAAGGCGTCAGTCGGGAAAGGGTGGGCGGACTTCCCTGTGAAAACAATCAAGCTGGAACACTGTCATTGAACAACCATTCACACTGAGTACATCGGTCATGATAACAACACCGAATGTTATGGAGAGTTTACAGACACCAACATTGCCGCATCCATTTTACAAGACGAACCTATGAGGAATTCCGACCCAACAGATGATACAGACAGCAAAGACGAGTTAGAAGAAAGCATCGTTCCAGTGAATTTCTCCCAGGCAAACACACTTGTCACTGGTTAACGACGTGCTATGGAGGAACACAATTGTACTGACTTCTCAACCTACTACAAAATGGAAGCTGAAATTCTAAAGATGTTTGGTCAGTCAAGACGACAATGCAAGATTACAGAGTTTGTAAACTTGATACCATAATGACATTTATTTTGTAACTCTGTAGAAATTAGTGCTGTGTAAATATTATATGCTTTATGAAAATTAATCTTAGCTATTTTATGACTTTTTGGAAAACAGTATTAAATGTCAGTATTCACCTCTGAAGCTAACAAAACCTTTAAACAGACTTATTAAGAAGGGATATAGTTACGATACTGTTGTCAGGTCATTAAAGATTGCATATTTTGGCGTTAATATTGATTCACTTATAGGGTCTTTGCATCGGCACTAAACACATTTATTTAAAAACCAGTTGTTGGCATGACACGGGTTATGTTCTTCTCATATATGTTATGATGGTATGATACTAAACCCCTAACGGGAAGGATTGTGCCTGATATTCATATGCTGAAGACATAATCTTTCAATCAGTTTAATTGAAGTCTGGAGCTGGCATGTCAGTTAACTGCTAGTAGTCTGTTGTTATTTATGTATTATTGTCATTTTGTTTATTTTCTTTGGTTACATCTTCTGACATCAGACTCGGACTATTCTTGAACTGAATTTTAATGTGCGTATTGTTATGCGTTTACTTTTCTACATTGGCTAGAGGTATAGGGGGAGGGTTGAGATCTCATAAACATGTTTAACCCCGCCGCATTTTTGCGCCTGTCCCAAGTCAGGAGCCTCTAGCCTTTGTTAGTCTTGTATTATTTTTAATTTTAGTTTCTTGTGTACAATTTGGAGTTTAGTATGGCGTTCATTATCACTGAACTAGTATATATATTTGTTTAGTGGCCAGCTGAAGGACGCCTCCGGGTGCTGGAATTTCTCGCTGCATTGAAGACCTGTTGGTGACCTTCTGCTGTTGTCTGTTCTATGGTCCGGTTGTTGTCTCTTTGACACATTCCCCATTTCCATTCTCAATTTTATTGTGCAAATGATATGTTCTTTATGAAAATTAAACCATGCTATTGTACTTTTCAGAAAATATTGTTTTGAATATGATATATGCTTGAAAAAATATTAACTGTCAGTCAATAAATTATTTTATATGTTGAAATGTTACTGTCTATAATTATTTCATCTGTATGATTGATTAAAGATACAATTTGCTTCTCACTCTCATTTGAATTAATTATTACCCCTGAAGGAGCCCCTTTCCAACTTTACATATAAGGAAAATGTAATGAGGTCACTGAATCCAGATACACAAAAATCAATTCTGCGGTTGAAAAGCATTTTAAAGAAACATGGGTACACTTTTTTGATAACCTTCTTGGTAATTGGTTATTGCCTGCTTGAATAAACAGGAGTGATGGTTTATTTAACATACCATCACAGATAAAAAAAAACAATTATACTTTATCTGTTTATAGATCAAAAACTGACAACAACACTTCTGGTCTGACGTCAACCAAAATCATGATTTCCGTTATAAGCATACTCCACTTAATTGCATAATTTTGTCTGACAAATAGGCTATGCAAATAACCAGAATTGACTCTAGAACTTCTTTTTTTTTCTGAAAATACATTTTTAATAAGTACCAGTATGAAGTAATTTTGCAACAGATCAGAACTTAATGAAAAATTAATGATTAGATATCTTTCATAAAATAGGTCAATAAATGGTACAATTTGGAGCGTGACATGGACACTTGTCTATCATTAAAAACAGTGATACATATAGCTCTCAAGAAGTCTCAATGTCAAGATCATATTCTATTCATGAAACACTGAACATCCCTTAAAGTCTGTTCTGTTTTTCAAACTCCTTTAATTTGCAATATAAAATAAGTCGAAGATATTGGGTAAAATGCATGAAATTTCAGTCTAAATGTAGCTGGCCATTTGATAGCATTATCTAGCTATAGTGTATTCCATCTCATATATTAAATTAGTTTGCATCTATGGCCTAATGAGATACACATGACTGTTGAAAGCAATGAAAAATTTTCCTGAATATAAGAGTACCAACAAAGATTTAGATAACTCTGGTTTTATTGTGTTATTAGGTTGCTGTTTTATTGAAATTTACCATACATTTTTTTACCGTTGTATTATTGTATAATATCTATGTTCTTCTGTGTACCTTTGTATCCACAGCGGTTTATCAGAATAAAGTATATGTATTACAACCTCACATTTGACTTCATAATGTATTCCTGTTTTCACTTCAGATTTTAATTAAAATGTCTACTGGTGGAAATCTTGTAGTTCCCATGGTATTATGGGGAGACAACTGTCCTACACACTGTATATCAGCTGTGTTGATGACACCTGACCAGAGAACTATTATCACTGGTTGTAATGATGGACAGCTTGGTATATGGGACGTCACAGAAAATTGGCAGGTAATACACAACTGTACCCTATTTTTAATTGAACATAATTGGAAAAGATTGATAGAAAGTAAAAGATACATTGTAGCTTGTGAGAGAATCATTGTTACCCTTTCCAATATTTCTTTCAGTTAAAATAACTGTTAAGAAACATAAACAAGAGAGAGTGTGTATATGTTGATTTGATACAGAAATGTGATGTAGTTAGTACAATTTGTTGATTACTATCGCCCCTGATTATGTACACGAATTTGTCTCAATCATTTCAGAGACGCAGTAAGAATCCAGTGTTCTTCCTGCTAATTTCAGATATCATCCTGGTAAACAAGTAATTATGAAATACCATCTTATTGTTTGAATTTTTGTTTCATAAAATTATAACATTACATCCATTACACAATTTATAAGAAAATAATTTCAGATAGTATCATATACAAGCAATATAGTATCACATATCATGATGCTAAAATGCCCTGGAAAAACAAATTATGAGAACCAGTTATTACATGTTTATGTATAAGTCCTAAAAGGTTGCTAGCTTAAACACAAGTATTGATGAAATAATAGTATTTAATATTTTAATATGAATATTAAGGATGTTTTTTTTGCTTGGTATGTACTGATGTCCCTAAGCACTGACTATTCATAAAAAGAATTCAAAATTGTTTTAATATATTTTAAGCTATTCTTAATCAACAAAAAAGGAAACAACTTACATCCAATATTGAAATAAGGTTAACAAATACCAAAGCTTCACTCTTATACACTTTCATTAATATAAAAGAGGCAAAATATCCTGTACCTTCATCAATATTAAAAAGATTGAATATCCCATACCTCTAAATTCCAACTTTCAAGAATCACCCTGAATTTATGCAAATATAAAAATAAGACGATGTGGTATGATTGCTAATGAGACAACTCTCCACAAGAGACCAAACAACACAGAAATTAACAACTAAAGGTCACTGTACGGCCTTCAACAATGAGCAAAGCCTATACTGCATAGTCAGCTGTAAAAGGCCCCGAAATGACAAATGTAAAACAATTCAAAACGAGAAAACTAACGGCCTAATTTATGCACACAATAATGAACGAAAAACAAATATGGTTTTTTTTTGTAGATATTTCCAAGAAGTTTACTCTTTGGACATACTACTGCTATCAGTTGTTTGGCCTTGGGCAGTAGCAAATCAGAAACGCCATATGTTGTCAGTGCTTCAGAGAATGGGTATATTAAAATAGTTCTTCTGTAACCAACAGTTCATACATTTTATGATTATAGACGATTTGCTATAGGTAACGAACATTATAAAGATATGGTTTAAAAAAATATGATACACCTGTCCCCTGAAGACAATATAGTCAGATATTTTATCATATAAATGTATTCATTTAGGATGCAGTTCATGAAAGTTAGTACTATGGACACCAATGTAAATTTTTCAAACTTGTGTTAAACAAAGCTAGATTTACAAGCTATTATGAAATAAAAACTTGTTGTAAATCAGTGTAATGTATAATTTCAGAGAGATGTGTCTTTGGGATATAAGTGATGGTAGATGTGTAGAATGTAGCAAGTTAACAGTCACACATACAAACATGCAGGTAACTAAGATAATAGTAAAGTATGGACTGTACTACTGACCTGATAATACAGGTAGCAAGTTAACAGTCACACATACAAACATACAGGTTACTAGGATAATAGTAAAGTATGGACTGTACTACTGGCCTGGAAATACAGGTAGTATTACGAACACTGTGAACAACTACCAAAAGAGTTACAAAATGATGCTCCATATTAATAAATGGAGATGTTTGGTGAATGTCATTGAGATAACAACCCAAAAACACGTTAAAATGAAAAAAGTGTGTACAGTTTAACATAAGTTCTTACATATACACAAGTGTAAAATAGGCAGAGAAGATACCAAGGAGGCAATAAAGCTGTTAGTCAAAGAAAAATGACAATAGTCCACAAAACACTACACACAAAATGTTTAAATGAGCAACTCAAATCCCAAACCAAAAACCAAGGTTGAACTCAGGTGCTAGAGGGAGAGCAGTTCCTTCTTCAATAGTGACAACCATAATGTTGCTCATGGCCCATGAGTAACAATATGGTTGTCAATAGTGAAATCAAGTAAGAATCTAGTGATAAGTTGTATTAAGTGAAGATGTAATCATTGAAATGAGAAAAGAATCCTGATTTATTTGATAGTGGACAAGTAGGAAGTAGAAGTAGACAATTTTTTAAATGATTTTCTATTATTGTCCCTATGTAGTATTGTGTGAAGGATATAAAAATAAAAGACATCTATAATTTCTTAAAGAGTAAGTACAATAGTTATTTCAATTTGAATAAGTTTTAATTCTTTACAAATGAATTGTCTTTTCTTTTCCAGTCTTACTACTTCAAGAACTCCAAAGACCTACGCCTTGTATGTAACGGTTATTATCCAGAAATTCTGATCATCGACCCTTTGACTTTTGATACCTTGTACACATTGTGTTCAAAAGTATTGCCTGATTGGATAAGTGCATGCTGTGTTCTCAGGCCAGTGAAAAGAGAAGGTAATGCATGATATTGATATTAGATATGTGGATAAGTGGTTGCAATTAAGACCAAAATAATGTTACACTGAACCTTGTTCTTCTTATATCACTTGAAGAGAATTTTGTTATAGTAAATTCAGTTATTTACTTGTAATTTGTCATATAGAATTGAAACAGTGTGCAATGAATAAACAAATATTGAAACTGAATAAACATTTCCATTTTCAATAAATGTATGTATTTTCTCTTTTAGAAACCATTCCTGTTAGGTGAAACTTGACCTGTCAAGATATTTTGATTTTATAGAAGTAATATCAAATGTATTTCATTTGAATAATAATAATAATGATAATGTAAATCATGGTTAATATATTTTAACAAATGTTTTTTTTTAGATGAACAGAGTAAGTACTTGGGTAACAGAAATTTAAAAAAAAAAAATCAAACGAAAGATCTCTATACCTAACCTTATTACTATCATTTTCGATTTTTATCCACAATAAAGGCTTTACAATCTTAACATATATTTTTTAATTATTTGATGCTGTTATTTTTTTCTGACTATCATCTAACAATCAGGATGGATTATTGCTTTGGTGAAATGACTTATGATAAATTTAACTTTAGAAATCTAGCCAATGACCTGATATGTTCTCTATAAGACCCTTCCTAAATGCACGAAGGAATATGTTATAATATTTCGAATAACCCATTAGAAATCATTGCTATTGTTGAAAAAAGAATTTCATTATCTAGAAAACCTTTATCCATTTTCTGCTTAACCTTCAACATAAAATTGGCATTTCTTATTACCATTTAAATGATCAAATGGGATGTTTTCCAAGCTTGAGAGTCCTGTACCACCTATGATGTCTTAGTTCATCATATATCTATTACCCTGTACAAAGTTTTAAAAATTAAGATATTTAACCATGTTTGAAGATCAGATTTCTATTTCATAAACATTTGTCAGTGTGCTCTTTGTTCCTTACAATTACTTTAAATACCATGCAGTGATACATGCCATAACCAAAGAGCTGTTTGCTTATTGTCTCATTAACCCATTTGCTGTGCATCTATAGCTAATATAAGCATTTTTTATGCCAATAGTTATTTTATAGGCATTTTTTTACATGCATTGTCAAAAGGCGGAAGTAGGCTAAGCAAATGCTTGACTCCGTACGTCCAAAGAGAAACTTTCCTCAAAGTTTTCTTGGCTTCTATGAAAGTGTTAAGGTTGAGTTGTAGCAAGCAAGTTTGAAATTTTACAACACTCATAGTACAAGGAAAATTTTCGTCAAAGTTTTCTAGGATTTTATGAAAGGGAATGATTTAATATTTAGTCTGCAGCTTGATAAAATTTAATTCTAGCAAGTATGCAATTTTTACATCTGCATTGTAGCCATTTCCTGTTTGAAGATAGTTTGAAATTTTACAGCACTCATTGTACAAGTAAAACTTTCATCAAACTTTTCTTGGCTTCTATTGAAGTGAATGATTTGAATATTTGGTTTGAGAATGATCAGTTATGCTCCCGTATACATGTTAACTCAATTAATTGAATGCAGTGACACAGGTCCAGGCCCTGTATTGGTCTTGTTTAAATTGGAACATTAAAATGTATTTCTTTATTTGAACAAAATATATATATATAGAGATAATATCTTCTAAGAATGATAGACCAATCAATACAGTGATCTGGAAGGATTTTTTCTCTATGGGCCCAGGGCCCCCCAAAAATAAATTCAATGGGCCATTTTTAGAATTAATGGGCCATGTTGTCAAATGAGTGGGCCATTCGTTAACAATAAAAAAATAAATAAAAAAAGTGTATATTTCACTGTACTTACAAGTATGATTCTAATTAATATCATGGAAATTGTTCCTGTGATTTTGTTATTTCAATTTCAATGAATATACAATAACTTCTTCCAAACCGGGCAATATTTACGATAACCTTTATTTACAATGTTAAAACTGGTACTGTTCCCTTGTTCATGTTCATTATTTTTTTACATTAAATTTGGGTCTTCGTCGATACCATACTTATTCCAGACGTTCCGTATTAGAGGACGTTTCTGGCATTTCCTCTGCACTTGTATTATTATTACTTCATCACGATGACAAGAATAACAGTAGAGAGCAACGTGAATTGATAAGACACGACAACAATTCGCTGAAGGCATGTTTAATGTCAAAACTAGCCAAAGACCAAAAAAATTGACAAGGACAGTTAAGCCCCTTTTATGGAGACAAATACTATGCTATTCATAAAAAGGCTTTTGGATTTTTCAATCGAAATAATAGCAAGCTTACTTAAAAGATTATAATTAGAGAAGAATTCTCGACTGTACTAGCCAATTTTCACAAATTTAAAGTTGTTTATAAAAAAATATATCATGAATGATGGTTAATTACGTTTTTTGGGTAATCAGTCATACCGCATGTTGCTATTATTACCATAGGAAAACACCCGAGACGTCCCAAAAATATATAGGTGCTCCTATCATTGGAGTTGTGTACTCGACACGGCACGAAATACGATCGGAAATCCATTTGACGATATCTCAACGTTTCAAAACGAAGTGAAAAATATCATGCGCCACGCGGGCGCTTATCTTTGTCACTCTATGCGCCATTTCTGGTCGATAAGCGCAATTGGCGCAAGGCGCACGTCCTTCCCGATCACTGCAATACATTGATTTATATAATTAACACATTCTCAATTTATATGAAAGTATTCTCTTAACCATTATATGATTTGTTCTGTAATATTTTCATCTGCCTTTTGTACAGCTTGCAGTTAATTTTCAAAATTTTATTTTGTAGAAGATGTTTTGTTAGCAATAACTAACTCAGGTGCAGTGAAGATATGGATGTTGACTGGTTATGAAAATAGGGTAGCTATTTATTTAAATGTTTATGTATATAATTACAACTCTGTATATGAAAAAAAAACATAATCGACACATGGTAAAAGATGAAATTAAGTTTTCTCAACTATTTTAATTTTATACAAAAGCGACTAAATTTCTTATAAATTTGAAGCAATGAAATTCTATACAAACATTGGGTACCTTGGTAACCATTTTATACTTGAATGACTGATAAGTTTAAATGTTTTATAAGAATAAAGATAAGCAACTGAAAGTCATTTAAAAGGGATAATTGTGCAGTTGAAACCTCTTGGTATTTTTTAGACAGTAATAAAGACCCATACAAAAAATTGGTCAAATTGCCTTGTATTTCTTCATGAAATCCTTATATATACAACAAGTCATACAAATCAAAATTAATTTAACTTTCCAATGAATTTAAGTCTTACTTAACCCCTTTTAGGATAATATATCACATGTGACTTCTCTTTCTATTTCTGTTGAAATTTTTAAGTACTTTTTATACTTTTGCGGTCGTATATTGGTATGACGTTGGCGTCGTTGTCGTCGTCCGAAGACACATTGGTTTTCGCACTCTAACTTTAGTTTAAGTGAATGGATCGCTATGAAATTTTACCACAAGGTTCAATACCACAAAAGGAAGGTAGGGATTGATTTTGGGGGTTATGGTACCAACAGTTAAGGAATTAGGGGCCAAAAAGGGGCCAAAAATAAGCATGTTTGTAACTTCCAGACATAACTTGTGTGTTAGTGTATGGATCTCTCTGACATTATACCACAAGGTTCCATATCACAAAGGGAATGTTGGGATTGATTTTGGGGGTAATTGCCTCCAAATTTTAGGAATTAGGGGCCAAAAAGGGGCAAAAAACAAGCATTTTTCTAGTTTCATGACAATAACTTGTGTGTAAGTGTATGGATTTCTCTGACATTGTACCCAGTGTTCTCCCCAGGATTTTTGGATAGCACCAGGGTAACGCGTGTGAACAGCTTGGTGAAATGATTCATACAATCAGTTGTGTCGCGTGACGTCGCTATATTTCTAGTTACTGCAGTTTTTATGTCTCTTGTTTTGTTTTAATACTGTGGTACTGTGTTATTTCAGAATATTATTGGTTAAAAAGATCAATAACCAGTTTGTATACTTTTAATATTTTTAAAAAATAAATAAAACATGATTCATTACATAATATTCATCTAAATTAAAAGTAATTAAATCTTTTATAAAATCCATGATCAATAAAAATAAAATATCATTCAAACAGGAACATATATATTGTTAGATATACTGTTCCCAGATTCAAAAGAGAACAAAAATGTTCAATTTAAAAAACTTTCTAGTTTCTAGAAAGAAAGTTGTTGTATGTGAAAGGATTCTTGTCATAAGGAGATATAAAATTAACAAGAACAAAATTGTGTTATAATTTGAACCAGTTTCTATCTTAAATTTTAATAAAAAGAAATTTTTGATAAATTTTAAAACATTTTGCTATAGATTTCATGTACATGTAAATATTAACCTTTCTTGTCTTTGGTGATAATCAAACATAGATACAGACTTAATACTGCACTGAAATCTAAATCTTTATTTGTCATGATATATTTAAAAAGAATTCCTAAATCTATAAATTTATCTTAGGTCTATAGATCTATAAGTAACCATATTCAATGTCAACAACAAAGTCTCCCTATTTTCCCGCCTAAATGACAGGAAGTAGATATAAATAGATTTAACATGTGCTTATGGATTAAAATTGCAAGATCACTTCTGTTATTCATAAATGATCATATGGATATAGATATCCAGTTTGAAGGTACAGTCATGCATTTTATTTATAGAATAGAATAGATTGCAGTTAATTGTAAATAATCTTGAATATTCTACGTGAACTAACTGGTTCATGTGATCCTTCCCCTTTGAATTTCTTGTTGACAGTTTGAAACCGGAATATCATGCAATAATTATGTCATAATTAAAGTTAATGTTGGCCATGGTTTAATCAGAGACATATAAAACTATAATATAAGTTGAGCTAACTTTATCATGTACAAAATAATATGTACCGTCGTGTGTACAACTATCGGGTCAACACGGTTTGTTTACAAAGTATTTGCCGACTTGTCAGGTGGTGAGTGATGCCTTAAAATAGTTATCTTTGATCATAAAGTTATGATCTCTAAATTAAAACACAAAAGAATCATATAAAAAGTGTTAATTACATCGATTCAATTCATCCAATCAACAAAGGTTAACCTCATAAAGGTAAATCGATCACGTGGTGTAAACAATCCGTGCTGAACTGGTTTGAACTGGTCAAATTTCACCTGGAATTTTATACCGCATGGAAAAGATTTAACAAGTCGTTTAAAACTTTACCGATTTACGATTTTTTAACTGAAAATTTTAGCACCACGGAGAAAAATTATACATCGCGGTTAGAACGATACCACCACGGTAAAAAATTATACATCGCGGGCCCGCGGTCCTTTAAGGGTCTGGGGAGAACACTGGTACCACAAGGTTCCATATCACAAAGGGAATGCTGGGATTGATTTTGGGGGTAATTGCCTCAAAATTTTAGGAATTAGGGGCCAAAAAGGGGCAAAAAACAAGCATTTTTCTAGTTTCATGACAATAACTTGTGTGTAAGCGTATGGATCTTTATGAAATTGTACTACAAGGTTCCATATCACAAAGGAAAAGCTGGAATTGAGTTTGGGGGTAATTGCCCAAAACGTTTAGGAATAAGGGGCCAAAAATAAGCATTTTTCTAGTTTCCAGACAATAACTTGTGTTCAAGTGTATGGATCTCTCTGAAATTGTACTGCAAGGTACCATACCACAAAGGGAAGGCTGGGATTGATTTTGGGGGTAATTGCCTCAAAATTTTAGGAATCAGGGGCCATAAAGGGGCAAAAAAACAAGCATTTTTCTAGTTTCAGGACAATAACTTTTGTGTAAGTGTATGGATCTTTATGAAATTGTACTGCAAGGTTCCATATCACAAAGAGAAAGCTGGGTTTGAGTTTGGGGGTTATTGCTCTAAATGTTTAGGAATTTGGGGCAAAAAAGTGGCCAAAAAACAAGCATTTTTCTAGTTTCCAGACAATGACTTGTGTTCAAGTGTATGGATCTCCCTGAAATTGTACTGCAAGGTACCATACCACAAAGGGAAGGCTGGGATTGAGTTTGGGGGTGATGAATCATAAGGGGGTTCAAAAAATTTGGGGGGGGGGGGGTTTTCTTTAAAATTTTCCATTTTAAATTGGTTATTTCTGATTTATATATAAAAGCAAATAATAATGATATGGTTTGAATAGGTTAATTAAATTTTTTTAAGTTCTTAGACCACTTTCATTCAGAAACCTATGCTATGTCAAATATTTAATTACAATCCAAATTCAGTGCTGTATCAAGCTTGAATGTTGTGTCCATACTTGCCCCAACTGTTCAGGGTTCGACCTCTGCGGTCGTATCAAGCTGCGCCCCAGCAGAGCATTTTATTGGTACTTTAAAAAGCAATCAATATATATTAACATAACAGGGCATTGTAGAAATCCTATTTTGATAGGCACAGCCAGTGTTTGAAGAAGAATCTAAGCAGATAAGATGTCTGAATGCAGAAACTTTAACATGTTGTACTTTTAACCAGAGAACTGTTCTAATAGTCTGTTCCAAATATTGGCAGGTAAGATTTTAACTTCTGAATACTGGTTTGTTAATTTGATTTAAGGCAAATTAGTGATGGGACAAAAATTGAAATAATAGGTTGTTCAAGGTAAGATATTTGCTTGTATTTTCTTTGTTTTGTTAACAGATTTATCTTTAAATTCTATTCACTGCTTGTTTAATGATATTAGAGGTTTGAAATTTTTTAATTTAGGCAGAAAATAGAGTTGTTTGGATTGTTCAGCATGCTTTAATTTATACACATCAGGATTTTAGATAGAATCATAAGAGGCTTAAAATATTTTCTTTCATATAATATTATCACAGATGCTACAAACTGTTTTTGATTATTATCGATTTTTTATCCATTACACTATTTCTAATGATTAACTGCTAATTTTTCATGTAAATTAAGCCAAACATTGCAGTTTTCTACTTGTATAAGGATATTCTCTCACAAAATGTTCTTATCTATAAAATATGTTTTGCTAACTCACATTTTTATTTCTCTAATATTTCGTAATTAGATAAAAATTTAAACACTTCATTTTTGTTTTTGAATGTTAGAAGTGAATATATTTATTATCCATTTCGTATAAAAAAGATTAAAAAAAAACATTTCATCTTCAATGCTGCTTATTTTAAGCAAAATAATAAAAACAAAAATGTATATGCATGTATCAGATTGTATGTTTTTGGTAAAATGATTTAAAACACTTATTGTATAATGAAACACCTTTATCTTAGGTAGTGTTTGATTAAATAGAAATTTGCATATTTTGATTTAAAGGTGTATGATTTTGATGTGAAATCATGTTATGACAGAATTAAGGATAAACGTTTATTGGTAAGGCCTGCATGTTAGAACATGAAAATGAAACTTCTGTATTGTTTAGCTGAGTCTGTAAAGTATATTGTATGTTCAAGATTTGAACAAATACAAGTGACAAAATTAGTATGTCTTCACTTGATATGTAATGACCTCTTTCATTGCTTATCATTTTGTTAGTCATGATATTTGAAAATACAATTTGTGAAATTGTGTATAAATGTGTTTTTACTGTCAGAAAGCTTTTTCCCATTTCTAATGTTGTTTAGAATGCCAGTAGCTTTAAAAGCACTTGTTGACCATTCCCATGTTCAAATTCAAGGAAATCTTTGAACCAAAACATGAAAATCTGAAAACCCATTTAAAGCCTGACCACATTTAAAAAATCTTATATTACCACTATCTTGGATAATTTCAAAGTGGACAGCAATTCACAATGTGTCAAAATGGATATGTTTTATTGCTGCAAAGCTGAAGATAGGGAGGATTACCCATAATGCCCAAATGTATCTTATTTATTGGACCTATGAGCCCATTGAGCTAATTAAGACATATTTTGATATATCGGGACCTGTTCACAGAGCTTGTCATTCGATTTATGTGCACATGACTTTCAAAGGTAGAATTTTAATCACAGTTGTTTATCGCTGTTATCATTAAAAGACTAAAATTTTGTTTAAAAACATGTGATTGTTTATAAAAAAGAGTTTTACTAGATTGCTTAACTGCTAAAATTCAATTAAATTACCTCCCCTGAATTTGACATTTTGCACAAGTTATCTCCCTTACCTAACGACTAATTCCTCAATTTATATGTAAGTCTTTAGTTCTAGTGTGTTTTGTAAAATATATCTTTCAAAAATGAATAAATTGTTGTCAACAACACACAATCCTGACTGAATTTAATCAACCTATACAAAACTGATGTCCTTATAAATAGGCAATTGGCTCGAAATTTTAATGTCCCTACTCTTGCCCACACATAGATTTTATAAGTGCTCTGCGAAACAGTACTCTGTTGCTTAATATTGAAAAAAAAAGTATATTTGCTTACATGAAATTGATATTTGACATCATTTAGTAGAAATATAATTGATGCAGAAGTTTCAAATTAATAATGCCCTGAATATTATAATCACTGTACTCAATATCAGTTGTTGTTAGCTTTTTCAGCACAATATTTCAAAGTCAGAACAAAGTAGATTTGCTATTTTGAATGTCTGTATCAGGATCAGTTTTATTAAGACATTCTGTTTACCAGTAGATTTTTATGTTCATTTCATATTTGATTGTTTGCATATATGATTTGGTAGTAGATATGTAGCTTAATATGCATAAATTATATACGATGGGAATTGGTGTTAGAAAAAATGTCAATTCACATGTATTAAATTAGAAGACACACACACACAAAACCAGTCAATTCAATATATAATAATTTAATGAATCAATTACTTTATTTAAAAACATAAAATACCTATTGCAGCGAACTTCAAGGTTATTTACAAAAGTAGAAGACAAAGCTTAGCATATTGATCGAAAGAAAGACGTAGGATTGTTGTTGTCTTATAACTAACTTGCTGGACGTACAAGCTCTTAAAGTATCATGGTATCTTGATTGGCTATAAGCAACTATAGTTTTTAGGTTTTTTTGTGGGATACCAAAATTTGTTGATTTCCTGGGTTAAGGTCAACCACAAATTTGAATTTTCAAAGAAATACAAATTTTCTATAGGTTTGTATGCAGACTTTGGCAATAGCACGAAATCAAATATTCACCAAAATACAATTTTTCTCTCATCAACGAAAATAAATAAATCTTATATGGTACCGAACCTCTAGTTTGTATAACAGCTGATACTTCTGAGACAAAAATCATACTAGCACACCCTCAGTATTAAGTGAATAGGAATTAATGTGATATATTGAGTCGTTATTCAACCAATCAAAGAATCTAGAATTCTTGTACTGGTAATGAGTAATAATTTTTTTTCAAGGCATTTCATAAATGTGTTGGATCAAAAGTTTTAATTTTAGGTGTAGGAATTTGTCTTTCAATAAATGCAAACGACAGTGTGGTGACTCTATATGTATACATTTTATGAATTTATATTGTTGGATAGCTTTCTCATTTAGGTTGGCTTAAAGTCTCATAAATAACTAATGATGATAAACAAAAGTTAATGTTGTATACATTGAATTTAATACAATATAAATCAGTTTTATAAAAGATATAACTAATATGTTTAATTAGTGATAAAAAACTGAGATCTATTTATTTTTATGATTTAAGTTTCCTGTCATTCCTACCATTACAGATATATGATGCTGGAGATTTTACTTTGTTGTGTTCTGAGTCTAATCGTTGTGGTGAACGCTGGTCTGGCGGTGATTTCATAAGTGTAGATAAAGTATTGGTATGGAGTAGTGATGGTAAAGGCTACCTATATAAATTACCTACAAAGTAAGTTCATAAACATTGATGAAGAAACTTGATTATACAAGATTTTTTACTAGTAATCAGTTTGTCAGAGTAACCTTCCCTTTCACAAATTTCACATCATGCATATTCATATCCAAAGCAGTCTAGATAAGTTTTCACGTTGGGATTAGCTCATAATTGTAACATTACATATTTATTATATCTAATAGATATGAATTTCAGTATGTAAAGTGATATATGTCTAGCCTGATAAAAAAATCACGAACAGATTACATGGTCTTATCATCTTTATAAATAAGTAGATAAATAAAATTTTCTTTATTCTTACTCATTGCAGTTCACATCGCAAAGAATGGAGTTAGCTGATTTTTTAAATTTGCATATTTGTAAACTGTTATTTGAGTACTTTTCAGGCTTGACAGATGTTTTACTGTGGATTAAATATTTTTTGTGGGATAACAATTTTCGTGAATAAGGGGAAAACCACAAAATTAAATGTCTAACGAATACAAATTTTCTATAGGCTTGTATGCAGACTTTGCCAATCACATGGAATCAAATATCAAAGAATATGTAATTTTTCCTCAATCCACAAAAATAAGTATCCACGGAATTGAATGAATCCACAGTATCATAATTTCAACTTACGAGCAATGATGCTAAAGCTGTTGCATTAATTTAAATGTGCTGTTATTTAAGTTATCCATTTGCTCATAAGTTTTCATTGAGCATCCAATATATTTATAGAAATTTGTAATTTTAGTCAAACTTTTCAATAGTTATATTATATCATATTACATTCTAGTTTACTGAAAGGAAAAGTTTTCACCAGGTAATATGTCAAGTCTGAAAATATTCTGTTTGTAGCAAACTTGTTCATGGCAAACATTCCATAGGAAAAAAGTTTATATTTTTTTATTTAATCTAATGGTGCAGTAAAAATGTTTTTAGTATTGTTTACTCTCAGAAAGGCATTTGACTAATACAGATTCAATAAAAGAATTATTTTCCTGGTTTGTCTTTCCCAGAAGGAGTTACTATTTGACAAATTGGTTAGAATGAAGTGTATTAAAATACACAGCTTTAAAACTTTAGATAAATTTCAAATTGATTGATTATTTCCAAAAATATGGTTTAACACATGTATGATTTCAGTTTTATTTTGTGGCCAGAAATTGACATGTTTTAGTATTTGATTGTTTGCTGTGAATGAGATTGATTCAGAGAAAATCTCCAGTTGAGCATGGTTTTCAGGCTTGATGTTTCATGATTGCTTTTAATGTCTGTCACATTTATTTCAGTGAACCTTTCATTTAAACACCACACCTAGGATAGTAGTAGGGCATTATTTTTTCTGGTCTATGCGTCTGTCTGTTAATCTGTTAATCTGTCCATTCATCCATCCTGCACCAGGTTTAAGTTTTAGTTTAAGGTAGATTAAAGTTTGGGTTTAATGTAGATTATCATGAAGTTGTGATCACATTAGCTTGAAAAAAATTAGTGCAAATGTTTATTATGATGTGACCTTTTTAAAAATATTTTCCAAATAAGGATTTTGATAAAGATTTTGTGGATCTCTGAAGGCAGAATTGTGATAGTGTGAGGTGGCATGGTGTCCTATTGAAAAATATTCTTGTTTTGAGATGTTAATTTTATAATTAACCAATTATGATTAAAATGATAGAATTTCTTTTTCCTTCAAGAGTTTTAAAGTCATATTTTACTAAGATTATTTAAGAATTTCTGTCTCATCATTTAGAAACCTTTGAGATTTGCTCTTTTAATGATAAAATTATTTTAAACAACTAAAAGGATGAAAAAAATAGTTTGTTGATGCTGCTTATAGTAGAGCTTGGCGCCCAGTTTGAGTATTAACTGCTGTATGTGGTGAAACAATTTTGTGAAATTCTCACTGTATTTGGTTTTGCACTGACATGAACATGTAGATGTTTATTACATAATTCATTTATGTTTCTTTAATATTCGTATTTTGTTCAATCTAATTATTATTAACTGTTATTTTGATTCCAATTTTGTTTTTTGTAATGTTTTGAAAAATATATATTTATGTTAAAGATAGAATATTTCAGACCAAAGGAACATTTCATGTCAGAGGATATTTCAGCATAAGGGAATATTTCATGCTCACGTAAAATGTATTTATTTTATATCAGATTCAGTGTCCAATCCTGAATTTAACATATCAAAACTAATGTAATCATCCCCTTTTGATTTTCTTAAAGATTGTTTCAGACTAGCCAGCCTGTCCTTTACCTGATTTTAACAGACATAATGGTTGGGTAATTTGTTGTTTCAGAAACCAATTCATTTTGGGTAATATTTTCAAAACTGTACATTGTACAATGCATGAAATATTTGCCACTGGATGTTAAGCAATCAATAAATCAAAACTGTATGCCAAAACATTGCGATTGATTATAAACATCCTAAACAATCGAAATTAAATCATTGACATGACTCTATTTTCAATTTTATAGTCCTTTAGATTTTGAAAATTGGCGCATTGCCTAACATCTTCCTCCTTCATGACTATCAATTTCCTTAAAAAAACACACTTTGTCTCAATTTCACTGTATGATGTGTTGTCATCATAGATTTTTATTAAATAACATCAGTTCCCAAAAAATAATGTATGTGCTAATGTTTCTGTCTAGATTCCAACACAAAACATAGCCACTAATTTCCAAACCTTTCGTTATTTAATTTGAATAGTAATGATAAACTCTCTGAAGGCTTGTTTATTATTATATTGAAATTGAATAACTCAAGTTGATATCAAGCAATATCCAATTCTTACTTGTTATGAAACCTATAAATATTCCAGAGTATAGAATTTATTGGGCATTATCATTCATTTATTGCTACACATGCACAAATCACAAAATTCCTGTGCACATTTAAGCCTAGATAGGATAACGTAACCCTATATTTGCAACAACATAACCCTGTGTTCACGACTCTGCTGTCAGGCCCCAGTTTTTCCTATCTTGGAATTGTTACTTTGAAGAAAAAAATAATCTGATATTGAAATCAAAGTCATTTCATTTCCTGCTACTCTTTTCTTTAAACTTCTTTCTATCTTGGGAATATAATTTATAACATGAAAACTTTAAGCAGGAGATATTTTGTAAGCCATTTATATATTGTTATTACAGCCTTTTGTCTAAGTCAGTAGAGTGAGTACCCTCCCCTTTATTCTGATTCTATGCTTCAGCCTTATTTTGTCACTATGAAATCTTACTTCATTGCAATGCATTATATATTGTTTTTCCTATAAATTAATTATGAACACTTAATTAATTTGGTGCATGCAACACGCTTTCTGGAATAACCTTCATCAGGAACGCTCCAATCCAAAAATTTGAAAGACAAGGATGTATAAATATTATAAAAAGAGCATGATCTTGATAAAAAACATTTACAATTTAATCTATACCTTGGGGTTTTACTTTCAACGTGCCTGATAAGGATTTTGGTAAGGTAAGTTCAATATTTCTACCTTAAAATTAAAGTAATATTCATTCAAAAAATTATGGACAGTGGAGCATTTTCCGTGTAGAAGGACTTGATTAGTCAACTTAAAAATTTACCTCAAAGGGGCAATTTTTCATGAACTAGTTTCCGTGCAATGAGATAAGATTTTTGTTTATCATATATTGCAGCAATAGATCAAATGACTCACATCTTCATAACTCATCAGAAATTTCAATCAGCAAATTACAGCATCTTCATTTCTTCTACATGACTTTGCTAGTTAAAACTTTAATTTCTGATATATTCTGTATATTTTCTATGTTTAATGAATGAAGCATAGAAAACATCCGTGTATTCAATCTTTAAAAAAGTTTGTCATCAATGTAGATATAAACATTGAAAAGAACTTAAGGATAACAAACTTGCAAATCAGTAAATGTGTTTAAACCTTTTAAAAATTACATGTTTATTTTGCTGCTTGAAATTAACAAATCATAATCCATGTATCATCTTTTGACCTGTTTATTCATAATATAATAATATTTGTTTTTCAGATTGTTTTACTTATTGGTTCGAGGTTTTTTTTTAATTATTTATTCCGTTATCCAAACTTAATGTTGCCCATCATTATCTATATGAGAATGGTATGGCCTTCTTGTCAGAATTCCAAAATATACTCGATATATAATATGTTACTCAGTATTCAGTTGTTCTGTTAATGGTTGCACAGTTTCCCCATATTTTTGGCAATTCGGAGCTCGAAAATTTTTATAACAGAAACTTGACTTTCGTTGAAGACCATACGTCGACATCTACATGTCTTTTGGTTTTTGTTGTTGTTTAGTTGCTGTCTAATTGAAGTATGCCCTGCATCTTCTGTTATTGATATTAATTTTGGACTTCTTAGTTATCAAAATATGTGTAAATCTTCTAAATTTCTTTTTTAAGCAATAAGATTTTGTAAGATTTAACTTTTATATGTATTGCTAGGTCAGCTTTAACACTGCATCAAATATTTGTACTGTAGGTATTAAGCTTATCTTTGCTTTGTATATGCAAGAAATTATTATGGAATTTTAATAGTCCTTGTAACTTATATCTTTCACCTCTCTCAGCCAAAATTCAGTAAAGTTATTACTAATAGTTCAACATCAGTAATGCATTTAGTAACATATTATTGGATACATTTGTGATGTTTTTGTGTGCTTTTAAAAATGAAAAGTCCATATTTCAAATTTTAAGTTGTTTTGAAATTAGCAATTGAACTTATTTGTTATTGTTATGTAATATATGAAAACTGCTGCATGAGTTACTTTGTAACAAGTTATTTATATTTAAGAAAGGAGTTTTTGCAATGTATAATGATAATCCCCTCAAGTACATGAGTGCAGAAAAAATCCATTGTTTTGCTACTATACTAGTTAAACAAATTACATTTGTTTCAGTGCTGATTCTGAGAGCCAGGATTACCATAAACACAGCTACCAGCCATCATCACCACATGCTTACTACATCTTAGATATTTACTCTGATAGTGTAAGTTTGAAATAGTGAAAACTTCGGAATATAACTGTATTCAAAGTCCAGAAGAATCTAGAAATTGAGTCCGGAACTTCTCCTGAAGATGTGTTCAAAGACTAGAATAGACTTAAGTCCAAGCTTTGAACTTTTTCTGAAAGGTGTGGTCAATGTCTAGAATAAACTTCCAGTTTAGGTTAAGCCTTGAACTTTTCCTGAAGGTTGAATCAAAGCTTAAAATAGACAATTGGTCAATACCTGAATTTGCCGAATGGTGTGTTCAAAGATTTAAATAGGCAATAGGTTTAGCCTTAAACTTTTGCTGAAGGTTGTGTTCTGAATGTAAAATAGGCTTAAGTCATCTTGGAATTTTTTTGAATGGTATGTTTAATGTTTAGAATTGGCAATAGATCAAGTTTAGAACAAAGTCTAACATAGGCTTTATATATAGGTAAAGCCCTGAACTTTCCTAAATGATGTGGTTTACCAAAAGTATGTTGTATACATTATTTGGGCAATATTTTAGACTTTATTTTATTGAAATACAGATATTAATAGCATTAATACTTCATGAGATACAATAAAAATTTGTGAAACGGATCTATAAATGTATAGAATGTACGTAAAAAAGGCTAAAATATGTTTTTTTTTCACTTTGAATTGTCATTTTTCAAAATTCCAAATAACAAATGACTATACCAATATTTTGTATATATCTGTATGAATACACATCATTTACTTTCAGTCACCTGCATGTTCGCCTGCCATGACCTTTAACAAAGGTCAAGGAGATAAGGCTTCACCCCCATTACTGATTAGAGGTGACTCTGAAGGTCAGGTTACAATGTGGACTCTTCCTACAGTATCAGAGAGGCAGATGACCCTAGTCAGACAGGAGAGTTTTGATAGATTGCCAGGTACAAATCATCACTGAATAAAAATTTTACATTTTTAAGTAGAATTCTTTGTGTTTGTTTCTTAAAGAAATAACAGTTTGCCTGTGCACATTATCAGAGTTTTTAAGACCGTATTTAAAAAAAAGGTCACTTTCAGTTACTGTAAATTCAGAAATTATTGCAAAGTTTTTATTATTGCGAAAAATGTGACTGTGTGACTATCACAATAAAAGAACCTGCATTCAGTCATTTGTTACATATATCTGTATGCAGATTTTCCTGATATCGCAATAATTAATCTCACATTTTTGTCCTTTCTTGAATAAATGCACGCAATAATTTTCTGAATTTACAATATTCAAAAAATGATGTTTTACTCACTCTTGATTCAAATTGTTTTTTTAAGCCTTTCCTTCAAATAAAATTAGTCTGTGCATGAATCTTTATAGCACAAAGCTCTCTATCTTCAATATTTGCCAATGTATAGAATGATATTTCTTCAATTTACTATTATTTTTTTAGCTTTACCACCTAAGTGTAGTAAGAGTTTGAAAGATGTATGGAAGAGTTTATATGAAACACCTCCTGGAATTATTGATGGCTTTGTAAGTAATCAATTTAAGGATGATGGTATGTATTTATGAAATGATTTAACAAAGTATTACATACACACTCACAGGTTCTCAGAATTGTTACATTACTGCTTAATGTCTTCGAACAAACTGTTTACTGTTTTTAAAATATTGCAGTATAAACTAAAGAAAATAACTATACATTTTCTATGATATTAAGTTCATTTGTACTTCGAGCAAAACAGGATAGCAATACTTGTATTGTACCTGTTTCTTAACCTCATTCAAATATGATTCATATTCAGAAACATTATGTATTGGTATTAAATATATATATGCAAAGTCATTATGGGCATTAGTAAAGTCTATATGGAAAAAGAAATGTTTTGAGCTTTTTTCAAGATTTGTTTATCTATTTTCCGATCACAAATAAATTCCATTTTCTTCATGCTATAAGTAATATCTATCACAAATTCCAAATTTTGGATTGATAAGAAATTGGCTTCCTTAATAGATTGATAACCTTTCTTCTTGTTCTTCATAGGGAGGCCCAGAGTAATCAGATTATTTGTCAATTCATCTGTTATAAATCATGTCCACTGTACTGAGTACTGCATTGAGTTTATTGATAATACTATATTGAATTTGGTTACCACAATATAGGGTTGATTCAAAACTGGAATCTAGATTAAAGGTCAAGATTACAAGCAAAGTTTTACATGGCAAACCCTAGGAGGTTCAAGTGTATTAATTGTTTCTAAGACAAAGCATGAAATACTTATATCCACATTTGCATTGGCATATATATGCCATCAGTACAATGAAGAATCGTGATAGGTTGTTTGTATTTGTTATAAATATAACTTGCAATAATGTTTGCAGCATGACCATAAAGACAAGCCAATAAAGATAACTGCCACAATCTATGTTCCGTCTCAAGGTAAAGTGGCATGTGGTAGAAGTAATGGTTCTATAGTGATAGCTGTAGCCACACAAAGTATTATACTGCAGCTGTTGGAGGATAAAACATTAGAACATAAAGGTGAGTCAACATAAAACATTGACACATAAAGGTGAGTCAACGTAAAACATTGGAACATAAAGGTGAGTCAACATTAAACATTGGAACATAAAACTGAGTCAACATTAAACATTGGAACATAAAGGTGAGTCAACATAAAACATTGGAACATAAAGGTGAGTCAACGTAAAACATTGGAACATAAAGGTGAGTCAACATAAAACATTGGAACATAAAGGTGAGTCAACGTAAAACATTGGAACATAAAGGTGAGTCAACGTAAAACATTGGAACATAAAGGTGAGTCAACATAAAACATTGGAACATAAAGGTGAGTCAACATAAAACATTGGAACATAAAGGTGAGTCAACATAAAACATTGGAACATAAAGGTGAGTCAACGTAAAACATTGGAACATAAAGGTGAGGTCAACGTAAAACATTAGAACATAAAGGTGAGTCAACATAAAACATTGGAATATAAAGGTGAGTCAACATAAAACATTGGAATATAAAGGTGAGTCAACATAAAACATTGGAACATAAAGGAAAGTCAACATAAAACATTGGAACATATCGGTGAGGTCAACGTAAAACATTGGAACATAAAGGTGAGTTAACGTAAAACATTGGAACATAAAGGTGAGTCAATGTAAAAGCTGGAACATAAAGGTGAGTCAACGTAAAACATTGGAACATATCGGTGAGGTCAACATAAAACATTGGAACATAAAGGTGAGGTCAACGTAAAACATTGGAACATAAAGGTGAGTAAACATCAAACATTGGAACATAAAGGTGAGTCAACATAAAACATTAGAACATAAAGGTGAGTCAATGTAAAACATTAGAACATAAAGGTGAGTCAACGTAAAACATTGGAACATAAAGGTGAGTCAACATAAAACATTGGAACATAAAGGTGAGTCAACATAAAACATTAGTACATAAAGGTGAGTCAACGTAAAACATTTGAACATAAAGGTGAGTCAACATAAAACATTAGAACATAAAGGTGAGTCAATGTAAAACATTAGTACATAAAGGTGATTCAACATAAAACATTAGAACATTAAGGTGAGTCAACATAAAACATTGGAACATAAAGGCGAGTCAATGTAAAATATTGGAACATAAAGGTGAGTCAACGTAAAACATTAGAACATAAAGGTGAGTCAACATAAAACATTGGAACATAAAGGCGAGTCAATGTAAAACATTGGAACATAAAGGTGAGGTCAACGTAAAACATTAGAACATAAAGGTGAGTCAACATAAAACATTAGAACATAAAGGTGAGTCAACGTAAAACATTAGAACATAAAGATGAGTCAACATAAAACATTAGAACATAAAGGTGAGTCAACATAAAACATTGGAACATAAAGGTGAGTCAATGTAAAATATTAGTACATAAAGGTGAGTCAACATAAAACATTGGAATATACAGGTGAGTCATCATAAAGCGTTGGAACATAAAGGTGAATTACCCAGCCTTCCACAATGAGTTAAATCCATGCATTATTGTAAGCTTTATTGATTAAATGATGGTATCATGTACAAGTTGATTTATTAGTCCTTCTGAGTTCCAAATAAATTAAAATTGACTATATATATACAATTTAAGGAATGGTTTCTGGTTGAATTGCAGTGCCATGTATACAGTAAAATAAAAGGAAAAAAAAATTCAAAGAAATAGCCCTTTTGTTGGTGTTTTTCATCTTATCAGTATCTTATATTTAAAATTACCAAAAGAAATAAAGATTTGAAGGCTTTTTTTCCTAAACCAGAAATTATGAGTGATTATATTTCTATGTCCATAATAGTAATTTTATACAAGTTTGTTTTCATATAGATGAAAGTGCATTGATTGCATTTTTGTAGATGTTCCACTTAAAGTACTAGACGGCCATGATGGTACAGTGACAACTCTGTTATATCCATTCAATGAAAACACTCGGTATGAACCCCAGCACCTGTTATCTGGTGGATCAGACTTCTCTGTCATTCTTTGGGACATGTTTGTGGGAACCAGACTTCACACATTTACTGTTCATGGCGGGGAGATTACACAGTTACTGGTTCCACCAATGAACTGCAATGTAAGTTATGTTACTGGACAGGAAGTAGTCAACTGGAAAAGAGAAAGAACTTGACATTTGATAGTAGAATCAGAACTAATCTGATATAGTTTATCCAGTCTGTATTTTTCTGAAGAGTGATACTTGCCTGTTATTGGCTAAAAAACTTATTTTTTTTAGTGAAAATTCTTTGTCGTCCAGGATGTACTGTTCAAAGATAGTCAAATAGAGCCATAGCTTTACAGTCTGGTCTGGTCTGGTCTATTTATGATCATTTAGTCTGTTATGAAGCAGATTCTTTAAATCATTTAACAATCATTAATTAAGGCCACACCATTTTGATATAAAACAATGGACTCATGTAATGAAACTAGGGATGTCAACGAGTACTGGAGTATAGCTCGGTAGTACTGAGTATCGAATACCAAAACCATACTTGACTAATGGTTTTCCTGTTAGAATGTGTTGCATTAGAAATAAGAAATAATATTTTTATTAGGAGCGCCTCCCTGAAATTAGATATTAATCAAAATCAATCAAAATTGAAATACGTTTCGAATGTTTGCGTTCATTTAAAATTCCTCCGAGCATATGTAGGCTATGAGCAAGTGCACCTTTCCAATGCTAACACTTTTGGCTAATCTTGTCTTAGTCATTCCACTACCTCTGTATCGACAGAGCAAATTTTTTCATTAGCAGAACTGTGAATTACGTAACAAAGTTGAGATATCAACTCGTCACAGAAAAAAAGCTTACAAGTTAATATTTCTAAATATAAATCAATTCGTTGCACCCTGTGTCAACCCTCAGAAAATGGTTAAAGGCATTAGTAAGTTTTAATCAGCACCCCTTTGTTGATCAGTAAATGTGTTTTTTAAGATTTCCAAATACTATTGTTTGAGTAATCATTTTTCTATAGATGTTTATATTATTAATTAATTGATTAGATCATTGCCAGTTTACATAATTAGTACATGTGGTAAATGAGCTATTATTATGGTAAACAATTCCTTGAACTATACTATGTCGGGTTTGGGTAATCATGTTGAGGGTTTTACGTCCATAAGACAACGTCCCACAATACGTGAAATGGGTATAATTTTGTGTTTCCATTTTGTGGATGTTTATCCGAGCGAGTACTCGATTATCGCTTGGTAAATCCAACGAGTACTCGGTTAGTAAATCTTCACTGACTTGACATCCCTAAATGAAACAGATATACTGATAACATAAACATTGGACATGAGAGATATCTTCAGTGATTTGTGAGATACTTTTCAAAGAATGTCCACCAACACATCACAATGACTAAACGAAAGATGCTGTAATGCTACCAAACCTGTAGTGATGGCAACCTTGACAGAATAGTTTGAGAAATAAACTGACCAAATCTTATTCCTCAGTATGTTTTCATTCTCTGTTGTTTCTGCTGTCATTTCAGTCATTGTATCATGTTCTTTTAAAATAATCTGAAATTATGGGATTATTTGTTAAATAATTCAACTTGCACTTGATAGTTGATATGTTTTGACATAAATCTTTCAGCAAAGAATTTTAACCTCTATCTGTTCAGTTGGAAGTGACCACACAGTAGCTTTATTAAGCTTAAAAGAGAGGAAGTGTATTATGTTAGCAGGGCGCCATCTATTTCCTGTTCAGACAATAAAATGGAGACCTCTTGATGATTTCATGGTTGTGAGCTGTTCAGATGGAACTGTTTACGTTTGGCAGATGGAAACTGGTATTTTTATTTCATTTACACACTATGAGAAAGATCATGTTTTTAGGTTATTAAGAAAAATTGTCTCCTATTGAACTTAAATTTCTTTTGCATTATTATTTTCATTATGTTGTAATCAAAACAAAATTTGGCTGATTCATTTTTATACGACCGCAAAAAAATTTTGCGATCGTATATTGGTATGACGTTGGTGTCGTCGTCGTCGTACGAAGACACATTGGTTTTCGCACTCTAACTTTAGATTAAGTGAATGGATCTCTATGAAATTTTACCATAAGGTTCAATACCACAAAAGGAATGTTGGGATAGATTTTGGGGGTTATGGTACCAACAGTTAAGGAAAAAGGGGCCAAAAATAAGCATTTTGGTAACTTCCAGACATAACTTGTGTGTTAGTGTATGGATCTCTCTGACATTGTACCACAAGGTTCCATATCACAAAGGGAATGCTGGGATTGATTTTGGGGGTAATTGCCTCAAAATTTTAGGAATTAGGGGCCAAAAAATGGGCAAAAAACAAGCATTTTTATATGGACAAATACGTTAGTACAAAACATAATTTAAAGCAGTGTAAGGGAGATAAATCAAATACATCATTTGAATTACCTCCCTTACACTGCTTTTAAATTATGTATAAAGTAATGGTTAATGAACAAGTAAGACAATTTAAAACAGTGTAAGGGAGGTAATCCACATACAACGTTTTGATTACTTCCCTTACACTGCTTTTAAATTATGTTTAAAGAAATGCATATTTATAAAGGAAGACCAGTAAAAATATCTGCAAATGTTGCATCTTTTTTTTTTTTACAAAAAAATCCATATGAAAGATTTGACACCATATTTTGAATTCTATTATAAAATAGATTAAGTTAGCACTATGGTAAGTTGCAAATTCCATTGGAAATTTGAATTGAGATTATGACCATATCTTGAGGGAAAGAATTTTTTGGGGGAAAAAGGGGGGGTAAAAAGAAATTATGGGGAGTCAATTTTTTCTCATTTCAGATTTCAGAAATTGAAAAGAATTATTCTTCAAATATTTTTTTTTTTTTCAAATTTCAAATATTGAAAAATTTCAAGAAGTAATCTTTAATTGCACAGTATGGCACATTAGATTTGCAAAATCTTTGACCACATTTATTTATTTGTTATGCCAAATCTGACCATGTATTTAGATTTTTAATTTTGGGTCCAGTTTTCAAATTGGTCTACATTAAGGTCCAAAGGGTCCAAAATTAAACTTAGTTTGATTTTAACAAAAATTGAATACATGGGGTTCTTTGATATGCTGAATCTAACCATGTATTTAGATTTTTTATTTGTGGGCCCCGCTATCAAATTGGTTTATATTGAGGTCAAAAGGGTCCAAAATTAAACTTTGTTTGATTTCATCAAAAATTGAATTATTGGGGTTCTTTGATATGCCAAATCTAACCGTGTATTTACATTTTTAATTTTGGGTCCAGTTTTCAAATTCGTCTACATTAAGGTCCAAAGGGTCCAAAATTAAACTTAGTTTGATTTTCACAAAAATTGAATATATGGGGTTCTTTGATATGCTGAATCTAAACATGTATTTAGATTTTTGATTTTGGGCCCAGTTTTCAAGTTGGTCCAAATTGGGGTCCTAAATTAAACTTTGTTAGATTTCAACAAAAATTGAATATATGGGGTTCTTTGATATGCTGAATCTAACCATGTATTTAGATTTTTTATTTGTGGGCCCCGCTATCAAATTGTTTCATATTGAGGTCAAAAGGGTCCAAAATTAAACTTTGTTTTATTTCATCAAAAATTGAATTATTGGGGTTCTTTGATATGCCAAATCTAACCGTGTATTTAGATTTTTAATTTTGGGTCCCGTTTTTTAATTGGTCTACATTAAGGTCCAAAGGGTCCAAAATTAAACTTAGTTTGATTTTAACAAAAATTGAATTCTTGGGGTTCTTTGATATGCTGAATCTAAACATGTGTTTAGATTTTTGATTATGGGCCCAGTTTTCAAGTTGGGATCCAAAATTAAACTTTGTTTGATTTCAACAAAATTTGAATATATGGGGTTCTTTGATATGCTGAATCTAACCATGTATTTTGATTTTTGGGTCCTGTTATCAAATTGGTCCACATTGAGGTCAAAAGGGTCCAAAATTAAACTTTGTTTGATTTCATCAAAAATTGAATTCCTTGGATTCTTTGATATGCTGAATCTAACCATGTATTTAGATTTTGGATATTGGACCATAATAGGTAAATTAAAAAATTTCTTAGACCACATTCATTCTGTGTCAGAAACCTATGCTGTGTCAAATATTTAATCACAATCCAAATTCAGAGCTGTATCAAACTTAAATGTTGTGTCCATACTTGCCCCAACTGTTCAGGGTTCGACCTCTGCGGTCTTATCAAGCTGCGCCCAGCATTTTATTTGAAAGTGGCAATGCAATTGCTATTCGCTTATCGTAAAATATTTGTCCACCATTCCGTATATGTTTGAACGCCCTATACAAAATGAACATAAGAAGATATGAAAAGGCCTCTTTTGGTTTACCTTTAAGTTTGGAAATAAATTGCTATAAATATTCAATTATCAAGTTATCATAAGACATTATTCTATAGGATATCCAAACCAAAACAACAAACACACAAAACTTGAAATCTAAGGGTAAGATGCTTATTATATCATATGCAAACATACTGTAGACGCATTATTATTCGTTGGATATCAATTTTCATGGATTTCCATGGTAAAGGCAAACCACAAATTCAAAATTATTACGCAGTATAAATATCCTTTATGCTTGAATGGAAACATTTGTAAAACCCAGAAAATAAAGTATTCCCTAAAATACAATTTTTCTTCTATCCTAGAAAATTGGTACCCACGAAAATAAATAAAAATAAAATAAAAAAAGTATGTCAAACAGAAAAGGATTTATAACATTATAACGACAAGTACAACTTATATTTTATAGGCCATTTAGACAGAGTAGTACATGGTATAACTGCTGAGGACATACTGAGTAATTGTGATGAGAATGCCATGCCTATGGATGGACTTGTTAACCCTAACATAACTTTATCGCAAGCTTTGAAACGTAGAAATCTGGCCACATTTAAAAATCTGGCTCAGCAGAAACTACAAACTCCTGGAAGTAGTATACAGAACCAGCGACCTGACCAGGTTGTTAAACAACAGAATTATGCCATGTATATACAGGGTGTTAGAACTAATGTTAGAGACCCTGATGCTCACATTATTTACTTTGATACAGAAGCATTGATTGGTAGGTAGTTAGTAAGTTCCAATTATTGTAAAAGTACTTTTACTATTTGATGCTATTTTCATCGGTTGCAGGAAAACATTGGTTCATTGATTTCAAAATTGTGATTTTAGATGGGTAGCCCTGTCATAGGATAGAACAGTTAAATATGAATAACTTTTTTATGCATTAAATGATTTTATTTTTGTAGTTCGTAAAAAAAGTCATTAACCTTATTCCATATTTGTTTCATAAATAGAGGACATCATGAATATTCTGTTCAAATTTTTATTTCACAAGAGAAAATATTTGGCACTAAGGTGCAAAATTTATTGTAGCAGTTTTATGACATCAATAGGTCAAGTGTTGCAGGATCACAAATAGCAGTAAGGTCAACTTGTTAGTCAGTCTAGAGTTATGGGACTTTAAACATAAAATTTAAGGCAATTTTATACAACTAAGGATATCCTCTGGAAGTTTTTCTCCTGGGCTTTTTTTACTAACTTGAAAGCCTTTCACAATATTTCATTTTATCATTGCAATTTCAATATGCAGACAACAAGGGGTATCTTGGGCTTCAGGCATTATGTGCCTTAATGCTCATCTAATCTTTCCTGATACAGATATAGGTAAATAAAGTCATTAGAATTATGAAGTTAAAAAATAAAGTAATATTCGTCTTTTATTTATTTTAGTACAACTATTAACTGATGAGTATGCTATGATGTCACCTGGAGAGTTAGAAGCCAAGGGATTCATTTTACCTTCCTATGAAATTCCTGGATCAGAATTCTCAGATGCACAAGCTAAAATATTAGGTAACAATGTTAGTTATAATGTAGAATTATAAATTTATAAACAAAGTTAGCTGTGCTTCTAGTAGATTTTTGAAATCTGATAGATTTTAAAATTGCAGGCATTATTCATTTGCTACATTCATATTTTAAAGATGAAATATGACATTTAGTTCAAACATTAATTGTTTGTCCAATGATTGCTTATGACTGTGTTAATTTTACCCTTATAGGTATGCTAACAAAGATTAAAGATAAAGCGGATTCTTTTGGTCAGAAGATTCAGTCAAAGGCTGAGGGAGGTGGTTTCTCACCTGTACATAGAGAGAGTGATGTCCAGGCCTCACCTGTCAAAGGTAGAAAGAAGGAGAAACGAGTGGTGGTAACTGATGGCAATAATCTAACTTTAGAGATTGCTCGATTGTTTATGTCTAGTCTTCATGCTTGGGGACTAGACCCAGATCTTGATAAACTTTGTGTGAACAAACTAGGACTGATTAAGCCTAAAGTCCCATTATCTTTTGGTCTTATATCTAGAAATGGGCATATGTGTTTAATGCTTCCAGCATGGCATAGACGTCTTTTACAGGATGTGAAGTCGAGTGATTCAGACAGTAAGATACAGCAGGCTACGTCAGACAAACCTACATTGTTGTCACAGATTGAAAGTACATCAGGAATGTATTCTGACAGTGACCAAGAAGGTGATAGTCCACCAGGTACAAAATCTAGAATAAAAAAATCCACTGCAGAAGCACTGCAGGAAGAGTTACGGGCCTTTTCTACAAAGTCAAGATGGCAGATATCTAGTGGTGTTACTACACAACATTTGCTGAGTGTAATATCTACTGCTAATACATTAATGAGTATGACAAACTCTGCCTTCATCAATAGGAGACTAAAATCATCAAGACCAAGGTAAGCTATTGATGTTACTGAAAATACCATGGAATACTTTTTGCTAACTGCTTGTTTTTTATTTAAATTTTATCAAGTGCTAAAATAATCTATGTTGAAAACAAAATTGCTCAGAGAATTTATGAATCTGAGGATGAATAACCTGAATAAATTTGTTTCACATGGTTAATTTTTATTAACATTGTTTTCATAGCTTTTTAATATTTTTTAATAAAATGCTTCGCTGAGCGCAACCTGATACGACCGCAGAGGTGGAACCCTGAACAGTTGGGGCAAGTTTGGACACAATATTCAGACTTGATACTGTCTGAATTTGGATTGTGATCAAATTTTTGACATAATATAGGTTTCTGATACAAAATAAATGTGGTCGAAGATCTTAAAAATTTGAAATGGGACATTTAATTTACCTAGAATGGTCTGATATCCAAAATCTAACAACATGGTTAGATTCAGCATATAAAAAAACACCAAAAATTTAATTTTAGTTGAAATCAAACAAAGTTTAATTTTGGACCCTTCATACCTTAACATGGGCTTATTTGAAAACAAGGCCCAAAATAAAAAAATCTAAATGCACCATAAGATTCAGCATATCATAGAGCCACAATAATTCAGTTTTTGATGAAATCAAACAAAGTTTAATTTTGGACCCTTTGGACCTCAATGTAGACCAATTTAAAAATGGGGCCCAATATTCAGAACAGTAATACAAGGTTAGAACCCCCAAAAATTAAAGACTTTAAATTAATCCCTTTGAAATTGGTTAAAAGATTTGTATTTATTTTCAATTGAAGATTTCTTGCTATTGTTCAATACTGTGATATTGCGCAATACTGTGCTATTGCGCAATACTGTGCTGTTGCACAATACTTAGTTAATATGTTATATATAACAATTTATACACCCTGTTTGGTGTGTATCTCCTGCCATATCAGTATTTATTGCTTTTATATATAAATCAAAAATAATCAATGTAAAAATGGAAAAATTTTGGGAAAAGAAACCAAAAAAATTATGAAAAAAAAAATCTCCCAAAAAATTTGTTTGCAGTCGTAAAAAAAAAGAGTTCAGGACAGTTCACCTTTAATCAAGGGATTGCACATCTATTTGAGTGTTATTTCTTTCTTTCAGTAATTACAAGTAAGTAGTTGACAGCAATGATAATAAGTATCATAGTTAAATGTTTCAACGAATAAAATTTTTTAAAATCAATTATAATTAATTTTTCTAGCTGCTTGCAACTGGCTGTAATCTTATATTTCTTGTACAGAGGCAGGAGGTCTAGTAAGAGTTTTGCTGCCCCTCAGCCACCACATTTACTAGAAGGCGGGGACAGTTCTGAAGGGGGGAGTGAGGATGAGACAGATGGACAGATGTTACACCAGGCACAGATAAAACAAGGATGGAGTCTGCTTGCAGCTTTACATTGTGTTCTCCTACCAGAAATGGTTGGCTCGGAAAATATCAAATCACCTCAGCTGGAGATGTTGGCTCGCAGATGGCAGGACAGATGTCTTGAGGTAAGTTCAGATTGGTGAAAAGAAGAAATAAACTATATATATTCAGGAACATATATATTGACGGGACTTGACACTACCAAATTGTAGCCGATTTTATCGTCGGGTCATAGGTAATAAAGATACGATACAGAAACGGACATGTGTTAAAAACGTACTCGCTATTATCCTCATAATTTCTGATAATATCAATAAAATATCATTCAAACTAGTTTTACAGTGATGCCAGTGTATCAAACTTGTATTCTGTCACTTCAAATTTGTTATAACCGCATTCATTTTATCACAGAATGATACAGAATGCAAACAGGGTAATAAAAAAATGTCGCCGATTGCATTCCCAAATTCAAAAACATTATAAAACACTTCACATCAAATAAATCACACTTATTTTTGTCATTTTATATGAAAATATATTTACTTTCTGATAAAACTTGTATTTATTTACGATTAGAAGTATGTGGTTAATTTATTGAGCAGTTCTGATAGTTTTTCAGTCAGACGCCACCAAAATCCATAAATCTCGCAAAGTCTCGTGGAGTCTGAGATTTTATCAATTTTATACTGAAAAGCCTATCGGATTCATTTCCCGTTAGATATACTGTTCCCAGATATATTAGATAAATAGATACTGTAAACCAACTCATATTTGTGACTAATTTATTTTCTCGAGTTTCACAGCCAGAAAAATAACAAGAAATAAATCTTTGTGAATATATTCATAATTATTCGTGGGACTGCAATTTTAGAGGTGCAAATTTTGTGTAGGTGAACCAAGAATTTAAATGTCAAACAAAGTACTTTTCAACAGGCTTGTATGTACTTTAACTTTGATTTTCTTAAATTTTTCGTAAAGAGATGAATCCATAGTAAAACAAACTATACCGTACCTTCACCTATAAATGTTTACTTTTATAAATTTTGAATTGGATGGAGAGTTGTCTCATTGGCACTCATACAACATCTTCATATATCTATATACACCAATAAAGTAAGAAAATTTTGAAAAATAAAGTGGTGTGAAGCTGTTGGTTTCCAGTATTAACTTTGAAAAAAAAGTTTTCAATCTATGAATAGAATAAAAGATTAATAATTCTTAAAGGTATACTGTGCTTTTCACATGTTTTAAAATTATAAGATACTGTTGTTTTCCTTTAACCAACCTCACACAGTTAGTATATAGGAACTGTTCTGTTTCACAAAATGGTCCTAGTATTAATATTGCCATTAGATATATTGTTTTTTATACAAAAAATTCTTGTTAAAAATTGACAAACAAATATACCATGCAACATTCTATATTGATTCAAAGTGTAAGTTTCCTCTCAATATTTAGTACAATATGATAAAAGAAATTTATGATATTCTGTGGTAGCTTTGATTTCTAGGCACTTTTTAAATTTAGATTGATACAAAATTAAAAGTACCGGTAGTCAAATAATACTGGAAGGAAGTTGCATTTCTTCAGCATCTGGAAATGTAAATATTTTTGAACTATCCTTAGCTTTCACTATATTACTTAAATATTATTATACACAGATAAGGGAAGCAGCCCAAGCGCTGTTGTTAGCAGAGTTAAGAAGAATTGGTCCAGCTGGTCGTAAGGCAATAGTGGATGAGTGGTCACCATATCTTCCAACCTATGTAGATCCAAACCTCAGTCTGATGAATGCTGAGCTTCAGAAAGGAGGTGATGATGATGACGATGATGACAATATGGATCCCATGGTTTCAGGTTTGTAGGTTTATCTTGCATGTCTTTAGGTCCCTAAAATATGTTTAAATGGTTTCAGGTTTGTAGGTTTATCTCGCATGTCTTTTGGTACCTAAAATATGTTTCCATGGTTTCAAGACATGCTGACTTTCTGCTCATTGTTAGAGCACTGTTGACAGTTTTTATGCCCCACCTAGGGGCATTATGTTTTTCGGTCTGTGTGTCCGTTTGTCCGTCTGTCTGTTCGTCCGTCTGTCCCGCTTCAGATTTAAATTTTTGGTCAAGGTAGTTTTTGATGAAGTTGAAGTCCAATCAACTTGAAACTTAGTACACATGTTCCCTATGATATGATCTTTCTAATTTTAATGCCAAATTAGAGTTTTGATCACAATTTCACTGTCCACTGAACATAGAAAATGATAGTGCAAGTGGGCCATCCGTGAGAGTGTACTATGGACACATTCTTGTTTAAAGGTCAAAGATCAGATCAAAGTCATTGAAAGTGCCAAACAAGATGTTTATATTTTGATATGTTGATTTATTTAACGGAGATACATCTAAATAACAAAATTACTTTTGTTGAATTCCGATCTTTGTTTTCAGTCTAGAATCTAGAAACATTTTGAGTGTAGCATATTAATGTTCATGAGACATTAGATATCAACACTAACCTTAAGGGGATACAAATTTGCCAAGTCAGGCTATCTGGACCATGTGTTGTTTGTTGTTGTTTGTACTTTTATTTTTCGGCAGGGTATTGTGTTGGTGGTTGGTGTTGTTTGTTGTTGTTTGTACTTTTATTTTTTGGCAGGGTATTGTGTTGGTGGTTGGTATTGTTTGTTGTTGTTTGTACTTTTATTTTTTGGCAGGGTATTGTGTTGGTGGTTGGTGTTGTTTGTTGTTGTTTGTACTTTTATTTTTTGGCAGGGTATTGTGTTGGTGGTTGGTGTTGTTTGTTGTTGTTTGTACTTCTATTTTTCGGCGGGTAATTGTGTTGGTGGTTGGTATTGTTTGTTGTTGTTTGTACTTCTATTTTTCGGCGGGGTATTGTGTTGGTGGTTGGTGTTGTTTGTTGTACTGTTCATATTTTTTTATTAATTCCTGCTATCCTTTTCATGTATTTTATTACTGTTTCTCATCTAAAAATAACTGGAAGTTCTCCAGAGAAATTACCCTTACTCTAAAAGCAATTGCTTAAATGTAAAAATGTCAAATGTTTTGTTTTGACCAATTTATGCCTCTTTATTCCTCACTTAACTTTTCCCTTAATTCCATTACAGATTCTCCTGTACATAGAGCCTCATCCTCTTCCCTTAATTCCATTACAGATTCTCCTATACATAGAGCCTCATCCTATTCCCTTAGTTCCATTACAGATTCTCCTGTACTTGGAGCCGCATCCTATTCCCTAAATTCCATTAAAGATTCTCCTGTACATAGAGCCTCATCTTATTCCCTTAATTCCATTACAGATTCTCTTGTACATAGAGCCTCATCCTATTCTCTTAATTCTATTACAGATTCTCCTGTTCATAGAGCCTCATCCTATTCCTTTGAGAGTAGAAGGAAGCAAGCAACAGCTATAGTGATGTTGGGAGTGATTGGTGCTGAGTTTGGACATGAGATAGAACCAAATAGAAGGAAGGTAGAAGTAACCAAGAAATCCAAAAAGGAACAGGAAGGCTTCACTCTGTCTAATTACTCTCTGTCAAGACATACAAGTAAGTAATCATTCCTTGTATCGAAAAAACAATGATTTAAAGTACCATGATATTTTCATAAAAAGTTTTTTGAAATGATAGAAAATTTAAATGGAATAATGTAACATGCCTGTGGCTTTAGTTGTTTGTAACTTTATCTGTTTTGCTATAAATATATTAATATCATAGTCTCAAATTTTCAGGTATATATGTAAAGATTGATAATTTGACTGACAGTGACAATAAATATAATGCTAGTACATGTATGTAAAACTAATCCCAAACCTTAGATTTTGTAGATATTATGTCTATATACATTCCCATATAATCTTGTGGTGCAGATAGCTGAATGTTAATAGATTTATGATATTCACATTATATGGCAGGGGTACAAATAATTTTGGAAGATCAACCACTTCTCTTCTCCTGCCTGTGTTTTTTTAAGATCAAGCCTCTTTAGTTTTTAAGCTCACCTGGCCTAAAAGCCAAGTGAGCTTTTCTCATTACTTGGCATCCGTTGTTCGTCGTCTTCATTAACTTTTACAACAATATTCTCCTCTGAAACTACTGGGCCAAATTAAATCAAACTTGGCCACAATCATCATTGGGGTATCTAGTTTAAAAATTGTGTCCGATGACCTCGCCTGCCTATCAAGATGCATGACATGGCTAAAAATAGAACATAGGGGCAAAATGCAAGTTTTGTCTATTATTTTGAAAACCGTTATAAACAGAGAAAATCAGACAGAAGAAAAATGTTCAGAATGTTGAGCTCTACGAATTGTCCATATACGCCAAAACTGTCAGACGACTTCTAATAGGAGTTATTAAGTCTCCCAAACGAAGTTTGGGAAGACTTATTGTTTTTGCTCAGTTCTTATTATTATTATTATTCTTCTTCTTCTTCTTCTTCTTCTTCTTCTTCTTCTTCCGCCGCTTTTAAATTTGAACTTGTCCGCACCCGTTCTCCAAAACCGCTTGTCGGATTTACTTAGGGTTTCACAATATGTTAGACTAACATGTCTAGTGGTGCAATCAGGGTTTTGTTTTTGCAATGGGGTTTATAAAGGGGTACTTTGAGGGGCAAAAAGAAAAGAGGGTTTTACTATAGAACCCTATGGGATTTTATTTTTTTATACGACCGCAAAAATTAAAAATTTTTTGGTCGTATATTGGTATGACGTTGGCGTCGTCGTCGTCGTCGTCCGGCGTCGTCCGAAGACACATTGGTTTTCGCACTCTAACTTTAGTTTAAGTGAATAGATCTCCATGAAATTTTACCATAAGGTTCAATACCATGAAAGGAAGGTTGGGATTGATTTTGGGGGTTATGGTACCAACAGTTAAGGAATTAGGGGCCAAAAAGGGGCCAAAAATAAGCATTTTTGTAACTTCCAGACAATAACTTGTGTGTAAGTGTATGGATCTCTCTGACATTGTACCACAAGGTTCCATATCACAAAGGGAAGGCTGTAATTGATTTTGGGGGTAATTGCCTCAAAATTTTAGGAATTAGGGGCCAAAAAAAGGGGCAAAAAACAAGCATTTTTCTAGTTTCATGACAATAACTTGTGTGTAAGTGTTTGGATATTTCTGAAATTGTACTACAAGGTTCCATATCACAAAGGGAAAGCTGGAATTGAGTTTGGGGGTAATTGCCCGAAACGTTTAGGGATTGGGAGCCAAAAAGGGGCCAAAAATAAGCATTTTTCTAGTTTCCAGACAATAACTTGTGTTCAAGTGTATGGATCTCTCTGAAATTGTACTGCAAGGTACCATACCACAAAGGGAAGGCTGGGATTGAGTTTGGGGGTGATGAATCATAAGGGGGTTCAAAAAATTTGGGGGGGGGGATTTATTTTTTTAATTTTTTTTTCTTTTCCTTTTTTTTTTCTTTTAAAATTTTTCATTTTAAGTTGGTTATTTCTGATTTATATTTAAAAGCAAATAATAATGATATGGTAGGAGATACACACCAAACAGGATGTGTAAATTATTATATAATAAGTATTGTGCAATAGCAAGAAATTTTCAATTGCACAGTATTGCACAATAGCAAGAAATTTTCAATTGCACAGTATTGCGCAATAGCAAGAAATCTTCAATTGCACAGTATTGTGCAATAGCAAGAAATATCCAATAGCACAATATTGCGCAATAGCAAGAAATTGTCAATTGTACAGTATTGCGCAATAGCAAAAAATATTCAATTGCACAGTATTGTGCAAAAGAAGATACTTCATATAAATTGGTTATTTCTTGATCAATTTCAATGGGGTTTTATTCTTGAATTCTTGGGGTTCTTTAATATGCTGAATCTAACCGTGAATTAAGTTTTTGGATTTTAGGCCCCGTTTTTAAATTGGTCCACATTGAGGTCCAAAGGGTCCAAAATTTAACTTTGTTTGATTTCATCAAAAATTGAATTATTGGGGTTCTTTGATATGCCGAATCTAACCGTGTATTTAGATTCTTAATTTTTGGTTCCGTTTTCAAATTGGTCTACATAAAGGTCCAAAGGGTCCAAAATTAAACTTAGTTTGATTTTAACAGAAATTGAATTTTTAGGGTTCTTTGATATGCTGAATCTAAACATGTATTTAGATTTTTGATTATGGGCCCAGTTTTCAAGTTGGTCCAAATCGGGGTCCAAAATTAAACTTTGTTTGATTTCAACAAAAATTAAATATATGGGGTTCTTTGATAAGCTGAGTCTAACCATGTATTTAGATTTTTGATTTTTGGGCCCCGTTATCAACTTTGTCCACATTGAGATCAAAAGGGTCCAAAATTAAACTTTGTTTTATTTCATCAAAAATTGAATTCTTGGGGTTCTTTGATATGCTTAATCTAACCATGTATTTAGATTTTGGATATTGGACCATAATAGGTGAATGTCCAATTTAAAATTTTAAGTTCTTAGACCACATTCATTCTGTGTCAGAAACCTATGCTGTGTCAAATATTTAATCACAATCCAAATTCAGAGCTGTATCAAGCTTGAATGTTGTGTCCATACTTGCCCCAACTGTTCAGGGTTCGACCTCTGCGGTCGTATCAAGCTGCGCCCTGCGGAGCATTTTATTAAATTTTCAAATGATTATAAATTGAAAACCGTTCGTGATAGACACAAACTTTTTAATTGAAAATGTTCTAAATGATAAAGCCCATTAAATGAAATACAGGGTTAGTCCCCAGGGGTCACCCCCATCCCCTGCCATTTAAGAAAGTTCTAATACCTTGTAAGTGGTCAAGATCCCCACCCCTAAACCATATATATTCTGGTTTGTCATGCTAAGATGGTTTGAATGATATACAGGGTTAGTCCCCAGGGGTCATCCCCACCCCCTGTCATTTGAGAAAGTTCTAATATCTTGTAAATGGTCGAGATCCCCACCCCTAAACCATATATATTCTGGTTTGTCATGATAAAGCACATCAAATGTTATACAGGGTTAGTCCCCAGGGGTCACCCCCACCCCCTGCCATTTAAGAAAGTTCTAATATCTTCTAAGTTGTCAAGATCCCCACCCCTAAACCATATATATTCTGGTTTGTCATGCTAAGATGGTTTGAATGATATACAGGGTTAGTCCCCAGGGGTCATCCGGACCCCCTGCCATTTTAGAAAGTTCTAATATCTTGTAAATGGTCAAGATCCCCACCCCTAAACCATATATATTCTGGTTTGTCATGATAAAGCACATCAAATGTTATACAGGGTAAGTCCCCAGGGGTCACCCCCACCCCCTGCCATTTAAGAAAGTTCTAATATCATCTAAGTGGTCAAGATCCCCACCCCTAAACCATATATATTCTGGTTTGTCATGCTGAGATGGTTTGAATGATATACAGGGTAAGTCCCCAGGGGTCATCCCGACCCCCTGCCATTTGAGAAAGTTCTAATATCTTGTAAATGGTCGAGATCCCCACCCCTAAACCATATATATTCTGGTTTGTCATGATAAAGCACATCAAATGTTATACAGGGTTAGTCCCCAGCGGTCACCCCCACCCCTTGCCATTTGAGAAAGTTCTAATATCTTGTAAATGGTCGAGATCCCCACCCCTAAACCATATATATTCTGGTTTGTCATGATAAAGCACATCAAATGAAATACAGGGGTAGTCCCCAGGGGTCACCCCCACCCCTTGCCATTTAAGAAAGTTCTAATATCTTCTAAGTGGTCAAGATCCCCACACCTAAACCATATATATTCTGGTTTGTCATGCTGAGATGGTTTGAATGATATACAGGGTAAGTCCCCAGGGGTCATCCCGACCCCCTGCCATTTGAGAAAGTTCTAATATCTTGTAAAAGGTCGAGATCCCCACCCCTAAACCATATATATTCTGGTTTGTCATGATAAAGCACATCAAATGAAATACAGGGGTAGTCCCCAGGGGTCACCCCCACCCCTTGCCATTTAAGAAAGTTCTAATATCTTCTAAGTGGTCAAGATCCCCACCCCTAAACCATATATATTCTGGTTTGTCATGCTGAGATGGTTTGAATGATATACAGGGTAAGTCCCCAGGGGTCATCCCGACCCCCTGCCATTTGAGAAAGTTCTAATATCTTGTAAATGGTCGAGATCCCCACCCCTAAACCATATATATTCTGGTTTGTCATGATAAAGCACATCAAATGTAATACAGGGTTAGTCCCCAGCGGTCACCCCCACCCCTTGCCATTTGAGAAAGTTCTAATATCTTGTAAATGGTCGAGATCCCCACCCCTAAACCATATATATTCTGGTTTGTCATGATAAAGCACATCAAATGAAATACAGGGTTAGTCTCCAGGGGTCACCCCCACCCCTTGCCATTTGAGAAAGTTCTAATATCTTCTAAGTGGTCAAGATCCCCACCCCTAAACCATATATATTCTGGTTTGTCATGCTGAGATGGTTTGAATGATATACAGGGTAAGTCCCCAGGGGTCATCCCGACCCCCTGCCATTTGAGAAAGTTCTAATATCTTGTAAAAGGTCGAGATCCCCACCCCTAAACCATATATATTCTGGTTTGTCATGATAAAGCACATCAAATGTTATACAGGGTTAGTCCCCAGCAGTCACCCCCACCCCTTGCCATTTGAGAAAGTTCTAATATCTTGTAAATGGTCGAGATCCCCACCCCTAAACCATATATATTCTGGTTTGTCATGATAAAGCACATCAAATGAAATACAGGGGTAGTCCCCAGGGGTCAACCCCACCCCTTGCCATTTAAGAAAGTTCTAATATCTTCTAAGTGGTCAAGATCCCCACCCCTAAACCATATATATTCTGGTTTGTCATGCTGAGATGGTTTGAATGATATACAGGGTAAGTCCCCAGGGGTCATCCCGACCCCCTGTCATTTGAGAAAGTTCTAATATCTTGTAAATGGTCGAGATCCCCACCCCTAAACCATATATATTCTGGTTTGTCATGATAAAGCACATCAAATGTAATACAGGGTTAGTCCCCAGCGGTCACCCCCACCCCTTGCCATTTGAGAAAGTTCTAATATCTTGTAAATGGTCGAGATCCCCACCCCTAAACCATATATATTCTGGTTTGTCATGATAAAGCACATCAAATGAAATACAGGGTTAGTCTCCAGGGGTCACCCCCACCCCCTGCCATTTAAGAAAGTTCTAATATCTTCTAAGTGGTCAAGATCCCCATCCCTAAACCATATATATTCTGGTTTGTCATGCGAAGATGGTTTGAATGATAGACAGGGTTAGTCCCCAGGGGTCATCCCGACCCCCTGTCATTTGAGAAAGTTCTAATATCTTGTAAATGGTCGAGATCCCCACCCCTAAACCATATATATTCTGGTTTGTCATGATAAAGCACATCAAATGTAATACAGGGTTAGTCCCCAGCGGTCACCCCCACCCCTTGCCATTTGAGAAAGTTCTAATATCTTGTAAATGGTCGAGATCCCCACCCCTAAACCATATATATTCTGGTTTGTCATGATAAAGCACATCAAATGAAATACAGGGTTAGTCTCCAGGGGTCACCCCCACCCCCTGCCATTTAAGAAAGTTCTAATATCTTCTAAGTGGTCAAGATCCCCATCCCTAAACCATATATATTCTGGTTTGTCATGCGAAGATGGTTTGAATGATAGACAGGGTTAGTCCCCAGGGGTCATCCCGACCCCCTGTCATTTGAGAAAGTTCTAATATCTTGTAAATGGTCGAGATCCCCACCCCTAAACCATATATATTCCTATTTGTCATGTCTCGAACATTTGAATGACGTATACGGTCAGTCCCCAGGGGTTCCCCCCACCCCCAATGTTCTAATATCTTGTAAATGGTTGAGATCGCCACCCCTAAACCATATATATTCCTGTTCGTCATGTAATGAACATTTGAATGACGTATAGGGCCAGTCCCCAGGGGTTCCTCCCCACCCCCAATATTCTAGTATCTTGTAAATGGTTGAGATCCCCACCCCTAAACCATATATATTCTGGTTTGTCATGCCAAGATGATTTGAATGATATACAAGGTTAGTCCCCAGGCATCACTAATGCATATAACTTTACTGGACCAAACCAATTTTCAATGGATGTTGCCCAATGTCAGGCGACCCTGGGAATTACGAATTATGGGAGCTTCGTTTGGGAGACTTCGTAACAGCATCCTGTTACATTCATTTCTTGTTTCCCATAAAAGACAAATTTTACCTTTATTTTTTATTTCTGCCTATTATCTTGAAAACTATAATAGATAGAGAGAGACCTTAGATTGCAAAAGTAATCAGCAAGAAAAGTTCCACAAAAAAGTCTCCTGGTCGAAATCGTCAGTCAACTCCTTATTAGAGTTATTGCCCTTTGATGATGATTTTTACCAATTTTTTGCGTTTTTGCCTTATATCTTAACAATTAAGATAGATAGATAGAAACTTAAATAAACAAAAATTACCAGAAAGAAAAGATCTACCATTTGAGAAAGTTCTAATATCTTGTAAATGGTCGAGATCCCCACCCCTAAACCATATATATTCTGGTTTGTCATGATAAAGCACATCAAATGTAATACAGGGTTAGTCCCCAGCGGTCACCCCCACCCCTTGCCATTTGAGAAAGTTCTAATATCTTGTAAATGGTCGAGATCCCCACCCCTAAACCATATATATTCTGGTTTGTCATGATAAAGCACATCAAATGAAATACAGGGTTAGTCTCCAGGGGTCACCCCCACCCCCTGCCATTTAAGAAAGTTCTAATATCTTCTAAGTGGTCAAGATCCCCATCCCTAAACCATATATATTCTGGTTTGTCATGCGAAGATGGTTTGAATGATAGACAGGGTTAGTCCCCAGGGGTCATCCCGACCCCCTGTCATTTGAGAAAGTTCTAATATCTTGTAAATGGTCGAGATCCCCACCCCTAAACCATATATATTCCTATTTGTCATGTCTCGAACATTTGAATGACGTATACGGTCAGTCCCCAGGGGTTCCCCCCACCCCCAATGTTCTAATATCTTGTAAATGGTTGAGATCGCCACCCCTAAACCATATATATTCCTGTTCGTCATGTAATGAACATTTGAATGACGTATAGGGCCAGTCCCCAGGGGTTCCTCCCCACCCCCAATATTCTAGTATCTTGTAAATGGTTGAGATCCCCACCCCTAAACCATATATATTCTGGTTTGTCATGCCAAGATGATTTGAATGATATACAAGGTTAGTCCCCAGGCATCACTAATGCATATAACTTTACTGGACCAAACCAATTTTCAATGGATGTTGCCCAATGTCAGGCGACCCTGGGAATTACGAATTATGGGAGCTTCGTTTGGGAGACTTCGTAACAGCATCCTGTTACATTCATTTCTTGTTTCCCATAAAAGACAAATTTTACCTTTATTTTTTATTTCTGCCTATTATCTTGAAAACTATAATAGATAGAGAGAGACCTTAGATTGCAAAAGTAATCAGCAAGAAAAGTTCCACAAAAAAGTCTCCTGGTCGAAATCGTCAGTCAACTCCTTATTAGAGTTATTGCCCTTTGATGATGATTTTTACCAATTTTTTGCGTTTTTGCCTTATATCTTAACAATTAAGATAGATAGATAGAAACTTAAATAAACAAAAATTACCAGAAAGAAAAGATCTACAATTAATTTGATATGGAGGAAATCATCTGACGACTCCTTATTGTAGTTATTGCCCTTTAATGACGATTTTTACCATTTTTTTGCATTTTGTCTTATATGATAAAAATTATAATAGATAAATTGACACTTTAAATCACACAAATGATCAGCAAAGCAAGATCTACTCAAGTCAAATTTTGCCGATATGGTTAGTAGACTTAAATGAGGATTTTTTTTTACCCTCTTTTGTGTTTTGAGCAAAAATTAAAGAATATAGAGAGAAACTAAACAGACTAAATGATCAGCAATACAAGATCAACAAAACAGAGATTTTTGTCATTAATTCTGTTCTTGTCTACAATATTGGAGAGTGTCCTTTGTTGAATATGCACATAGACCAAGGTGAGCGACACAGGCTCTAGTTAGTCAAGTTGCAACAAAGCCAAACTCAGCGTATAAATGATGAATGTCATCTGGCTCTCCAGATATCAACATTTCGGTTTCAGGACAAAATCTTTTGAGCAATAAACAACATCTTTACCAAACTTGGTTTGATAATACCTCATTGTGTGATGACAAACCCTATTAATCAAAGATTAAGGGGTTATAGATCACAGCCACTATTTATAGACTGGGTCATATCTTTTGAACCATATGACCTATATTCCCAAAGGTTAGCTTGAGAATAACCCTTGAATAGAACTAGACCCCTAAAGATTTTGTGTCAGTAGATCAAAGATCAAGGTCACAGTACCCTTCATTGAACATAAATTGTCAGTAGGCTTTACAGTCTTCAGCACGCATCTCGGCTTATGCACCCTTGGTGCTTCTGGAATTTTTATACTACTAAATTTTTCAAATTGTATCAATTTTGTATCATTCTGGATCAGTGTTAGGTAAAGAATTTAAAAAGGCAAAAACAATGTATTTATTTGGGTTTATTTTCAATTCAGTGTAAATTTTAGAAAAAATAATTTGGCTAATTACAGATAAGGTGCTCATAGAATGATTAATTTGATAAATATGAACTACAAGGGGATTTTAGTTGATTCTTTACAGATTTATCTCTGCTTATGAATGAATGTGACTGACTCAAATCAATAATACTGATTAAAATGTTAAGTCATGCATATTATATTACCCTTCGAGTCAAAGGTTTCTTAATTTTTCATGATGTGTATTTTTAGGTAAAGCATTAACATTTTTACTGCAACAGCCACCAAGTCGTAAGTTACCTGCACATACACCTATTAGAAGAGCTGCCATAGATTTGATTGGTCGAGGATTCACAGTTTGGGAGCCATATCTAGATGTATCTGCAGTACTGCTTGGTCTTCTTGAGCTTTGTGTGGATTCGGATAGGCTTGTTCCAAGGTATTTTACATACACATTCATATAGATGTTAATAAGCCATAAAATTTTGCTTGGCCATTTTGAATATTAACTCCCTTTGAAGTTCCTAGTTTTAGAGTAAAGTACTTTCCTGGGATAATCAATGATGATCATTTGATAGAATATTTTTAATTGCCTCCTATGTTAACCTAGGCAATCCAAGTTCAAGTAAATTGCTACTAATATTTTTAACAGCTTTTAAATTAATTTCTGTATACCATATAAATATATAACACAAAGCAGTAACACGGAAAACACATGTTTCATGAAAGATTTACATTTCTTCATTATTTGTCTATAATATTGCATAAATACTCTCAATTTGATTAAAATGGTTATAAGAACGTCACTGGTTTCTTGGATTTATTTTATCTATACTTCAAACCTATCCCATCTGAATAGAATTTGTGGTTATTATGAAATGCAACATTACATGATTGAAATGGTACCACACAAATAATTACACTTTCCCATTTGTTTATTAAATCAATTATAAAAATTTAAATGTTTAATAAGGCATTTAGTTCAAAATCAAGAACATTCTTAAATGTTCATCTTTCTATCATTATTAATTACAGTCAAACCTATATATAAAGGTCATCCTCAGGACCAGAGAAAACTGACCTTGTAAGAGAGGTGATCTTCAAATTGAGATTTAAAATGCATAGATATTACTACAGCTTGACAAGAGGGTGATCTAAAATGTCCGGTTTTCGCTTAATAGAGTTAGCCTTTATAGCAAGTTTGACTCTATTCCCATGCAAAATCTTTCTTTTCAAGATAAATAATGTTTAGTTGAAGCTCTTTACATATGTTGTTTGACAAGAAATTTCTTGATAATGTTTAGAGTCATTATGAAAATATTTGCAGATTTATTAGGGATATGTAAGTCATTTAATCTTAACAGGAAATTTATTATTTTGTTTTATTACTTACTCTTTAATACTAATTTTTCTCATATTACACTACCCCTCCTCTGTGGTAGTCACTAACTTATACCAAGTTATTTTCAACATGTTCTTTAAAAAAAATTATGTAAATTTATTGTATAGCAGAATTATCTTTCCTTGGAACGTAACGAAAAGTTAATGTGCAATATTCTATGAAAGTGCACTAGTGCTAATATAGCTTCAAATTATCGATGTCAATTTATCAGTGACAAAAATATGTTTTTCATGCTTTGCTATACAATAAAAGGGTTATTGCTTGAATATTGGTGAATATTATACCTGGTAGAATATATATTGCACTCGTAAGATCATTCAATATAAAAATCTATTTGGGACAATATTCACCAATATTAATCCAATAATTATGTAAGAGATTTCAGTTGCTTTTCTCAAAGGTGGTGGTATTATAGGGATACAATTTATAAGGCATATTTTTTCTTTACTTTATGGAGGACTGGGAAGCCTGAGTCTCAAGATCTACATATGATAGGCCAAAATACATGTATGAAATATAGGTTCATTCTAAGGAGCTCTCATGTATCTAACAAGGGTTTTATTCTTTGACCAAATTTCAGTATGTAGACCTTTGGAATTGTGGTATATTGGTTTTCAAATTCAGCTGGCAAAATATTTTGGTATATCTCTTTTCGAATAAATTTAGTGAATTAGTTATTATATGATTAGATATTACAAATATATTTATTATTTATCAAAAGCAAATTTTTTACTTATAAATATTTATGTATCATTTTTGTATTTTTTTCATTAAAAAATAAATGTTATCTATAGCATCAAATCCTTTCTTTTTGAAGAAATAGTTTGCTAATTAATTTATTTTATATTTTCTTAGTATGACCTTTGGACTGCCATTATCTCCAGCTGCAGATGCATGTAGGACAGCCAGGCATGCTCTATCACTAATAGCAACAGCTCGCCCACCTGCATTCATCATCACCATGGCAAAAGAAGTTGCTAGGTTTAATGCCATGCAACAAACAACACAGTCACAACATTCGCAGATACAAAACTCAGTGTTAATCAGAGCTAAAGTAGAAATCTTGAGAGTCATAGAGTTATTGGTAGAGAAAATGCCAAATGATGTTGCTGACCATCTAGTAGAGGTACAAGACATACTTCTTATCTATATGTATATCATATATATTTGGTTGCTTAATTATTCATTCTACATGTCTTCATAACAAATCGTCAGTTTTGATTATTATACACCAGCTTCCAAGGCAGTGATAAACTGGTATATGTCTGTACAACCCTCAGTTTGTGTATCTGTATTTTTTTGGATCATATAATGGTATGATGTCGTCTGCGTCGTCGTCCGAAGATACATTGGTTTCCGGACAATAAATTTAGTTTAAGTGAATGGATCTCTATGAAATTTTTTAAGAAGGTTCAATACCACAAAAGGAAGGTTGGGATTGATTTTGGGGATGATGGTCCCAACCGTTTAGGAATTAGGGGCCCAAAACAAGCATTTTTCTAGTTTCAGGATAATAACTTGTGTATAAGTATTTCGGTTGCTCTGAAATTGTACCACAATGTTTAATACCACAAGTAGAAGGTTTGGGATTCATTTAAGGGGTTATGGGGCCAACAGTTTAGGAATTAAGGGCCAAAAACAAACATTTTTCTAGTATCCAGACAATAACTTGTGTGTAAGTGTATGGATCTCTCTGACATTGTACCACAAGGTTCCATATAACAAAGGGAAGGCTGGGATTGAGTTTGGTGTTAATTGCCCCAAACATGTAGGAATTAGGAGCCAAAATCAAGCATTTTTCTAGTTTCCGGACAATAACTTGTGTGTAAGTGTATGGATCTCTCTGAAATTGTACTACAAGGTTCCATACTTCAAAGGAAAGGCTGGGATTGAGTTTTGGGGTTATTGCATCAAGGGGGGTTTCAAAAAGTTGGGAGGGGGGGATTTTTTTTCCAATTTTTTTAAGGGATTCATATTTTTTTCTTCAAAATTTTTTAAATTTTGAATTTTTGAAAAGTTTCAAGAAGAAATCCTCAATTGCACAGTATTGCGCAATGGATTTATAAGATTTTTGACCACATTTATTTTGTGTCTGAAACCTATATTATGTCAAAAATTTGATCACAATCCAAATTCAGACAGTATCAAGCTTGAATATTGTGTCCAAATTTGCCCTAACTGTTCAGGGTTCCACCTCTGCGGTCGTATCAGGCTGCGTTCAGCGAAGCATTTTATTTTCACAGTTAATTCAGCAACTACAAATCAGAGCATCCTGAAATTTGGTATCAAGCTTTTTGTGAGCATGCATAACTCTATGATGTATTATCACATTAATCACTCACCACATTCCTGTATACCGAATACGTATATATTCTTTCACATAATGGCATGTATGAAATTTTCGTCACATCTCTGTCTGTCACATACATTTTCTTCTCGGTTTAATCAAGAACTACAAATCAAGGCCCTCTGCAATTTGGAATCAAGTTTCATGATGCGAGCATGCTATACTATGTGATGCATCAACTTATAACCTATGTTAAATAAGCATAGAGCGTGACTTGAAAGAATTAATTCAATTCTGATTGGAAAATTTATAACTTTTGTACTTCGCAGTGGACCTCTAAGACTCCATTGAAAGGCAGCCATTTTGATTTAATGAATCAAAAATGTTATTGAAAACGTCGATTCACAACAAAAAAAGTGTACAAATACATGTTGACTTTCTTTTAGAATGAATTTATTTCATTTCCTATCGAGTAACATCAGTAGAAAAGTCCGTTTTGATCTTTTGCATTGTACAAAGTACAACTGATGTTGCAATTTTGATTGTGACGTCACACACATGCACCTTATCTTTCATTGTAATAAGAACATGGCTTTGTTTGTAAAGTGAAAGAAAAATGTGAAATTACAAAATGTTTATTGGATATGTACATGTAAGTCTATTGTAAAAATGTATGTGTTCAAATAACATTTTGTTTCTTTTTGCTTGATAATTCTTGTCTAATCTATTTAATAGGCTATGGATGTTACTATTCATTGTTTAGATATACCACAATTGAAGTCAAAGGGTCTTCAAGAACTCTTTCCTGCTATTTGTCGGTAAGAATTTTGTGTATTATGCATGAACTACGTCTTCATTAATTTCAGCTTTACGTTAATGCAGAAAGGGGATGCAGGGTATAGCACCCATCTTTCTTAATTTTTGTTTTAGTTATGTAAAAATTGACCAAAATCAGGCTGGAACCTCTTTTACCGTGTACATCTCCTCTTTTAAAAAATTCTGTATCCATGTCTGATTACTATTTCATTCATAAAAAAATGCCCCTAAAATCTATATTCACCAATTATACCTACATCACAGACTATCTCATATGTCAGTAATATAACAAAACTGTAAGACAACAAAATGTGCAGAATTATTAGACAACAAAATGAACAGACTTAACTGAATCAGGCCGTTGGTTTTTTCCATTGAATTGTTTTACATTTTGTTATGTTAGTGCCTTCTATAGCTTACTATACAGTATGAGTTTTGTTCATTATTGAAGGCCATATAGTGAACTATATTTGCTTACATCTACATCATTTGGTCTCTGGTGGTTAGTTGTCTCATTGGCAATCTTCCCTAATCTGTTTACGAGATTTGAACATCGAACATCGGTATACTACTGTCGCCTTAATTTACCACATCTTCTTATTTCTATATTGACTATATATAAGAACATTTACATTATATTCTGCAGTGGCAATGCCTTTCTGAATGATACATAACATTTTCTGTTTGTATAGTTTCAGTATGGTTAGTATGTGTCCTGTCTCAAAGAGAATTTGGGTTGGAGCTAAGAATGGTGGTCTAGCATTTTATGATTTGAAACAACATTCCAAGTGTCAGGTAAGTTAATTGATATATATGTAAAAAGTGAAGTAAAATATTTTGAATCTAAATATTAGATGTAGGTTGCTGTAGACAGATTTATTAGCAAAAGATAACAGAAAGTAATGGAGGAGATTTCAAACATTGGCAAACAACCGTCCAGAATTTTTTAATTTATAGATATTCATTGTCGGTCCTTGCAGCATCCTTAGACTTTCCTATTGGATTTAGGTCTGATTTTTGACAAGGGATGATACCATGGTCAATTTGATTAACATGTAATGATCTATTTATCACAGATTTTTTAACTCAGTTTGATTGGCTGGGTGATTTGGATTTTTATAAAAGAAAATTGTTTTGTTTTGGGGATACTACATGTATAAGCTTTTCTTCTTTGTATGGGGTAATATGTGAGCTGCACACTAAAGATTTTTTAATTTTTTAGGTGATAACAGCACATTCAGGTCACATTGTAGCCACTGCCATAGCTGCTGATGGTAAACATTTGGCAACTTATAGTCATACAGACAATAAGCTTAAATTCTGGCAGGTATGTTTTACCTTTAGTTTGTCCGTAGAAAAACTTAACATAGCTTTAAATATGCAGTAAATCCAGTTGAGAGCATTCTATACACATTTGGCATTGCTGCTGAATACTGTGGATTCATTAGTGATCTGAATATTGTGGATTCATTAGGTGATCTGAATACTATGGATTCATTAGTGATCGGAATACTGTGGATTCATTAGTGATCTGAACACTATGGATTCATTAGTGATCTGAATACTGTGGATTCATTAGTGATCTGAATACTGTGGATTCATTAGGTGATCTGAATACTATGGATTCATTAGGTGATCTGAATACTATGGATTCATTAGGTGATCTGTGATCTGAACACTATGGATTCATTAGTGATCTGAATACTGTGGATTCATTAGTGATCTGAATACTGTGGATTCATTAGGTGATCTGAATACTATGGATTCATTAGGTGATCTGAATACTATGGATTCATTAGGTGATCTGAATACTATGGATTCATTAGTGATCTGAACACTGTGGATTCATTAGTGATCTGAATACTATGGATTCATTAGTGATCTGAATACTGTGGATTCATTAGTGATTGTTGGATACCAATTTTCATGGATTTCTTGGGTATAGGTAAATCAAGAATTAAAAAGTTCAACCAAAAACAAATTTTCTAAAGGTTTAAATGCAAAACCATGAAATCAAATACCCAGGAAAATACAATTTTCTCTCAATTCACGAAAGTTGTACCCAAGAATAAAAAAAAATCCAAAGTATTTAAAATGAAAATCTGGCTTACTTTCACAAAGTTCAAGAATGCAGTTCATTTCAAGGTATTTGATACCTGTGGACTTCATTTAAAGTTTCAGTTTTTGGGAAAAACAAATAAATGGCTTCACTAACACAGTCTAAAAATTGATTTTTTTTCAGCATTGAAATCAACTATTGATTGAAAAGCTATTATTAAAATGGAGTACAGATATCTCTAAAATAACAGCTTTTACCATGAAATATATAAGAAAATAGTTCTACACCATCTTGATTATATTTATTTTTCAGACTGCCTCCTCGTCATTGTTTGGTATTGGATCTCAACAGACAAAGTTGCTGAAACAGTTTGCTACACAACCTCTGCCTATTACAAACTTGACAAACTTACTCAAACTAGTCCGATTAGTGTGGATAGATAATAGATTGCTGATTTTACTCACACTCGATGGTAGTGAATATAAATATAGTATTTAGTACAAGTTAACAATGATAAATCGTAATGGGACATTTGATACTATCAGTACAATATAGCATTAAATATCAGGAACGATAATTAAGATAAAAGTATTATAGCTAGTCAGACTGTTGACAAGAAGACTTAGTTATTGATAACGATCTATGATAGTGAATTAATGACAGAAACGATAGGTATTCGTCATATAAATTGATCAAAATGTCGGATGAGTAGTGTTAAGAGTCATGCAGAAAGTAAGCAGTATGTCCACTGAATGGTAGTTAAATAGCAGTATAGATCCAGTATAGAAGGTAATATTGGTCAAATAAAAGACCATCAAGTCATTTTGAGGTAGCAGAAAAGATTTGTAGATTAAGTAACAAAAGATGACATAAAGATAATAGTTAATAATATGAAGCAAGTCTGCTGTATTGTTATATCTAGTCCATTGTTCCAATTGATATAATGATTATTATACATTTTTAAAAAGTGTACATATATTAATAATCAGAAGTAGCAAAGTAATATTACATAAGGAGTTATAGTCATAAAACTTTCGAGTATGATTATCATACTCGACCTCAGAAATCAACCAATCAAAACACTCAATTTGGTGTTTAGACCACAAATTTTGTACTTCGAGTATTTAAAAGTAAAGTTTTATGACTGAAAGTCCTGTGATCTCTGTCATAAAACTATACTCAGTACTGGGAGTACAAAATTTGTGCTCTTAAACACCAAATCCAGCATTTTTATTGGTTGAATTCTGAGTCTGAGTAAGAAAATCGTACTTGAAATTTTATGACTGCAAGGCCTGAGGTTTAATAACAAGTGTATTAACAAAGATAATACAGTATTTTTTTGTTTTGTTGAAAGGAAAAATCTTCCTTCATCACCCATAACAAATTCATTAAACATATGACAAGTAAGTCTGATACATAAATAATTTGCCTTTTCATCCTTTCTAATAACACACACATATATCTAAAAGTGGGACTCTATCCAATTTGACTTTATTTTACTTTTGATGTATGGATTTCCAAGGAAAGTCATTAAGGTTCTTTTGTGATGCTAAAATTTTTGCCGAAATTTATTATTTTCTTTAAATTTTAAAGATGGTTAAAAGCTATTGATTCATGTCACCTAATTGTGTATTTAGTGAATCACATGTCAGGTTACCAATAGAAAGATTGGCAGAAAATAAATATTCAGTGGACTTAATATTAGCTTCATAATTTTTTAACTTTCTTATAAGCTATAAGAAACGTCAGATATACTTATCAGTTGTTATTACATATATTGTATGTGATATCAAGTTTTTCATTTATGTCTGTGATTTTGAATTTAACGTTTTAACTCCGATTTACAGTGCCATTTGTATCAAGTGTAAAATGTATTTTTTATTTGATTTATATATTTGAAGTGCAATAAGTTGGTTAGATTATAATATAAGATTTGATAAAAAAAAATGTGTAGTTAATATTGTTTTGCATTCCATTGATATTGTTTATTTACACTCAGTGCTAAAAGGCATTATTAAACCTTCCTTCATATAGATAAATAAGTATATGCATTGACTAATTTGGTAAATTGTGGTTACCTATGAAATCATAATGAATACCCCATATTTCATCACCCGTAATCACTTCAAAATATATACACCATTCATGCTAGTTATATTTTAGGACTAGGAAGACATGTTAATTTTAACTTCATCCCCTAAAGAGATGTTGTTTAAGTAAAACAAGTGAAGTGGTGTCTGTAAGCTAGACCTTATAGTAGGGATATTTTTTCTGGGTCAAAAATATGCAGTTCCTTTATATTTTGTAAACTAAAAAATATAATTAAATCTTTTTAGAAATGATATACTGTAAATTTAGAAATTATTGTGTGCATTTGTTATTGATATTTTTGAAGGATGGACAAAAATGCAAGATTCATTATTGCGATTTCAGAAAAATCTGTATACAAATATATGTAACAGATTTAGAATGTGAGGTCTTATTATTGTGATACTCACCCTATCGCATTATTCGCATTAATAAAAACCTCGCAATCATTTCTGAATTTACAGTACACATTGTAATTTGAAATCCTCTGTTGATGATGTATGTCTCAGAAAGAAAGATTTATTGACAATTTTTCTGTAGAAATGTTTTGTTTGTACTTTTAAATAACTTACATTGCTATTGAATACTGCATTTTTTGGTAAATTTCAATTCATTTATGTATTATATATTTAATATTCTGTTTATTTATAATTGTTATATAAATTTGTTATTTTAAATAAATTGTCATCCTTAATATAAAATTTTCTTCTTGTTATTTGTTCAGTTTATTGTTTTATATTTGATTTTTGTGTTGTTTGCTGAATGTCCAGATGCAAATTTTTCGTGCATTTTAAGGACCAGACTAAGTTAATGATAATCCAATTGATTTTTTCTGCAAAGTTGATCAACCAGGGTGAAACACTGAAATTTTGGAATGCCACTAGCCTAGAATTATAATGTGTCTGGTTCATCTTATTGTTATTTCCCCCCAATTTTTCTGCATTTATTTGTATGTTACATGTATTTCCCTTCTTATGTGTTGTTTTAATGTCTTTTTTAAAATCCTTTGGATGATCCTACTAAATGACTTTAATAACAGGTGACTTTCATTGGATATACTTTCAAAACTGTGGCTAACAATTCCATAAATCAGTCAAAATTGAGACTATCACTAGAATAAAACTGTCTGTCCATTCAATAAATTCTGTTTCAACAGACATTAAATATCTGATTGGACCAATTCATATCATATTATTTGTTATCTCTCAGATTCAGTTCTTATCTGTGTCTGAAAACATTTGGTAGAAAAATTTTATTAAAGTTTTCTTGACTTCTATGAAAGGGAATGATTTTATATTTGATCTGCAGCTGATAATGTTGGATTGTAGCATGTAAGCAATTTTTATATTTGCAGTGTAGCTACTACATGTTTGTTGAAAGTTTGAAATTTTACAACACTCATTGTACACCTAAATTTTTCGCTAATCTTTTCTTTGCTTAGAGATTCATTTTATATTTAGTCTGAGGTTGATGATATTGTGTTGTAGTGAAACATGATATATTTATAAGTTGTAACTGGCTTTGAACTAGCTTTCAGTAATTGTGAGTACTCATAGACCAGTACTTTGTGTCTGTAATCTTTTTTTTTGTGCTTTGTGCCAATCTGATGTGTTGAGCCTTTTTTCAACTGATTTTTACAGTTTGTTCTTTGTTGTGGAGTTACAACACTTTCCCAAGAGACTCACAAACATGTTCTACCACATTCTGTACGTGCCTGTCCCAAGGCAGAAGCTTGTTATTCAGTAGTTCTCATTGGTTGCTGTCTATCATTTGTTGTTGAACATAAATCCCACCATTTGTTATCTTGTTTGAATGGTTTTACATTTGGTCATGATGGGGCCTTTTATAGCTTACTATATGATATGGGTATTGAGCATTGTTGGAAGCCATACTGTGGCCTATAGTTGCTTATAGCTATGTTATTTGGTCTCTGGTGGATAGTTGTCTTATTGGCAATGGTACCCATCTGATTTTTGGAAAGATTGATTAATTCTCATGTCTGTGTTCATATGCTGATGAACTTTGAAAAAATTTGATTAACATATATCTATAGAGCAGTTCATTCAAGTATATATGTCTTTAGTTTCATAAATTTGTTAGCTAGTTCAGTCATGTTTCTAGGTAAGAGTAATAATACCAGTAGGACTGACAATTTCCATGATGATTTAACAATCAGAAATAAGGTGGAGTCTTAATTGGAATGTACCATCCTCTTAAATGCAAATTATATTGACCAAATTACCTAATTTCAGTCTTAGATAATTAAGCAGATTTTATTACACATTTCAATATACAATTCTTGACCTCAATATAATGTAGAAATGATAGATTTATTAATTCACATATTACTTTTGATCATAACTACATTAAATGATTCTGTAAATCATGTCTGATAGAAGATTATTATTAGGATAATTATCAGGCTCTTTCTTTTTTTTTAGATAAATCATAACATTATTAAACGAGGGCACCTGGCATGACCCCCAGAGTCAAACTCTTAGCTAAACTGCAAAGGTCTTGCCTGTACTGTGGCATTTATTTGCTTACTATCACTTATTTAAACTCAGGTGGATAGTAGTCTCATTGGCAATCTGTCCAAATCTGTTCATTTTTATATTGTAATGGCAAGGAAGAATATATATGATTAAATGGTGACTTATAAAAATTAACTATTTGAGGGTCAAAAGTCAAGCTCCTCATCCATTGTACGGGACACATCATATTGAGGTGCTGCACTTGTGTTTTGAATATCAAAAGCCTATGTCAAAGGAGAGAAAAGGGTGTTCTCCGAACAAGAAAATGTAAAAAAAATAAAGTATTTTTTATCTTGAGGTCAAAGGTTAAGGTCATTTGACGGTCATGATGTTATGTGATACACTGTCTTATTGTAGTTCAACTTCATGCCAAATATCATAAGCTAGTGTCAAAAGACAAAAAAGTTTTCATGTTTAAATACACGGATTATAGAGAAAATTATGTGAAAATTACACATTTTTATTCCATTGCCATGGTAACGGTGTAAGAGACCCCAGCTTAAAAATCATAAACCTTGTAGCACATATGTAAATCTTTATAGAAATGTTTAATACATTAAAAAAATCATAGGACTTTAAAAGATTTCATGTCTTTTTGTTGATTGTGTTAGCAAGTATCGAAAAAATCACCAAAATGCCTTTTTTAGATCTGTAAGCCCCAAAATATAGCGATACTCAAACTATGATATAAATATATTTGTCTAGTTTCGAAGGACGAATAATGCTTGTAATAAAAATCCTTTTAAGTACCAGCTCATTATAACCATATCTTGAATATTCATAGCAACAAAAATGTGAGATTTTAATGGAAATTTTGGGAAATTAAGTCTTTTCCAGAAGATGGTGCTGCAAAATCTAAAAATAGCTTCAGATCAAATTTTAAAGTTCGATTTTTTCTTCTTTTGACTATCATAACATATGTGCAAAATTTCAGTACATTTGGTTGACATATCATGTGGACCCACTAATAAGGCTTTTGCATGGTTCTTATCAAAGACTTGGTGTAAAGAAGAAAAGGTTTTCAGCCTCAAATTTTCATTAACCAAGCAAAAATTACAGTAGCGAAACATTTTATTTACTTAAAAGCTTTGGATTTGCAACAAAATAGAACTTCCATTGATTCAGCAGGAAATGAGTAGAAACTTAAAACAAATACAGAAAAAATTTCTGGAAAACAAAGTGTTTATTGCGTGAAACACCGATAGAAAACCAGTTTTAAGTGATCATAAGAATTGTTGAAGTATTTAAGACTTTAATATGTTACATATTAATTTTTCAAAGTCCAGTGTACGTGTTTGTGTCTTATTAGGCAATACAAATTTGATTACTCATTGAGGTGTTAAGAATATTGTCATCCACATCTACAGCAAGCTACATGTTTTTGACAGTTGTTGAAGCTTTGAAGTAAAGCCATTCATTATCCAGTAGTTGGGTGGCTAAGGCATTGAAGAAAAATGCTCTAAAGATGTATACCCACCCCCCACCCCCATAATACATATCAAAGCCCGCATTTTGAGAAAGATGAATGTTTACTAAAAGAAACAGTCGTCTTCAAAAAACATTCAGAGTAATTTTGTGTATGACTACACTGAAAATAACCCTTATTTTCAAAGCCATGGTAGCAAATATGAGGGATTTTTAAATTACATTGAAGCCAAGATGTGCATTAAGATTCGTTCTTTACGAAAAAATGAATGGGGGTTCGATATTTTCTAGAACGTGTGAAAATGGTCAAAGATGGATATAGCTGGCGTCTGTATACATAGACGTTCAAGTCATAAATTATTGATCAGGCTAAACTTATGAGACTGACAACAATCAGGCCAAGTTGAATGGAAATTGTAAGGGATGTGCATACTCCATATCTACACGGTAATTGATTCTGATACAAAATCACCTAAATTGTTGATGTACACAAAGTGGGTGGAGTCAATTTCTCAGTTTGAATTTTCAGTGGCCATTCTCAAATAAATCTTTCAGTCTTTACTGAACTTCATTGTATCAGCTACATGTGTGTATTTTACTTTTCTACTAACATTATGGCTTCAGATATATTAGAGACATATAATACATATAATTGTATTATATGTCTCTGGATATATGTTTTGATATATAACAAAGGACGTATATTTTACGTTAGTACAAATGTTATATAAATCCTTATCTTATAATCTATAAACTAGTAGCTCAACTCTATTTTGATATATTTTGGCATATTTTGAAAATTAACTCACAAAAATGAACCATAAGACTAAGATTGCCGTTTAACACAGAACCAATGGAACATGCTCTATTATAAACAGATGAGAGAAGACTGCATGAGGACTTGCTTACCCAAATACAAAATGTAGGTATCATCTTTAGACAATTTCGCTGAAAAATTATAAGGTTAAATTCCCAAGTCTGGAAAAAAGGTTTCAAAGTGTTTGCAGATTTCTGTTATATTTCGGGTATTTATGTTCAAAACTGTAGGAGGCTCAGGGGTTGATTACACAAAAAGATTTGCTGATAATACGGAAAACGAGGAACAATTCTCAACAATTCTGTAGTATCAGGTGCACAACTGTGTACAATGTTTCTGTGAAGGTTAAGGACTGTAAGAGCTTACTACACACAAAACAGCCGGTACCCATCTTACCTGAAAACGCATCCGCCCGCCCTATCGCCCGTCCAGCCACCCTACATCGCCATACTATAAGCCGCTTTTCCAATATGTGCAATATTTAAGAAGAACATTCTTATCCAAATCGAGAGGTATACCATATATTGTATTTCTGGTATTCATTTTGATGGCAGATGTCATTCGATGCAAAATTTGAACAAAAATATGTAAAATTGCAATATTGTGATAAAAAAAAAAGTCTTCCCTAAATCATTTGAATAACTTATTTATTTGATGAAAATATTCAAAAATATTGAAAAAAATTGTATTATATGTCGCCTTCCAAATTCGTGAAAATTGGTTCTAACTTTTCATGAATGGTATTTCCGGGGGTCATGTAAACAAGTATCAGATGATATACCATCAAGTACAAAAATTAACTATTTTGAGCTTGAATTATGCGCTAGTGAATAAGCGGAAGTTAATTTTAAGGTTCATACTTTTCTTTTGTCCCGTTAATTATAGAACGTCGTGTCATTTAAATACGAATAACCAGACTGTATTGAAAAGTCGTTCTGAATTCTGTCTATTGTAACTTTGATTTTGTGAGAACAAAATAACTTAAAAAAGGATTTTGAGTTCGTGAGAAAAATGCTGTAATTTCTGTGATTCATCCTTGTTTTAAATTTTTTTTAAATACATATAGATCACGACATGTACACACGACCTGTAATCCGGTTATATGCTGTAGTTAATATTCATTTATAGAATATATATAATATTTCAATTAATCATCAAAATATTTGATCACGATTTTGATTGTGTCTGAGACGACTATATAACACATAGACTATTATAATACATGTGTTATAGTAATCTCAGATTGTGTTCGATATATTTTTGCACTATAATTGACAGTGTATCGAAAATTTGTCAATAAAGATAAATACAAATTCAGTTTTATAAGAAGGATATACATACCTATTGAAGGTAAATTATCCAAATAAATCTGTTTATATTGAAATAATACATTTGTTTATTGTAAGATTTCATGCAGCAGTATAGGGACCACCATTTGATTTTCTAGGGGGTGGTGGTGGGGAGGAGGAGGAATTAGAAAATCATTATCTTGGCATAGTAAGAGCTGAAAATAAATAATCTTGCACGAGACAAGATGAAAATGAATATTCTATAACACAAAATGCAGGAAATAATTGTGTACAAAAGTGAAAATAAATGAATAAGTAATACGTAAAAATCGCGCGGAAAAGGATCTAACTAAATTAACAAAGATGTTTTTCTTACGTGACATTTCAAATTGAATTGGCATCAATCTAACACACCCATGCACCCAAATTGTTGTAATTTATATATCTCCAATTCAATGTTGAGATATGTGCAGTTGCTTAGTTTTTAAGTTGATATTTTGTTTGTTTCGCTAGTTTTTAGTTTCATGTATTTTAATTGCGGAAAGGTCAGGACGTAAATATTATGTTGAACTTGTTTTAAATAATGATTTGTATAAAGTAAATATCATAGTGTCTCCACACTATCTTCATGTAGACTATATACATGCTTCCCATGCATTTCTTTTGTTTAATGTATAAAATACAACAAGATATGAGCATATTTAATAGCTAGTTTAAAAAGCTTGCCTCGTGATGCAATACACAGTGGCGGATCCAGAGGGGGGCGTAGAGGGCGTACGCCCCCCCCCCCTTTGCTTGCACTTTTTTTTTGTTTGTAAAATAATTAATCAGACTAGACTTCGTGAACTTTGCCATTTCCCGTGTATTTAATTTTTATGCGACAATTCTTTACTTATAAAGATATCTTTCGCTCGTATTTATTGTAATATATTATTGATTATGTCAAAGTCATGTGATTCGCTACGGTGGAGTTGACCAGTACGTCGAAAAAAACGTCACTCGGTCATTTTGAAATTCAAATTACAGTAACATATTGCTTAGGTTGAGGATGACAAGCATGACGCCTTCAAAGCGACAAAGTATTGAGCAAGAACGTATTGACTTCTATTTCACAATTCCACCCAACAGAAAGTAATACTCTATTACACTCTCAAGAAACAAAAAGTTCCACAGCAATATTATTTACCTACCAAAACATGTTTTTAACCCCACACGCCCCATCCCATTAATAACATTGCTGAATAGTGATCCCCAGTCAGTAAGCTCTAGATATAGATTTAAAGTCTAAGGTACGGACCATTTGATTTGAGGGGGCAGCCTGAGATATTTTAGAGAAAAAAATCTGACCCTGATTTTTGCCTTAAACAAAAAATCTGGCCGTATCTTGATTGAAAACAATAATCTTGTCCACTTTTTTGCTATTGGAAAAAAATATTTTCAACAGAATTATTTAGCATCAAATGAACATGATGAATTAAAAACGGGCATAATTTTTTTTTTTTGGGGGGGGGTGCATGTGAATCCCATATCTGACCGGAATGTCTGTTTCGCCGAACTGATATACTGAATACTTTTTTCAAGGCCCGACTGCAACCTGCCTGCTGGGTGTGGCCTATATGTCTAAATGTATCGACTGTCATTCACAACTTCATTGTCATTTCCGACTCATTCGTAGCCTTTGGTTGATTTGGAACCCATCACTTCCCTTGTTGTTCAACCAAACATTTGGATAAAAATTGCTTGTTTGTCTTTCTTCGTGTCGGTTTTCTTGTAAATTTCATTGAATAGCCGTATATCTTGTTTACAACAAGAAATCTGTGAGGTTATGCTAACTAACCATGCAACAAACGAGAATTTTCCATGTCCACATCAAGTATATTAATTAGTACATAGCTTTGGATCCATCCAATCATTTTATGATAGACAATTAATGGAGAGAATACGGCACCAAAAATGTCCAACCCCTACACTTTAACTATAAAATGCATTTTACACTTATTTTATGTTTTTTAGCCAAAAAAGGTCCAAAATATTTTTCGCCTCGCTCCGCTCGGCCAACTTTAATAATACGCCCCCCCCTTTCCAAATTCCTGGATCCGCCTCTGATACAAATATTCGCTCATTAGCTTAGGATGTGATCACTTTAGTTTAGGCTTATGGCGATGATGTGTACACATGTCATCATAGTTTTGTAAGTATATCATACTGGCAAGGAATTGTATATTATCAGAAGTCCATTACAAGACTAGTAATGTACTTCTGATATTATATACAATTCCTTGCATAATAGATATGATGTTAAAAGCACCACCCCGTCAGAATCATTTCAGGTGGATATATTTTTTTTATAAATATACATGTTTAAAATGTTTATCAGTTTGTTTTTCGAAAATCAACAATAATTGTATGTTAATCATGTATGGTCTGGAACTCTTTATCATGTACCGCTGATTAAGTGCCATTTATCTTGTCCATTTTTGCGGATATTTTACTAGAAAATTCTCATATTATCATCATTAACAGCAATTACAACATCATTACTCATTACTCAGCACGATCATCTATTTCAATCATTTTTTCGTCATATTTTTTCTCATTCTTATTTGTTTTATCATTTATTAGATCAAATAATTTCCTACATCAACTGATTATTCAAAAGTACCAAGGCCCAAGTACACAATGATATCAATCAATATCAATAATTATTAATCTTGAATAGTTATAATTCCGGAAAATACACTGTTGCTGAACCGATACGTTCGTTTTTAAATACATGGTAACCGGAAGTTGATTTTTGAAACAAAAACAAAGGAGCCTCCAAAGATACAAATTCGTTTCTGAAGAAACCATGTAATATTATTTGATCCAAGTAAGTCATGTCCCATCTCAAGTAATCGATTTCTTTGATGAGCTTAGCTGCATCTCTTAACACAGGCTTCAGAATTCAAAAAGGGATATCGATTATTGTATAACTTAATATAACTGAATCAAGGAAATGTATACAGCTATAATTTACAGGTATAATGAGACTTACAAATCCTTGACTGGATGGATCTCTTTACTTTTGTAATGCTGTCAAATGCAAAAGAGGTAACTCTTTCTATGTTTTTCGAGAAATATTGGCGGACAACATATGACTATTTTTTTAAAGAAGTTTTATTGTTTTAAACAGTTATTAGAAATGAACAAAACATGTTGAATAGTTATTAATATGTATCAGGTGAGACTCTAAGACAACAGAAGATTTTGCCGTTAATCAAAACAACAAAAAAATCAAATCACTACTTAAGAAAATACATTGTTTTTTAAACTTTTCTTACCATTGATTTATTTGACAAAAAAATAAAAACCTTATTTTTCAGTACTGTGATAAAAAATACTTTTAATTTAAAACAAAAAGGATAGTTAATGGTAAATATATCTAGTTTGGTTAATGTTCTCTTGAAAAATAGAGTTCCAATAGCTTGAAAGAGCAAGCTGTTTTGGTTTCTTAAATAGATAAGACTGCTATATAAAATATTTGCATTCAAAAAAGGAGGGTAACTCAAATCTAAATTAAAGTCCATAGATTTCTTATTTGGAAGTAAGTAATTTACAAAATTAAATTGGAAAGAGCGATTAATTACTCTAATTTTATTCTTCTTTCAGCAAGTTAAGTTGATTCTGAATTATAGTTGTCTTATCTATACAATACATATGTATTTCAAGCTCAAAATTTAATATTTCTGCTAGAGATGATCTGGAATTATGTTCAATGTCAGATGGTAAAGTAAAAAAGGTCCTATATCTGGTTACAAAAAAAGTGACACTTTTGGTATAAATGTATGAAAAAGTAACAAATCAGGTAGGAAATGATGTCCAATTTTAAGTATGAAGTGAAATAAAAGTCAGCAAATTATTTGAAATTTCACAATTATTTGTGTTTTACATATAGTGAATATCAATCCGTTATTTTAGACTATTTCAACTTCTTTTAATGAATAAAAAGTTTGAAATATTGCATTTAAAATTCATACATCTTTTTAAGTTTTGTATAAATCTGCGGCCCAGGGGTTTCATTATCTTTCATGTTGACTGGTACTTTCCCCTTTTGTAGGTGGTACTTTCATTTTATTCCATGAATACTTTATATAAAAATTCCTACATTTAGGAGGTACTTGTCAATAGCATAGGAGGGTAAAAGTACCGGGTACCGCCTCCTAATGAATGGCCTGAATTTAATTTAGTCTGCCAGTTATTAGAATTTTATTCAAACTCTCTTAGTAATACAAAAGGGCAATTTTGTTTCAACTATTATATTGTTTGAATAACTGACTCAGAATTTTGTAAGAGAAATATGACTAATTTTACCTTGTTTCTGAGCATGATATATGATTGAATTTCAGTTTTAGCTGACGGGGCCCCATGTGAGCTTATGCCATCACTTGGTGTCCGTCGTCTGTCGTTGTCGTCATTGTAAACTATTTCAAGAATCTTCTCCTCTGAAACTACTGGGCCAAATACATGTACCGTTAAACTTCAACTGAATGTTCCTTAGGGTATCTAGTTTATAAATTGTATCCGAAGTTTTGAACCATGAACAAACATGGCCTCCATGGCTAAAAATAGAACATAGGGGTCAAATGCAGTTTTTGGCTTATATCTCAAAAACTAAAGCATTTAGAGCAAATCTGACAGCTCTTAAATTTTCAGACGAAGTTAACAACCCATTGTTGGGTTGCTGCCACTAAATCAGTAATTTTAAGGAAATTTTGCAGTTTTTGGTTATTATCATGAATATTATTGAAGATAAAGATAAACTGTAAACAGCAAAAATGTTCGGCAAAGTAAGATCTACAAAAAAGTTAATACTGTATGACCAAAATTATCAATTGACCCCTTAAGGAGTTATTGCCCTTTAAAGACATTTGTTCTTCATGTTTGCTAATATTTAAAAATCTTCTCCTCTGAAACTACTGGGCCTAATACTTCTAAACTTAAACTGAATGTTCCTTAGGGTAACTGGTTTACAAATTGTATCCGTATGTTTGATCCATTAACAAACATGGCCACCATGGCTAAAAATAGAACATAGGGGTCAAATGCAGTTTTTGGCTTTTATCTCAAAAACTATAGCAGTTAGAGCAAAAGTGACATAGAGTTAAAGTGATGAATAAGCCAGATCTATCTGCTATGAAATTTTCAGACCAATTGGACCACCCATTGTAGGGTCACTGTCCGAAATAGTTTATTTTTAGCTCACCTGGCCCAAAGGGCCAAGTGAGCTTTTCTCATCACTTGGCGTCCGTCGTCGTCGTCTGTCGTCTTGGCCACAATCATCATTAGGGTATCTATTTTAAAAAATGTGTCCGATGACCCCGCCAACCAACCAAGATGGCGGCCATGGCTAAAAATAGAACAAAGGGGTAAAATGTAGATTTTGGCTTATATCTCTGAAACCAAAGCATTTAGAGTAAATCTGACATAGGGTAAAACTGATTATCAGGTCAAGATCTATCTGCCCTGAAATTTTCAGACAAATCTGACAACCTGTTGTTGGGTTGCTGCCCCTGAATTGGTAATTTTAAGGAAATTTTGCAGTTTTTGGTTATTATCTTGAATATTATTATAGATAGAGATAAACTGTAAACAGCAATAATGTTCAGCAAAGTAAGATCTACAAATAAGTTATCATGACCAAAATTGTCAGTCGACCCCTTTAGGAGTTATTGCCCTTTATAGTCAATTTTTAACAATTTTTCGTAAATTTTTATAATCTTCTACAAAAATCTTATTCTCTGAAACTACAGAGACAAATTTAACCATACTTGGCCATAATCATTATAAGGGTATCTAGTTTAAAAAATTTGTCCGATGACCCTGCCTTTCAACCATCATGGCCGACTTGGTTAAAAATAGAACATGGGGGTAAAATGCAGTTTTTGGTTTATATCTCTGAAACTAAGCATTTAGAGCAAATCTGACAGGTGGCAAAAATGTTCATCAGATTTAGATTTATCTGCCCTGAAATTTTCAGACGAATCCGACAACCCGTTGTTGGGTTGCTGCCCCTGAGTTATTAATTTTACAGAAATTTTGCAGTTTTTTGGTATCATCTTAGATATCATTATAATATCTAATATCTAATACTATTAATTATGATTTTAACCTAATTTTACATGATTTCCAAAGCATCAGTAAATACAGGTGACGACACAGGCTCTTGAGAGCCTCTAGTTATGAAATTTTACTGTTTTTGGTTATTATCTTTAATATTATAATAGATAGAGAGAAAGTGTAAATGGCAAAAATGTTCAGCTAAGTAGAATTTACAAATAAGTCAAACGCCTGAAACTGAAGTTACAGGTGAGCGATATCAGGCTCTCATGAGCCTCTTGTTGAAGAACCACTCCAAAAAAGAAAATGCAGCCTAGCTTCAATACCGGCATTAGACTCAATAGACAATGATAGATATAATATATTTACTGAATGAGTTGACTGGAAAAGAAATATTAATTCCTTTTTAATACATGTATATTCTATAAATATTAAAGATATATGAATTTGCACTGATAATAAGTTTAAAATGTACACAGTTGAAAACAAATCAATCCTTATATTCATGATATTACAGAACAAAATTAGACTGTCAGGAAATGGTCAGTTGTTGGCCTCATCCAAAGTTTTTGATGCAAAAATAGGTACACCTACTATTATCAATTGGCCTAGCCAGCATAGAACAGCAAAGCTTTTCAACTTTAATAAACCATTGTGTCTACTTCTGCATGTTATTCAGTTTTTTTTATGGAAATCAACAAAAACAAACCCCAATATAGCTTGTCTTTTCTCAAAATTCAGTGAAATGAAATTATCGGTTTTTCAATTAAGGCCAGGGGTGTTGATTATCAGAAACACACATATTGTTTTCTTTATAATAACAATATCATCTTCAATACCAAAATATTGTTAAAATAAGACATTTTTTTAAATTCTTGAAAGTTTTAGACAATAAAGCTTAATGGTATAAAAAAAATCTCAATGCTGGCGTATACAACATGTAGATGTGTTATTTTAAAACCTCAGATATATATCAGATTTATGGATACCATTAAACAACTCTGCAGTACATGTATGCAGTATTTTTATTTATTTATGATCTAATATTCTAATAAATTAATAATTTAGGTAATGCAGGGTCAAGTCACTTCTTTTTCACACACAAGATTATAAGGCCATTAAAAAATCATATAAAATATTTTGATTGATTTTCAGTCATCAAATTACATTAAGTTACATATTGATGTGTGTATATTATCACAATATGATCCATCATCTCTCTATCTACCTGCCAGGTGATATTGACAACCAGACCTTACAGGTATATCACATATCTGTAAACTACCTGAAAATTTATTACCTTTCTTTATCAGTAATTGTATCTATTCAATAGCTTTTAGGCATATAAACTTTCAATGTCCATATGATTTTCATAAATTTCTCATATATATACTAATTTGAATAGTGTAGACAAAGGTAGTCATCAGAATTCAATTTTTTTTATGAATACTAAGAGTGGTCATTGATTTGTCCATTCTACAGTAAACTGAGGTAAGACAATAGACGATTTATATGTATTTTAATGCAATTTTATATCAATATGAGATTATAGGGAACATACACTTTTAAATAGACATAAACAGTTTTGTATATATTTTGTATCTACATGTATGCTAGTGGTCAAATTTCTTAAAAAAGAATTAAAATTCAAGGGAAACACATGAACCAGTGATTAAGAATTTGAGATACCAGAATATAATAGATATTTATCAATTATTTTATTTCACTTTTATATTGAAAATGTGACAAGTTAATGGTTTCCTTTTAGATTTATACTCAGATAAGATGGTTATCTTAAGCAGATTACATGTATAAGCAGATTATATACATGTACCATAGATAAATTCTTATCTGAGAAAAAGGTGTCAAAACCCTATAAAAATGGGTTCAGCTTAGTAATACTTATGTTTCATAAGATTGAAAAATAAAGTAGTCTTGTATGTCCAGTTGACTTAAAAAGGTTTTTAAAAATATACATGTGATGATGTGATACCAAAAGAGAAATGCAGTTATCCAGTTCATGAATTTGTTATTTGGTAACATATGATATGTTTTTCTTTCTATTCAATCACTACTTACATAAAAGGTAAAATGTTATCCTGCAAAAATGTTTTGTTTAGGAAAAGGTGTCAAGGTGTGAGAGTGTCTCTTTTGTTGTACCCTATAGACTCTCTAAATGTAAATTTTAATTAAACTTTGTTGATGTTGCTACCTCATTAATGTTTCTTCCTCTCCTTTTATTCTTAATTTTTGTGTTGTTTGATTATTCAAAATTTTGTACATGAAATAACACAACTTTTCCAGTCAGTGATTTCAGAGGTGATAATCTCCTTACAGTAACATTTGGAATATGTTATTTTTGATCGGAATTCTAAGCTTTTGAGCAGAAAGCTTTTTGATGGTTTATAAAGAAGGGGGAAACAAACAATATTTTAATTTTTGCCTAAAATTAAAGGCATTTGAGCTGAATGTTTACATAATTCATTAATCAAAACTGTTATCTTTTTCAGACGACTGAAGTATAGATAAGCTGCAATGGTTATCCAGTCATCTTCCCAGCTAAGAAGAGAAGGTGAAACTAAAGTGACTTATATTGCTACAGAACATGGGAACCAGATACTTACAGGGCTACAGTCTTTAAGGAAGAAAAGACAACTGTTTGATGTAACCTTAGTTGCTGAAGGTCAAAAGTTTAAAGCTCACAGAGTTGTATTGGCCTCTTGTTGTGATTATTTCAGGTACATTTGATATATTCCTACATACCAGATACGTAACATGTGATGAATATATCCCAATATGTGATATGTGAATCTAGTTTTTTAATGCTTAAGTAATATGTTCAGTTTTTTATACCCCCGTCAAAGATGGGATGTATTTTGATAAACCAATGCTTGTCCATCCATCAGTCCTTCAATACTTCGTACAATGACTAAAATTTGCTTCAACTAATTCGCATATAACTTTAGTACAATATTAAAAGTAGGAAGGAAGCTCCCTTTCAATTTTTTTATTCTTAGTCTTGTCGTTCCTGAGTTACACTTATTTGACCCTTAGATTTAAGGCAATTTTTCACAAATCGCTCACTAACTCCAGTACAATGTATTTGTGGAATGATTTCCTCTAAACTTTACATTATTGTGGTGATTGATGAAAGGATTTGATTTTTTTTAATTTTCTGGTTTGTTGCTCCAGAGTTGTCATGTTATGGGACTTTAATTGTCAGATTTTAGTAGATTTTTCACATATTGTACCATAACTTGAGTTTGCTTTGATTTATTTAGTGGAAACTTTACATAATTGTGGGAATTGGTTAACATAACTAACTGTTTGATTTAGGGTACAATGTATCCTCAGGCTTGTTTTTTAAGGAGCCATTTTATTTGCTTGTTAAATGCCTTCGAAATATCCCATTTTATTCTTGCAACAATTTCAGTATGCACAATAAGGGCATGTTCTCTTGGCGTAGCGGTTTATTATTTATACTAGTATTATACATGTATGAATAATATATAGTTACATAGCTTAGCAACAATGTTATAATAACTGAAGTCAAAGGAGGCTAATTTATCAAAATTTTGTTAGATTGTGTCATCAGATTAAGTTGTTCATGTCAATTTTCACCAACACTTATCACAACCAAAATGAATAAATTGTTAGATTTGATGATATTAAGAAAAGAAGGGCTATTGCAAACCATTATTTGAAAAAGTAGACATTTATTTTTAGAGCCATGTTTACTGATGGATTGAAAGAAACAACACAAGATATTATTAGTATGAATGGTGTCACAGCTAAAGGAATCAAAAGTATAATAGAGTTTGCCTACTCATCTTCCATGGAACTAGATAGAGGTTAGATTTTATAAAAATTGTTACCTGATCTCCAGAAACTCGTTCTAATATAACCAGTCTTTTAAAGATATAGAATATATGATATGCAGTTGTCTATGAGGCAGCAACACGTTAAAAGACTATGGAAAAAAAATATAAGATAATATATTATCTGATGGCTTTTTGTAATGTTCAACAACTGATGGAATATCATAATTATAAAAATAAGAAGATGTGGTATGATTGCAAATGAGACAACTCTCCACAAGAGACCAAATGACATAGAAATTAACAACTAAAGGTCACCGTATGGCCTTCAACAACAAGCAAAAACCATACCCCATTGTCAGTAGCCTTATGTGCTATTACAACGTAAAGGAAAAACAGTCATTCAATCTAAAAAATTGTAAAACAATCCGCTAAATTAAACAAATGACTTATTCATGTAACTAGACAATAAAAAGAAAAGCCACTAATAGAGAAGACAATTCCAAGGACTACTTGCATGGACGGACTGTTTTGGGGTATTAGCTGGTGTATTAGGGTTTTGTCTATACCTTTAGTAATTGTAATAACTACCAATTTACCCACTGTAAAAATCAGCTTGACAAAAACTTATATTCTGTCATGCTTATTTCACTGTTTGAAGTTAATTTCATTCAAATTCAGAATTTAATATTGTGACCAAATGACATAGAAGTCAGAAACAATAGGTCATCGTATGCCTTTGACAATGGAGCAAAACTCATACTATATAGTAAGCTATAAAAGGCTAGAAAGGACAAAATATTAAACAATTTAAAGGAGAAAAATTAACAGCTGATTAATGAACAAAACAATAAAAGATAAACATATATGATAGACAGCAACCAATGAGAACCACTGAATTGCAGGCAATTTAAGGTTCAATATTAACAAATACAACCCTGAATTAAGATTTATTATTGCATTACTGATAAAAGCATTTCATTGATAAATTTACAGAACATTTTAAGTAAATAAAGTACATTGTCAATTTAGGAAAATTGTGGAAGAACATTTTAATTGGACATTTATGTACAGTTTATGCTCAGCTGTTAAAAATGAAGCGAAAAAAGATTTAAAAGAAATATATATACTCTTTAAATGAGTGTATACATGTATTAACAACTAATATTTTTTATCAGACAAGTTGTAATTATATTTTAAATAGGCCCAACAGGCTATGTGTAAATTTTATTTATCACTCTAATAATAAATCGTTACCTTTTATTTTAGATAATGTTGAAGACATATTGCTTGCAGCCAATCATATACAGTTATCACCTGTTATAGCAGCCTGTACAAAGTTCTTAGAATCTCACCTGTCTGTTGACAACTGTTTTGAAATGTTTAATCTTGCCGACCTTTTATCTTTAAAAGAATTGAAAAATATAGTTGCCAGATTCATGTGTTCACATCTTGATCACTTCTTATTTGACCGAATACCAAAACTTACATTTCATACTCTCCGTCATATACTTGACTGTGATTTTCCTGTAAATTGCTCAGAAATGGACATTTTGTCAGGCATATTGGACTGGCTATATTTCAAGTTTGACGAGAGAAAGAATTTGGCCTGTCAACTATTTTCTCGTTTAAGATTCAGTGAACTAACTTTATTAGACATAGATACAATTAGTAATAAAAAGCAATTACTACAACTATTTGAGAAACAGCCAGAAGTTGAAAAATTGTTCAGATCAACTGTTCTGACTTCTGTCTATAAACAGTCTGGTCTTTTGAATAATAGAGGTTTTGAAGAAGTATTAGTTTGTGTAGGTGGGTTCAGCCATGACAGAGGTATGACAAACGATCTACGTTATTTGAACACTGAATCAAATTCATGGGACATATTAACAAAGATACCTCATGTAGAACAGTGTGACTTTGGCTTGACAGTCCTAAATAATGACCTTTACCTTGTTGGAGGATGCTACAATGACCTCATGCAGGAGATAATTCATCAGTATTGCTTCAAATATAGTCCCCATGACAATTGTTGGCAGAGTATTGCCCCCCTACCGAGTGAGCGATGTCGCTTGTTTGTAGGTGCTGTTGAAGAGAAGCTGTATGCAATAGGAGGCAGGTTTGGCTCAGATGACTTTGTACAAGACTCTGAAACTCCATGTGAGTGCTATGATCCAGAAGAAGATCGATGGGATCCTATATCACCAATTCCAAACAACAGATCAGAGCATGCAGGGGTATCCCACAGAGGTCATCTGTACATATCAGGGGGCATTCATGATGACCATGCTCTTTCAGATTTCTATGTTTACTATCCAGAATTTGATTATTGGTCAGAACATACTCCAATGCAATCAAGACGAGCTGACCATTCAATGTTTGTTTACAACAATCAGATACATGTGATTGGAGGTTGGCATGAGACCAATGCCGATGATAGAGTCTTAGTTAATAGCATTGATTGTTACAACATCAGCACCAGTCAATGGGAGACAATAGGGTCAGTTCCAAATCCACGACTTTATGCATCATACACATGTTTTAACAACAAAGTTTATATGATTGGTGGCTGGATTGACGGAGATTATCAGAGAAAGGCGGAAACTGTCCTTGTTCTTGACCTGAAAACCATGACATGGTCAGAAAATCTTACTCCTAATATTGAAGCATGGGAACATAATAGCTGTAGTGTTTACATTCCTAAATCATCTCTTACAGAGAGAGTTCTGTAACTAACTGAAATCATGAATAGTCATTTTTATTCTGGTTTAAATAATGAAAATTATAAAAACAAGACCACATGTTTCTGGTTTAAGTGACATACAATGGTTTGGTGATAAATTAAGAAAGAAGAAATTCCAAATGTTAGTACAAAGTGGTGTAGTTTTGTTTGTTTTATGATACTGTAAACTGATTTATATTTTGAGAACCGATTTTGAAACAATTTATTTCTGTGATTTTCTATCGTAGCAATATTTGTGCTCTTTTCCATTGCATTTAAGTATACTTTATTATGCATTGTGTCTGTGGATAAATTTAATTTGTACAGATTTTCATGGCTATTTGATTTGTGTTTAGCAAAAGTTTGTATTCAATTCTATAGAAAATCTATTAATAGTTGAACATTTTAATTCCTGGTTTCCATATTCCCATGATATCAACACAAATTGGTAACCAACAAATAATAATGAACCCACAATATTTTATTTATTTCAATTTTATGATTTTTGTTCGACTTCAACAACCAAAGAAACCAGATCTAAAATTCAGGTAAAAGGAAGAAGGGAAAAAAAAGTTTGTCAATTATGCATAAAATTTCACCATACCAATTTCTTTGAATGAAATTTAACAATTGAATTATCTGGTATAAGTATTATCCAATAACAGTACTGAATTTTGTCAAACAATCGCCTTGGCTAATTCTTCCAACTTTCTGCTTGCTTTGTTAATGCATTTAAGTATCGCCACTGAATGTTATTTATTCAAACATCAGTCTAAAATGAAACTATAATGATCATGAATCATTGAAGAAGGGAAATTGTTACTTGTACATGTTCAGGGTACATCAGGAGGCATTCCATATTTTTACAATTGCATTTTGTGTTATTTATTTGTGAGTCTGTCTAACATTCATGTTTTTAACTACATGTAATTGTTTGTTGATTATTTATTTAATTATTATTTATTATTTAGTCATTTTTTTACCTCAAAACTGGTGTTTTTCACAAAATGCCATATGTATTACAGGCATAGTGTTTGAATTAAAAGAACCACTACATATGTTCCTGATAAATATTCAGTAATCTTCCTCATTAGGCATTGTAAGATGACCTTATATCTTCACAATTTAAATTTTAGAAAATACCATTAGAGGGAATATTTTTCTCTCAGTTGAACTGCCTGTTCAAATTATAACAATTTTCCCATTTTCATGCCCCAGTAACATGTGTTTCGATTGCAGTTGACATTTTTTGAAATAAAATTACTGTTCTTTTAAATTTAGACACCCAATGATGAGGACAGCCATATGCTTGTACTTATTTTTCTATGGTACTTGTACATGTATTAATCAAGAAAGTACATTTGTAACTACCTTACCTACCTCAAAATGATGGTACTACCTAAGTGTTGTGATGAAGTGGTCATGGCCATTGTTTTAACTAGACATATCGAGACCTTTTTTGGTGTGTGTAACCTTCTCTTTCCATCATTTGTAAACATTTGAATAAGTCGTGTTGCATGATTGTTGTTTTTTTGTTCATCTTCTACACACTGTCTCTAAATGTATTATGCCATGATTCTGTCATCTTTATCTGTAACTTGACATAAATTGTGTTGTGTTTTAGTTAACTAGTTATCCTCATAAAATATAATTTCCGCTTTCATTGACTTTAAACAAAGCTAGTGTTAGTTTTTAAGGGATAAGACCCAGATATTTTTTTAAGTGAACAAACTTTTTAGACTTGATTTCGATGTTGTTTATATTTTTCTTGCGTTTATTTTGAACGGCAATTGCTGTATTTTATGATAAGATTTAATGTAGGTCAGATTGTATGGTTACTTAGTAGTAAGGGGCTAGGTTTTTACTTTTATTATTTTACATAAACCTATATCTGGTTATCCTGTGGGAGTTAATTTTTTTGTTTTATTGTATTGGTTTGCAAATACTGTCATAAATGAAACCATCTATTGTTTTTTTAATCGCATCTATAATGATTTTACTTTTAATATTTATTTTTTATATTGCTGTCAAAGTAATCTCTCATCTTGTTTAAATTATTTTTTATCAGTATCTTCTTATTCCATTCCTCTTGAGTCCAAAAATACAAAATATTGCAGTACCATCTACATGGATCAATTTCAATAGGCAAACCCGTCCCATCCCCAAGAAAGAAGGAGGCTACTTAAAGAAACAAATAAAAGAATATGTAAAATTTACTAGCTTTTGCCTATCAAAAGACTCAGAGGACTATTATTTGGAAGATTTGACATTAAGTGTTTGCAAGATTGACACAACACATGGTTGTAATATCTAATTTAAAAAAACTTGACAAGAGTTATTTCCCTGTAGCAAAGCTGCATTGAAAATTTCTTTGACAAACTTTTGATTTACCTCAAAGACAGGAGATAAACAAACTTACGTAAGTTGACTTAACTTTATTAATCATTTATTTATTCAATGTTTCAAATTTTTTGAAAATACTTTTTAAATTTTTTGAGTTCTAGGTATTGTTATTGTCAGAAATTTATTACATGCAATTTAATTTGTTTAATGCATAGTAAGAATAACAGTATTTATTGTTGACGTCTTGTTTTTAACAAATTTTGACAATTTGATTTTATGTTGTTGTTTTAATTTATACTAGTGCTTTGTTGTAGTTATATGTAACACGTTTTATTTATCACTAATTTAACACTATTTTAGTAGATATATATATGGAAGTTGTTTGTGTTTTCTAACAATTTCATGATCATAGATGGATGACTTGCCCTTTTAATGTAAAACCTGAATTGTTATGCTTTTGCACCCAGGAAAGTGTGAAAGTTATGCTTTTACTCCCAGAAAAATGTGAAGTTTTTTCTTTTGCTCCCAGAAAAAAGTGAAAGTTATGCTTTTACTCCCAGAAAAATGTGAAGGTTTTTCTTTTGCTCCCAGAAAAAAGTGAAGGTTATGTTTTTGCTCCCAGAAAATTTATGCTTTTGCTCCAAGAAAAATGTGAAGGTTATGCTTTTGCTCCCAGAAAAAAAGTGAAGGTTATGCTTTTACTGCCAAGAAAAATGTGAAGGTTTTTCTTTTGCTCCCAGAAAAATGTGAAGGTTATGTTTTTGCTCCTAGAAAATTTATGCTTTTGCTCCAAGAAAAATGTGAAGGTTATGCTTTTGCTCCCAGAAAAAAGTGAAGGTTATGCTTTTACTCCCTGAAAAATGAGAAGGTTATGCTTTTGGTCCCAAAAAAATGTGAAGGTTATGCATTTGCTCCCAGAAAAATGTGAAGGATATGCTTTTGCTCCCAGAAAAATGTGAAGGTTATGCTTTTGCTCCCAGAAAAATGTAAACAGTTTTGTCACGCCTTGACAGAGTCAAAAAGTGAGACATAGGTATGCTGTTTCTGGCAGTGGCCGCGTCAACAATGTATTAATTTGTGATAAGGTCAGTTTTGTGGGGAACCACTAGTGGTAGTTCAATGACATTTGGTATGCATATGTATTAGCATTGGCACATCTCATTTCCATAGATTGTTTGATCCTGTACCTTCAGTCATGGTTAATTCACTTTGAATAGGTTGCATAACTAACATGTTAAAGTATTGCTCTTTTAATTTCAATATTTGCATTTTACTATCAAAATAACAAAAAGGCAAGACATATCTCTGTGTTAACAGTTTATTAAAAGCTCATTTTGTATTATGTACTTATGAATGATAAGAAATGGATGTTGATAAAGCAACAAAAAGACATTTGCAGGTCAGCATGTGGACATCTGTATCGATACCATTATATGTCAAATTTCTAAAAGTCCAGACAAGTTGTAGAGATATCAAGAGACTACCTAAATTGTCTATTGCTGAAGATCATATAATAACCTCTAGATGTTTTTGTTTTTTCCTCACACGTTATAGCCTTTTTTGCACTGATAAAGTGTAAAGCAAACATCAATCAACCAATGTTTGTTTTGAGTTGCTATTCTGCGATGTTTACAATATCAGCAGGAATATCAAAGTCTACAAATTTGGTTTGCTACAAATAAATGAATTGAATACATTTTCTTTTAAGCTTCAGATTTACTTGTCAAACAGAAAATCGTTACAATTATTGAATTAAAAAAATTAGTAGAGTTTTCAGCATTCCTGTTTTAGCTGTCATTTTAATTAACTTTTGACTGCTATTTAGAACAGCTATTAAGTTTTATTGCTCAAACATGTTTTACTACAACCATGCTATTTTATTCTATGTTTTATATGTGACATTGTGTATGTACAATTACAGAATCAAAAAATAAAGACATCCAAATATACTTTGTCATCTTTATACAAGAGGGGCAGAAGAAGGGGATATTCAAACTCAAAAGTTGATGAAAAACTGAAAACACCATGTAAATAAACATAACACAACCAAAAGTCAAACAACAGATTGTATTAACATGTGGTAATTCTATTTTTCTTTGTAGATTTTTATGCCCCCGCCGTAGCGGAGGGGGCATTAAGTTTTACCCTTGTCCGTCTGTACGTCCGTACATACGTACATCCCTCTGTATGTACGTCCCAAAGTTGGTTTCTGTTCTCAAACTTTAGTTTTCCTCAACCAAATGGTATGAAACTTATACACAATGCTTATTACCACAAAATAAAGATCAAGTTTGAATTATGGTGGTGTCACTTTAACCGTTCTAGGGTTATGCCCCTTTACAAATGGAAAAATTGCCAAATTTTTCATTTCCGTTCTCTAACTTAAGTTTGCCTCAACCAATTTATGAAACTTATTCACAATACTTATTACCACAAAACTCAGATCAAGTTCAAATTTGGGTAGGGTCACTTTTACAGTTCTTCAGTTATGTCCGTTTATAATTTAATATGATATGCAAGCGGGGGCATCATCTGTGTCCCATGCACATATTCCACATTTATTATTAATAGCCTTAAGTTCCTGAACACTGGTACTTTCAGGTCTTTCCTAAGAGGAAGTATTAGATACCTTTACCGTCTTATATAGCAGAGGCGGATTTAGAGGGTTTTTTCAGGGGGTTGGGCCCCCCCTTTTGGGGAAAAAATTTGGTTGATTATATAGGGAATCACTGAAGCATGACTGGAGCGGGCCCCCTCTTAGGCAGTCAGTGGACCCCCACTTATGAAAATTTCTGGATCCGCCACTGTATAGTACCACCTGAAGATTACGAAAGTTTATATTTGAGTACAATAGGGATCAAATACTAATTTATCAAATTCCCAAAACTTCTAAACATTAATATTTCATTGAATATGACTGGAATGATCCATACCTGGTTTCTAACTAGGGTCTTTATTTGTTATAGGTACCATACTTGGTTCTTTAGTCTTCTTAATTATAAATTTTCACTGAATTCAATTGTTTTGAAGCAATATTTGAGTGTTGAACATTCAGGTATTTTCTTTCATTACCATGTCAAAATAACAGTATCATAAGTGGACACTGAATGACCTGAATGTATGTTTACTCTGATGGCTGATAACATAATGGACTTTATTTCTTATGAAGTCTGGCATTAGTGAAAATCTCGTAGTACATAGTCTTTAGATTCTCTCATTAAAATATGCATACCATTATTGTGTTATTTCTCTAACACCGGAAGATTTCATTTCCAATAAAACTAAAGCTATTTAAAAAGCAAATAAGTCCATGTTATTTTGTGAATCTTTCTTCAATGAAACTCAAAGGCTCTCATCAAGATAAAGCTGTTTCATACCATTTTATAAACAATAGGTTTTTGAAATGATTGTGTTTAGCATCAAATATAAATGGATTTATTTTAACTATACAAGAAGGTATTGATAGGTTTTATTTAGAGAGCATACAAAGTACGAAACATCCTGCCATGGTTCCACATCCATGTGGGGTGGTGGTTGCTGAAAATTAAAAATGTAAATCATTAGAAATGGGAGAATAAACTAGTTTTGCTATTCATAGATTAAAATTGAAATGTTACATATGCATAAAAGTATAATCAAATAAATTTTAATGAAAGAATCATAGAAAAAAAAAAGGATATGGGGTATCCATCCATGACACAAAATCAGTACCGGTACATGCACATAAAAAAACACTCAAAAAGCAAAGGAACAGCGCTTTTATTGCTGTTCTTCATTTCAAAGTCACAGTAAGGCCTTCAATAAGTTTAATAAAAAGTAAAATAACAAAAATACTGAACTCCAAGGAAAATTCAAAACGGAAAGTCCCTTATCAAATGGCAAAATCAAAATGTCAAACACATCGAAGGAATGGAAAACAACTGTCATATTCCTGACTTGGTACAGGCATTTCCTTAAGTAGAAAATGGTGGATTAAAACTGTATGACAGTCGCATAAAATTAGTGAGTTTTCATTGAAAATAAAATAACTGAAATATTATCACTAGAAAAACTTCAAAAAGTCTTTTTGTGCAATATTTTTAAATATCCTACATTAATTGTGTATTCTTGTTCAATTTTTTTCCCATATTCACTGTGTATGAAGTTAGAACCCTTGTCCATGTATACATTCTACATTTTACTTTAATCCATTAGATAGGTAACTGAATTCAGGGCAGTCTGGCATCTGATCTTCTTTTAAGACAAAGGTCCAAATATAGGAACTATTTATAGTTACGTTTCCTTGAGAAAAACAATGAGAACCATGCAACTTTTACACAACATGACTTTTGACATATTACTTGAAAAATATTGACTTATAGAGGAAAGGTAAATAATTCTTGGCACCTATCTGTTAGAAAATGATGTTCAATTTCTTATATAAGTCCTCCACACAATGAAGAAGTGGGGTATATAAGTATGCTACACTTTTGCCAATGAAATACTATATATGGGATTAAGGGAGCTACCATTTGATTTTTATGGGGGGCTAGGATGAAAAATTCTGTCCTGCATTTTTTTTTAGTCGATTCTCTATCCTGCCTTTTTATTTTTCACTCTCTTCGGTCCTGCCTTTTTTTTCATTAGTTTATCCTGACTTTTTTTACATAAATTGTCATCCCAGATCTGCCAACTATCCCGATTTATGGGGGATATCCCCCATGAGAGGTGTTGAACTGAATTTAAAAAATCTATATTATATAAACTGAACACCTCAAAACAGGCATTCAAATGAGTTAAAAGGGTATTTAAGCACATACATACTCATCCAAACAATATAGAAGTGGATTAAAAACATTAATGACAATATAAGAAGAGCATTAGGTCCTCTTGTGCTTAAAATTCCCCATGGAGATTTTGAAAAGTTGGCAGGTATGTCATCCTGCCTTTTTTTTTTGCCAAGTTGCTCATCCTGCCTTTTTTTTTACTCAAAACTCCTGTCCTGCCTTTTTATTTCAAATTTCATCCTAGGCCCCCACCCCATAAAAATCAAATGGTAGCTCCTTAAAACCTCACTCGAATATATGGTCACATGTATTGAAAGGAAGCTCTCTATTACTGGGTCATTACTTCTGAGGTCAAGGTCATGTCACTAACAAATTAATAGATCGAAATCAGGCAGAATTGGGTTTCTGAATAAAATTGAGAATGGAAATGGGGAATGTGTCAGAGAGACAACAACCCGACCAAAGAGCAAAAAACAACCGAAGGCCACCAATGGGTCTTCAACACAGCGAGAAAATCCCGCACCCGAAGGCGTGCTTCAGCTGGCCCCTAAACAAAAATGTGTACTAGTTCAGTGATAATGGAGGCCATACTAAACTTCAAAACATATAAATGTACTAAAATTAAAAATCATACAAGACTAACAAAGGCCAGAGGCTCCTGACTTGGGACAGGCGCAAAAATGCGGCGGGGTTAAACATGTTTTGTGAGATCTCAATCCTCCCCTATACCTCTAGCCAATGTAGAAAAAACAAACACACAGCAATACGTACAGTAAAACTCAGTTTAAAAGAAGTCCGAGTCCGATGTCAGAATAGGTAACAAAAGAAACTAAGCAAAATGAGGTATCTACTTAAAGTCAAGGATATTGTTAATAGAGAATAGACTGTAAAGTGCACAAAAGGGATTACAGATAATAAACCCAGAACCTTATGAGTGATTGCAACCTTGCTTGGCTATATGGTCAGGAAGATCCCTATCAGTATTGAAATCACTGCTTCTAAGGTCAAGATTAGTGTAAAAAAGGAGCTTCGGTAATATAACTCTAGAACCTTACATGGAATTGAAACCAAATTGAAACATATGTTCACATATATTTATATGTGGACTTTAAATAAATGTGTCCATTGTTAACATCAGAGATACTGAAATAAGTGCTGAAAAACAGTTTCCAGATAATAACTCCAGAATTTTAAATGAGATTTCAACTTTAAATTTTCCAAATATGGTCACATATATTGAAAGGAAGATCTCTACTGATTATAGATCACTGAGGTCAAGGTCGATGTTACTAAAAGTATAGCGGACAAAAAATAGCACAGGAAAGGAGTTTTTGGAATATAACATCAAGACCTTTTTTTAGGACTGAATATATGTTCATATATAATAAGTGGAAGGCACATGTTGAATTAAGATCAATGAGTCCAAGGTCAAAGTCATGGTTACTAGAAAAATAGAATGAAAAAAGTGCAGAAAAGGAGTTTCTAGATTATACCTCCAAACTATAAATAGGATGCAAACTTATAAATAGGATGCAAACTTACTTATTTGTCAAACACGATGAAAGGAAAGTTTAAAGTTTCTATTGATTTTGATGTCACGGACGTCAAAGGTCAAGGTTTAAGTTACCGAAAATGTTCAAAAAATTGTACTGAAAAGGAGTTTCAACATTATAACTCTAGAACCTTCCTTACATGAAATTGAAAAAAATGATATAAAAATATATATGTTCACACATATTGAGTAGAAGTTGATCTCTATTGATTTTGATATCAATGTGTCCAAGGTCAAGGTCATACTAAAAATTGACCGAAATAAGTGCAGTAAATGGTTTCTTGTTAATATCTCATAAACCTTACATAGGACTGTAACCAAACTTGCATATATAAAATTGAGAATGGAAATGGGGAATATGTCAAAGAGACAACAACCCGACCAAAGAGCAGACAAACTTATAAATAGGATGCAAACTTACTTATTTGTCAAACACGATGAAAGGAAAGTTTCTATTGATTTTGATGTCACGGACTTCAAAGGTCAAGGTTTAAGTTACATAAAATGTTCAAAAAATGGTACTGGAAAGGAGTTTCAACATTATAACTCTAGAACCTTCCTTACATGAAAAATTGACTGAAATAAGTGCAGTAAATGGTTTCTTGTTAATATCTCATAAACCTTACATAGGACTGTCTGTAACCAAACTTGCATATATAAAATTGAGAATGGAAATGGGGAATATGTCAAAGAGACAACAACCCGACCAAAGAGCAGACAACAGCCGAAGGCCACCAATGGGTCTTCAATGCAGCGAGAAAATCCCGCACCCGGAGGTGGTCCTCAGCTGGCCGCTAAATAAAATTGTGTGCTAGTTCAGTGAAAATGGACGTCACACTAAACTCCAAAACATATAAATGAACTAAAATTAAAAAAACATACAAGACTAACAAAGGCCAGAGGCTCCTGACTTGGGACAGGCGCAAAAATGCGGCGGGGTTAAACATGTTTTGTGAGATCTCAACCCTCCCCCTATACCTCTAGTCAATGTAGAAAAAAGAAACACATAGCAATACGCACAGTAAAACTCGGTTTAAAAGAAGTCCGAGTCCGATGTCAGAATAGGTAACAAAAGAAACTAAGCAAAATGACAATGATACATAAATGAACAAAGGACTACTAGCAGTTACTGACATGCCAGCTCCAAACCTCAATTAAACTGATTGAAAGATTATGTCTTCATCATATAAAAATCAAGTACAATCCCTCCCGTTAGGGGTTTAGTATCATACCATCATAAAATATATGAGAAGAACATAACCCGTATCATGCCAACAACTGGTTTTAGAATAAATGTGTTTATTTCCGATGGTCACTTAAATGAGAGGAAGATCCATGTTCATTCTGAATTAAACATGGCAAGGTCATAGTTGCTAACATTAAACCGAAATAAGTGCAGAAAAAGGGGTTTAAATTACCGATTTGAACACCAGGACCTCACATGAGATTGAACCAAATTGAATATATTGTCATATAAGGGGACGGAGACCCCTGTTTCATTTTTAGGTCAATACGTCACAGTAACTGGGAAGAGAGTACACTTTATGAACGATATGGTCGGACATTACCATACAGTGACAGAAAGATTTTTAGTTTTCACTGGATTGAAATAAAAATGAACTTTTTGACATTCTTATCATGACATTACATGAATGAATCCTCATTATCAAAATTACACTTCTCATGGGAGGACAACTTTGTCATTATACCATTATAAAGCTGTTGGTTTATGGCGTTCCCAGGTATTGTGAGCTTGATCACTAAGGGTTTTTAAATTGTAAGTTTTGATTTCTTTACATACATAGAATTTTCAAGTATGTACGAATAAAGGAAGACCTTGGGTTTCCGTCAATGTGACACCATCTCAAGGACACAAAAACAAAAAAATCATAAAAAAATCTGCCGCTGGCCCCTAAACAATAATGAATACTAGTTCCGCGAAATGGACCCCACACTAAACTCCGAAACATATAAGTTAACCAAAATCAAAAAAAAAACAACAATAAGACTAACAAAGGCTAGATGAGCCTGACTTCGGACAGGTGGGGTTAAACATGTTTTGTGAGATCTCAACCCTCCCCTTATACCGTCTAGCCAATGTGGAATAATCCGGCAAACACACAGCAATACGCACAGTAAAACTCAGTTTAAAGAAGTCCTGGACCGATGTTAGAATAGGTAACAGAAGACACTAAGCAAAATGACACTGATTTACACAAATTAACAAAGGACTACTATAAGTTACTGACATGCCAGATCTCAATCAAACTGATCGAAAATGACGTCTTCAACATATGAAAATCAAGCATCTCAACATACCGTATTCAACAATAGAAAGGCGTCTCGTATTTAATCAAATGTCAAGACATTAATCTCACATGGTATTCAATAAAATCAAAGGTCTGCAATCAACGCCAAATTAGGTAAAAGACAAAAAAACATGAAAATATGACAAAAGACAACCTATGGTGAGGCATTAAACTTTAGACACATGAACATGACAGTCACGAGGGTAAAACTAGTTCATGAAGATCTCAGCCCTCCCACTTTGAAACTCGATCAAGACATTTGAAAGATCATACTTTAAAAGAAAGGACAATAATAACACTTATCTCCATAATAACGGTATAATAGTCAACACAAAAAAAAACACATAAAAACAAAACAATAACATACAATACCAAAACATGATCGCAGTTTCCAACAACAAAAAAACCAGCTCTAAGTATAGCTCTGTTTCATTTGGTCTCTGGTGGAGAGTTGTCTCATTGGCAATCACACCACATCTTCATCTTCTTGTTTCTAAAATAACCTGATGGTATGGAATTTTGCCGTCCTACTTGAAAACATCGAGGAACCGTTTCTCTTACACAACGTGCGTTTGACATATAATTTTTTGAAAATGTTCAATCTGAAGGTATATGAAATCATGTCGACAACTTACCTAGGTAATTACATTACCCAACAAGGTACGTGTTAGGTTGTGATGGGTTGAAGGTCCCATCTCCTCTAAGAGCACCACCTCCACTGTTTCCTGTATTATAGACTGGAGCACCACTAGAATAAATTGGAGATGAACCTCCAGTGTTGAAGTTTGGTGATCCTAAACCGCTGGGAAACATGGGTGCGTTTGAGAAAACTGGTGCAGATGATCCAGAGTAAATTGGTGCAGCGGATCCGGAGTAAACTGGTGCAGCTGATCCAGAGTAAAATGGTGCAGCGGATCCACTTCCCATCAAGGAGGATGGACCAACGTATGACGGGTTACTTGGATAACTTGGGTTTGAATTAGCATATATTGGCACCTGTCTCGCCACTGTTTGTGTTTGGTACTGTACTTGTGGAACAGTCTGATATTCAATTGTTGGGACATTTTGAACCACATTCTTATATTCAAGCACTGGCGTTTGAACAACTGCAATGTGAAATTTTGTTCTTAATATTGTTAAAATCTTTAAATTCATTATATCCCAATTTATATCGTTTTGAACAATCAAATAAGCAAAAGAGGTATATTAAATGTGTGTGTGTCCTATGTACATCAAAGGAAAATGAATAAGAGGATAGATGCTTGGGCAAATCTCTTAACCGAATATGGATAAAACATGTTAAGTGATACGAATATAAACTACACTTTGTTTCAAACCGAACTCATTTAATGGTCTGATTTTTAATGTGCTAAGTTACTCAAATATATATAGAAAAGGCCTGCAACAGGAACATATATATTGAGGCTACTGAGCTCCCAAATTAGTAACTTGAAGCTTTATATTGACCGTCGTTCTATACAATAATCTTATGTTTATTTTGCATGAATTGAAACCTATTAATTATTCGTTTTTGTCATTTGTCCTCATACATTGTTTCCACTGACCTTTCAATGACGGGAATGGTAGAGATCTTAAACGGGTTAATCCATCTATATTTGATTGTGAATGTTCAAAGTCAGGAATTAGATGTTCCCTTTTTAGTATTTTGCTATTGAAAGAACTTCTATAACTTTTATGACCTTTCACCCTTGACTATGTGAACCTTTTTCTTTATCTATTTATTTTCATGGGGGAAACTTTTACTTTGAAAATTAAGTTTGCCTATCCCTATATCTAACAACTTAATGTTTAACATATGCTTATATTTCCATTTTTATTGCATATTTTGTGACAACTTTAATGAAAAATAAAAATTGTTAAAATTACTAAATTAAAATTTACTTCGACAAAGACATGGAATAAGCATAATCTTATTAGAACAATGGAACTAAGCTAATTTTAGAGTATCGTTACTTTAATATTCGCTGAACAAGTCGACAACCTTGCCGTTAACCTCACTGCAATGATGAATATTTTGAATGAAACGCTAAGATTAATGATACATCAAAATAATGAATGAAAGATGTAATTTGCTGTTTTGATATTCGAAATGGATGCATCTATAAATCTATCTGTATGACTGCGAACATATTTTTTCAAAACCTATATCCCTCGTCGATTTATTTTTTCGGTAACCATTGTAAATACTGAATTTTAACTTATGTGATATGAGGGTAATAGAGGGATTTTAGCTAATGTTCTTGTATTTATATTATCAAATTTTCATTTATGAATCATTATCTTCTAAAGTATGTTTATCTGATCTAATTTAAGACTTGTAATTAGTGCATATATTGTTTGGACGAATTGTATATTAATATTTACCAGCTAAGTTTCGTCCGCGACTTCCACCTGAAAGAGAAATCATTGGTCAGACCAAGAATTTGAGGTCGAAATATTTGATGATATTTTCATGTCCTGTTTTTTTTAACATACTGTTTTCAACAGACCTAACTTTTTCGACTTTAAACCTTACAAAAAGTAATATTTAGTAAATGGCATCGGAATGAAATCTCACATGAGAAAAAAGATCTTGTATAACTGTCCTTTAAGATGTTTTTTTGAACATATATCCTGTGGCATTTGATTACGTACGGTTTCTGTCCAATACACGGATGGTTACAGCATTGATTGATGACTATCGTAATGATGACATTTTATTTACCCTACATTATCGGAACACCCTTCTCTCTAAGATATTTTTGAAATGGAAATGCGAAAAATTTATAAAATTGTTAAATGTATTCACAACTAAACAATGCACACATCTGTGAAACACCATTTCTTGTCCAGATTTACATTTTCATTTCTCTTCAGTTTAAGTCTTACAATTTAATAGAAATTAATAGTTACAAAGTGCACGGTGCAGACGACTAATAAATTTTCTCCTTGTAAAACAATACTAAAAATCTTTCATGTGTACCTCCATAACCGCCTCCATATCCAACTCCACCGCCGTAACCACCTCCACTGCCGTAGCCACCACCTCCTCGATAGCCTCCTAATAAATCCCTCATTAAAGAGGCCGATCCGTAACCGCCGTCACCATATCCTCTGTATTCCATTCCGTAGGAGGATCCATGTCCGTAACTCGATCCATGGCCGTAGCCACTACCCTTCCCGTAACCACCAGCCTTTACATTTGACGCGGATAGGACCAAACCAAGCAACAGAAAGAACTTAACCATATCTGCAATCACGAAAACAACTTTGTTTATTGTAACGATACTTTACAATTATCGTCAATTACAAAGAATTCAAGAATTTAGTGTTTTGACAGTGGTTAAAATATATTCATTACAGCATGAAATCTACAAATTTCACAAATAAAGAGAATTTTAAGTTCCACTTACTTTATAGAAAAGAAATATACAAAACAAAATATAGAATTAAAAAATGATCTATTACAACTTACCTTTACACTCTTATAAATGGAAATTGTCACAAGTGTTTCGTTTTGACTCTTCGGTATTTCTAGTCACGTGATGCGGCTTTTGGTTGAACTCGGCTGAACTCTGACGAATCTTGATGGATTATTCCTCATGTTAATGACAACTTTCCGCATTTCCAAAATTACAAAGAATTAGACGTTTGCAACTGTGGTTATGCTAAGTGTGATGTACTTGGTACAGGTTAGGTACATTGAACACGTGATATATATAGTACTTGATTTCTGACTCTGGTTTTCGCCAACATTATCAGAGTAGTTAGTCTAGTACACAGGTATTTTATCTTAATTGTACATAGATGGGAAACAAGTGAAAAGGATACCACTGCAAATGCATATACCTACAAATTTTTATTCTCGATTTGAACTTGACAACTCGTCTTAAATTTGGTGGTTCAAAAATCTTGCAGTGTATACCACCACCTTTTCTTACACATAAAGATAGAAGTACTATAGTATACACCTATTGACTGGTTATGAGTGTAATAGCAAGTTTGTTGTCCCTGCGATACCAACTATTGCTCGAGTCATTAAGTGTTTTATTATACCAAACAAAACAGCTTTCTAAAAAGTCTACATACACCACCTGAAAAAAAAAACCAAATAGTCACATAAACAGTCCTATATTAATACAACTTTTTTACGGGTATGGGTTCTAGTCAAATTTAAATGTTCGTTTAAAAAATTAAAAATTAAGAATTTAGCAAATTCTAACTTTTATATTTATTTCAGATTCAAGATAAGAAAACCGCAATCAGCGAAAATACTGAGTTGACGACAAGTGTCCCTACAATATGAACAAAAGTCGATTTGTGGTCCATTACAGCATCTCAACAACACAAAAAACAACAAAAGACATCTAGTGATCATATTGGTATGATTGCCAATGAGACATCTAGTGATCATATAAGTATGATTGCCAATGAGACATCTAGTGATCATATTGGTATGATTGCCAATGAGACATCTAGTGATCATATTGGTATGATTGCCGATGAGACATCTAGTGATCATATTGGTATGATTGCCGATGAGACATCTAGTGATCATATTGGTATGATTGCCAATGAGACATATAGTGATCATATTGGTATGATTGCCCATGAGACATATAGTGATCATATTGGTATGATTGCCGATGAGACATCTAGTGATCATATTGGTATGATTGCCAATGAGACATCTAGTGATCATATTGGTATGATTGCCGATGAGACATCTAGTGATCAAATTGGTATGATTGCCGATGAGACATCTAGTGATCATATTGGTATGATTGCCAATGAGACATCTAGTGATCATATTGGTATGATTGCCAATGAGACATCTAGTGATCATATTGGTATGATTGCCAATGAGACATCTAGTGATCAAATTGGTATGATTGCCGATGAGACATCTAGTGATCATATAGGTATGATTGCCGATGAGACATACCAAAGAACAAGTATGCAAACAACATCAGGTAAGCGTAAACATGTCACTCACAACACATATATGTTGAATCATTGTGGTGAATTATTTATTAATATATATATAGAAGGAAATCCGCGCAAGCGATATATTGAGGAGTACAACTGACTCATCCTTTATTTTCTCTTAATTTCAGCCTAAATGAATTTACCAGTAAATATATATTCTCATGATTCAAACAGAGACATATCCACATGATATGTCTCTGATTCAAAGACCGTTGATATCTTGTGACGTCAAGGATTCTAGAAAATTCCATAGGTACTTGGGGACAGGACAATTTTTTTTTGTTTCCTCCTTTTTTCCAAAATCCGTTGTTTTTTGTTGTTGTTTTTTTCTATTAAGGTGGCTGGGGTGTCTTCCTCCATCTTGGATTTTGAACCAGCAGATAACAACTGGTCTAGATCTTTAATGATATGTGCAAATTTTGAGAGTAGTATGTAATTCATGTGTAAGACTTTTCATGTTAATATAGAAAATTATGTATTTTATCATATTTACGGCTGTTTTTTCTAAAAAAACACATTATTTTTGTTTGATTCATTTTTTTTTCAACTTTGCCACATAAGGGGAGATCACTCAGTTAAAGTAAATTTTATTAAAGAAAGTGTTATGAATTTACCTATTTTAATATGTAGCAAGGAAAAAAGTCCGGTGACCCCATTTTTTCTATTTCTTATCTGAAAGTATATTATAAGAGCTATCGCCTCATACTTTATCTTAAAATTATATGGTGTATTTTTCTTTTTATGACACAAAATTGGATTTTCCATTCATAATCTATACAAAATCTGACAATTTTGCACAACCTGTAGCTTGAAAAAAAGTCCGGTGACCCATACTTTTTATTATATTTTGGAAAAAAGCATGATAAAAACTACATTTTGACAAATTATTAAAAAATTCTATGGATTTTAATTAAGACCCCCATCCACCTTAATTTCAATTATTTCCTGAACATAAATAAACTAGAAATAACTTGTATTTGTCATTTACTATCAATTCCAATTTTACTATCCACAGCGGTCACTGATATCTATATAGAGATACCTTCTATTTTTATTTCTAAAAAAACCTCTTTGTTTTAACTGTGCTATAACTTGGATAATTCACAACTAAGGTGTGCATTAACTGTCTCATATATATTGCACTGTTCAAATGTAAGTAGTTCTTATCTTTAGGGGAGGATCCAGGATTTTTCAATGACAAAGGGGCGTAATTCCATTAAGGATAAGATAATAATAGTTTATTCAAGTTCACATATTGATCTACAATAAAATTACAAAACAACATCATAAGTTTGACGATTCACTATTTAGTTTCCAATTCAACGGGGGGCGTACGCCCTCTTCGCTACCCCTTTGAATCCGCCACTGACATGGCAATAACGGCATAGTTGATCAATTAACAACTTTGTATACACTTTGTACTTTCAAATTATGAAATAGATTAGATAGTCCATCTCATTCCTAAGAATATTTGATGCGGATGTTATGTTTACAATTTAAATCTTAAATCAGTGTTTCAAAATCAAATAAAATATTTTTTTTGTAATTTCTTAAAATACCAAATAGCTGAAACCTGATTTGGATTAGTTTTGTTCTCAATGGCATGTTTGCGACTTTTTAAATATTAATTCCTTTTAAGTGACTATTCTCGGATCTAATTTAATGAGGTTTATATTCAAGTATGTACCAAAACAGAAAAAAAATACTAGTAAGCAAAACTGAATTCCAATGAATTTTTCTGATTGAATCTTTCCCTACCAAATTAAGTGGGGGGGGGGGGGGGCAATAGGGGGTCCGTTAACATGCTAACAACACCTCGATTTTGGCAAAAACAGTTAACTACAAATATAAAATGCTGATAACAGTTAACACCAACTTTAACTGAATAACAAATAACAGTGGTGTAAAAACTTCAATAACACTGACTTAACAACCATATTGAAAAATCGAACAATGTTAAGGTATTTGATTGTTCTATCCGAATATGAGGAATTATCAAAACAAAACGTTGGGTGTCTTGCAAAAAGCAGGAAATTCTCACCCTTTCAAAGCACCTGAGTTCACTCCAGTTTTGATCAGGTTTGTGTTCATGTGTTGTATGTACTTTTAGTGTATTGTGTACACCGTTTGTCCTATATATATATGCTGTCTGCATGTTGTCTCAGTTTTGTCCCTTGTCCATGGATTTCCCTGAAATGTTCCAAATTTTTTGAATATTGATTGTCTAAGTGAGTATGGAGTTAAGATTGTGATAACCATGAATAATGTTTCCCAGACCGGTGCAACTAGCATGTCAATGCATGCTTTTTTGCCTAGACCCACACGAAGCTGAATCCTCTGACCAATGGAAAGAATGGGTTAAGTTGTATTTGATTTTAAAGTTATGCATTTTTAAAATCTGTATTGTTTGCCTTGTATTGATACACCTCAAGGTATTTTTATACATTTGACTTATATTTGTCATCTTTGTGCTTTGATTGCTACTTTGATTACATGAGATATAAGACTACGAAGATCTACAAAGGTGACTTATATTATTGCTGCCTTATAAGACTTACAAAAACGTCATGTATATATTTATAACTGAACAATTTTCGGTCTCATTGAAACTTAACAGAAACTTTGACAGTCCTTCCACTTCTTGTTGTTACCTCATGAAATCTAGAGCGGTTGTTATAGGTTGATTAGAAGTACGCGGTTCATTAGACAAAATGTTATCTTCTTCTTTTAAATCATAGGGCTCTTCATCTTCATCCCCAAACTTAGAATCATATTCTGAGACCTGTTCAGGAATTTCCTCCCCTTCTTGTGCTTCTGTTTCTTCTCTTGTCTCTCTGGTATCATTCCCCTTCTGCAATATTTATTCTATAATTGGATGAGCAATATTGTCGAACATTACTTTTTCTCCGAGTTGAACAAAGCTTTGCTGATACATAATAAGTGGCAATGTACCCGCTTTAAATTTGGTAGTTTCCTGTCTTACAGTTCTCTGTCTTACACATTTTCCAAAGTCATTTACCAAGTTCTTCATTGTTGCTTGTTCATAATCTGTCAGGGCTCTTATTGGAGACATATGGCACAGAGAAGGTACGTCTGTTAATTGTTTTCTACTTTGTGGCACCGGGTAGTATGATTGTGGATTGGTGAAGTAGTAAGCAGACCATTTTACAACTCTCTTAACACTCGCATGCACCGTGTCGGACAGGTTTCCAGCATACTGTAGGCAGGTTGGAAACTGCTCTTTGAAATGACTGGTAGCATGCAGGTTTTCAACTTGTATGGTTAACAATGACTGACCGGGCCAATTTTTGCCTTTCGAACACCAATTTTATTTTTCACATTCGCTTCACATTCCCGTAAGACACTACTAAGTGATCCTACTTTTTCCTTGGCTTCTTGAACAGTCAGTTTTTGTAATTTAACATGCTTAAGGTGAACCGAAAATGCTGAATACGACAGTCTTAGATATTTCAGGAATTCTATTGTTTTTGTTATTGTCGTGACAAGTTTAACACAACCACTTTGTGCATCAGTGACAAAGACATTACAATCATGTTCAACACATACACCGATAGATTGACTAAAAACAGCTTT